CTTCTACGTGGTGAGATGATGGCTCACCAAACGCCAACAAGCCAAGCGTGCAAAGGTTCTTGATGCCAAAGACGACTTGGAGTACGATGCTGTGGTAGATTACTTTGGAGAACCATGTCAGCTCCGAGCTCTGACAAAGTCAAAACCAAAAGAGCTTCAATAAGAATACAGAGTATTCTAAGAAAATAATAAAAACAAAAATAAACCAAAAAGAATAATAACACCTTAGCGTCTAGTTTCAAAGACCACAAAAAAACGAGTCTACATTCATAGAACGATAAACACATTTCCAAATGGACCTAGTTCCTTGGAAACAATGTTTTTTTTGTTTCCACATCTTTCAACAAAAAATACCTAGTGAAGGCAGAGAAGGACTCTTGTATCTCTCTTCCTAATTATACATATATATCACGAGATTAGTAAATCAATATATATATAATATACACATTACAAAACCTTCCGGTTAGAAACACTGACCCAAAAGGGACAGAATCCAAACAAAACGTATACTTAGACAACGACCAACAATAAAAAACCCCCACGTGAATTACAACCAAATGCGATACAACAACCAAGCTAGAAGGAAAAAGTAATACAAGCTTAAACCCAGCAAAGTTGCAAGACAGCAACCACGAGCTGGCCGACTAAGCGAGAAAGGTATAAAAGGAACCAAGGATTGCCTCCAGAGAAAGGAAGGCACCTGTTTTTACCCGCTCAAGAATCAATATAGCTTACTAGAAATATTAGTACCTTTCAAGAATCAGCTTATTAATTAGCGCTCTAGAAAACGCGTCAAGTAGAACTCTTACCATATTGTAAGTAGTTTATCTCGGTTTTATTACCTTCCCCATTTTTTACTGTCCCTGTTTCGAGTCAGTAAAACTCTATCTTGGTCACGTACCATTGTTCTTGCAACGTAAAGTTGACAAGATCCCTGAGGTTTTACCCAGGCTACTCTTAGATTTACTATCTTCGAGAACTTCCCCGGCCTAGGACCTGACCAGTTCCATCTGCTATCCTGCAGTAGGCTGTGGACGTACCCAGACTTGGCATATCTACATATCCACGATCTAGGAGTATAATCAAAACTCATTAATAATATCTTTGGTGTTTTATTTTCACTATAGATATAATCAATCCTACGTATCCAATAGGATTGTTGTCAGGATTACTAGTTAAAAGCCCTTGGTTTAACTGTTAAAGTAAGTGCCACCCTGACAAACCAGAATATAGAAAAAACAATGTGAGTATTTCTTAATATACATAACTCACATTCCAATCATCACAATCACTTATATGATTTTATTACTTACTTGTTCGACTGGGTGGTCAGAACAAAGGCCATAGGCCTTGTTCATATCCTTGCCTTTGGTGCGGTCAGACCTGCCGAGTGTCTTTGGACTCAAACAGCAACCTGAAGGCGCATCGGGACGGCTACATTACCGCCACTCGCCGTAGACCAGTGTGTACAGCACACCAGCATGCTATTGAAGCTGGCGCCAACCTTCCACCTTCAGCTTACAACAAAGAACGAAAGCAGAAAGCGGAAAGCCAACGCCAAATGTTAGAGTTTTTTGATCTGAAAGATTCAAAGGTTAAATTCAAAAACAAAACCTTAAATCAGATACTTGCGGTCTGGATTCTTGCTGGGGCCTTGCCTTGGAGCCGGATTGAGGATTACCACTTACGCCTGGCCTTCTGGTATATCCGAAGCGACATCAAGATTTTCGGACAAACCTGGGTGGCGAGAGAGGCAGCCGGTATGTATACGTCTTTGCAAGACACTGTTTTGAAGGAGATCTTGGTAAGTCTCTTGTATACTATATAGATCTTTTCATTATATTGTTCATTCAATAACTACGTTGCTGACTTAGATGCTTACTTTGTAATGTGGCAGGGCAACAAGGGCAGGTTTACCCTGATTCACGATGGTTGGACATCAGCCAACAACATCCATGCCTTCCTAGGCGCTTCGGTGGCTTTCATTGACGACAACTGGCAATTTCAAGTTCAACATCTGACGCTCAAGCTGATTGCTTGGCATCACAACGGAAAGTGGCTAGCACATCCATTTCATGAAGAAGCATAAGCTTCATTATAAGATAAGTTTAATTTTCATATTTTAATTTTTATATATTATTTGAACAAAACACTGATTCAGAACAGTTTGTAACCTTTGATGCCTCCACATGCTCAGCCACGTCACCAATTCAGGATCAAACAACATCACTATGGCCGAAGAGATGGACACTCAATTTTGAATAGCTGAAGACGAGCTTACTGACTTATCTCAATCTGACACCAATTTGGCTGCTACAAAGGGTTCTTACACATGGAGCCCTAAAACCGACTATGCTTGGTGTTTCCTCCACAAGATATCATGCACAGTCAAAGGTGGTCTTGCTGAACTTGGTCAATCATCCCCTTCGCGATTCCAGATGTGTGAGTCAACCCTTGGTGTATTTCCAATCACTGGAAAGTTGCCAGTCATTGCCGAAGAAGAAGAAGATTACCAGCAGCATTGGGCCCAAGTCATCAACATTGATATTGAAGAACATGATCTTGAAGTTACACCGGAAGAAGAAGATGAGTACGAGACTGACCATGACTCACAACATGAGGTCAAAACCCCTGCTCCAGACTATGATGAGGATCATGAGGATAAAAAGGATGCTGAGGATCCTTTCAATACTTCATATCGCGCCGAGTCGCTCAATCAGCCGCTTGGAGGCGACATTTCTCAAGGAAGGCAAAGGCTCTCAACTTGAAACTTCTCCCTTTGATTCCTGGCTACAATGCCACACGATGGAACACCAAGTTTGACTCCCTAAATAGGTTGGTACAAGCACGAAAGGTGAGTGTGAATGTCAACGGTAAGAGGTTCTGCGGAGCAGAACCTCTAGCTTGTTAACAAGAATATATATTGGGTTGAACCCTTAGAATAAAATACATACAACGCATATCACTCAGTATCAAGAGTGTACAAATATATATATATATATAAACATATATTACAAGTCATTTAGAATAAAAAGAGATCATGATTATAAATGACAGCATAACATAATTATGACTAGCACAAACTAAAAATGGGGTTTAGACCAAACCTAGTCAAGATTACAAACCCTGACTAAGCTGAATTAAAAGAGGCGGTAACCACCATTACTTAATGAAACAATGCAATGGCGAGAAACTAGGCAAACTCAAAATTCAAACCCTGGACAAAGAATTATAACAATATATATTTTTGAAGGTATAAAATATAGGCTATTCTCGAAGTATGAAAGGATCTTGAGAAAAAAGAAAGACACACCAAACTTATTGTAACAAACTTTATAAACTAAAGCTAGATACAAATACCTTTTTTACTTACAACTTGATTGAATCCTAGACCGTTATACAATTAGAATCTTAGATACTACTTTTCTTTTTATAACTCTCTCATACTTTTGAACAAGTTTCTTTTCCTCCATTTTCATATTTCTCTAAAGGAGTTTTTGCTGTAGATCAACTTGGTAGTTCTCGTTGAGCAGTAATTCTCTAATCCTTTTCTCTTTTTCCGATAAACTGTTATCGGACCACTGCTGAAGCAAGCCTTAAATATAACCGCTGTTCTTAGTGGTCAATTTGAGAAGATTTGTTTGTGAGTGCATTGAACATCTAACTGGCAGCAGTAGCCATCCTGCACCTGAGACAGTACAACTAACAATTGTTTCTTACTTTTACAGATTGCTTGCCAAGAATATAAAGCTACTTCTTGAATTTATAGATAAGTCTATCTAGATTTCAAAGATATAACTTTTGTGAGTAACAAAATTCACCCTCCTCTTTCAAATTCGTCATCAATTTGAAGAGTTAGGCTGACAGTGAACCTGTTATTCTTGCTGGTTCACTTGGGATCTTTTCGCTGACTAAATGTTGTTATGTTAGGTGGTCAACAAACTCCTCGCTGAGGACTTGGAACAAGTCCGCAGTAGAAAAAGGCGCACTAGGACTTTGCAAAAACCTCGTGGATACTTCCACAAGATTTACTTCTCACCGGACGACTGGAATTCCCTTGAAGAATTGCCCAACAAACTGGCTGTAAGTAGCTTGAATCTTACTAACCCGTGACCTTGACTTAAACATTTGATTATCCGTAGCCTTTCCTTGACCTGACCAAGCAAATGGAGGGCGATGGACCAACCGGTTTGATGGTCATCCCCAAGTTCTACGCACTCAAGGTGCACCTTGCAAGTCGTGCCAAGGAACTTCAAGTCGGTGACGCTCTCTTACCAATGATTATCTCAATGCAATCTCGGGTCAATAAATACCTGGAAGAAGCATTACAATGCAATACAACTGTTATGGCCAGCCTCCTCAACCCCTTCTTTTGACTCGAGTTCTACAAGAAAGCGTTTGGACCTCAAAGTCCCCACACCGTCCGTGCGGAAAATCTTCTTTGACAGAAATTCGACAAGCAACGTGAGGATCTTGTATCAGCCGCTAAGCCTAAGGTGAACCCAGCCCCGCCAAGGACAACCTGCAAAATCAATCAGTCAATAGTGTATTTCAATTGTTCACCGCTCAAGAGCCTAAGGTTGAGGTAGATGAAGTCGCGGCCTACTTGAAGGGGTCACATCCGATGTCTGGCCAAGACAACACCCGTGAAAGCGTAGTGATTTTGCCATGGTGGAAGGTAAGAAGATTTTTTATTTCTCATCTGAATCTTCATCCTTGTATTCATCATTTGTATGCTGTTATTTCCAGGCAAATGGTGCGGTATTTCCAGTACTGGCTGCTCTAGCCAAAGACTATATGTCTCTTCCGGCAAGCTTGGCCACAGTGGAACAAACATTTTCTGCTGCGGCAGATATATGCTCATCTGACCGTGCATCTCTAGTCCCACAATCAATTGAATTCTGTGTGGGTTCCAGGCTTTGGATTTGTCAAGGGGTGCCTTTAGCACATAAGTATACTGAGGTAAACGAAGCAATCAAGGCTTTTGGTGGGAAGTTGAAGTCAAAGAAGGTTAAATGATTGGAACAAAGTTAATCATTTCAAAGAAGGTAAAAAAATTGAATTTATGATGTCAGAAGACTTGTGTCTTTATTCCAATATACACGTAGTAAACCCTTAATATATACACAATGCAATAAAGCACTATCCATGGTCTCCTCTTCCCTGGTTGCGCAAAGGAAACGCAACGGGCAGCGCGGCTGCCAACTGCGCTGCCCATTATGACTTGAAAACCAACAGGTTGTGCTGCAGTGCAACCCCCCGTTGCTGTTACGCAGCGCAGCGGCCCGGCGTTGGTCATACCCAACGTGTGTTACACCTGCCAGCCAGTGTGGCCTTCACCCAATCTGATCACCTTGCTAAAGCATGATAACTCACCTGATGAGTGGGTGAGTCATCTCATATTGTAACAAGGTGACATGGCTCACTCAATGAATGGGTGAGTCATCTCATATTGTAACAAGGTGAAATGACTCACTCAATGAACGGGTGAACTGACTTGCCTTGTTAGGGTGTGAGGCAAGCTTTGTGACGACCAGGTGTGAAAGCTCACGCGCTGTGGCAAGCAAAACATGCTTCTCAACCCTTTCTTTTTATATTCACAAGACACCACATTTCAGCACATTTTTTTCTTCTTATCCTCACATTTGATCAGCGCTGCTAAAACTTTACAACTCAGAAAGGGATAGTGATAAGAGCATTTTAATTTTCAACTTTAGTTGTTTAATGTAAAAAGAATCACAATCATATTAAATCAATTGAACTCAACTGGTAGTACATAAGTCAAAATAAATTTTACAATGTTATCTTTAAAAATAAAATCAATAGAAAATCAAGAGGAAGAAAAATAATGAAATCAATTAAAAGGATTGATGGATTCAAAGTTAAAAGAACTAACTGAAAAATTAAAATAGAATAAAAGAAAAGAAAAAAGAAATCAATTTTGAGGTCTTAGCTTAATATTAGATGAGAACCTGATGAATATCAAGCAAGGACACCACAGGGCGACTTTTCACTGGGCCCACGTGAGATGCAAACAAGGTATCCTCACAACAACCCATTGTGGAGAACGAGGTGACGGTAGGGTGACGGAGGCTACGTAGCTCTCACCCAAGCTTGTCACCCATTGTCGAAATGAGCTCGCTATGAACAGCAAGCTCACATTATGCTAATGTACATAGTTTACTAGCCTAGCAGTGGGCGAGCTGGGTCATGCAAGCGCAACATGCCAGCCACATGCCCAGCATACGCCACATGAGATCTGATGCCCATCATTCAATAACTCACTTTATAATCACAAACCAAGTCTCAAGTCCTGTCTTTCAGACTTGCTTGCCCAGAGAGACTTTGTTAGGTTGGGTCTCAAGCATAAAGAATCAAAACAATCAATATACAATTTGGGATATCTTTGTGAATGGTGATATGTCAGCTGTGACGTCACAGTTGAATGTCACTGAAACATCATGTCACTTCCTCCACTGAGCCAATCTCTTCCAATGGTCACTACCATCACAATCCACATCCACATCCAACTTACAATCAAAAGTGTCACTGCATCCTTGTTCTCACACCTCATAAGACTTTCCTCAATTCTTCATTTATAGTAAGTCTATCTGTGTTTTCTCTTGTTTGTATCATCCATACTGTTGAGTGTGTTCAAATTATTGACTGAAGTGTTCTCTTTGACAATTGATCAAGCTTCTCTTTGTTCCCAGTCTCTTGCTCTTTTTTTGTCATTGATATTTAGGTCACTATTGCCTTCACTTAAATCATTTCTCATCATCATTGTTCATCTAAATTTGCATCAATTGTATTCTTTTCACCAGCACCCAACCATAGCTGTCAATTGTTTATGTTGTACTTCCAATAAACTTGTTTTTTTTACCCTACTGAAGATCCTTTTTACTGACCATATCAATAACTTCACTTGAAATACTTCACATCTTCAACAATCTCAATTCCCTACCGAGTATTTTGATTCCCATCATCATTTTGATTTTTAATTTGATGGTTTATATTTCAATTGTTTCCATTCATTTTCAGATCGGTCTGTCTGTGTTTTTTTGTGTATGTATATGGGTGTGTCAATGCAAATAATAGATGAGTGTTCTTTGTACAAGTTGATTTTGTGAGTAAATCACAAATGCTGAGCCTAAATCAAATGGGCATGCTGGTGGTGTATGTCATACATCGGGGTTATTCAACATTCATCCGTTGCTCACCCCTTCATTGGGTGAGTCCTCTCACTCAAAAAACTGGTGATCTAGCTCACTTGATGACAAGGTAAAATCCACCACCTGGTGGATACGTTGTCACATTGGGTGAAGCTTGCACTGGCTGGCATGTGTAGCTCACATCGGGTATCACGAGGTGGACAGCACCTATTTCAATGGCAGAGGGACATCTCACGTGAGCGTCACGTGCCACCTGCCCCATGGTGCACTAATTGATATTGAAACATCAAGATTGATTGAGTAACTTGATCACTTGACGGCACATCATCATTTGATAAGTTGAGCAACACCAAGGGATTTCATGTATAGATTTATGGCACAGCCTCAGGTCTGACGTTAAGGATCAATAGCAGGGTTCAAGTCAAAATGATTTGGACCTAAAACGGCTTTTAGACATCGCTCAAAGGTTGTAAATTATAACTCACATTTTATGACTCGCGAGGTCTAAAATGATACGACAATAAGGGGGCTCAAGTCAAAAACTTTGCGGCCTTTTCTTAAAAAATTGAGGAAAGTTTTTTACGGTACCGTGCTGTAAAAAAGGACCGTAAAAATTTCTTTCAGATCTCCTTCTGAGCAGCAGATTTACGCAAATTTGCGAAAATTTGCTGCTTAAGGCACAGGGGCCAAAATTGATGCTCACATGTATGTGAGTGTTGTAGACTTTTTTGAAGTCTCCAAAAAAGATTAATTTTCTTTCAGATTCATTCAATTCACAATTTTGGTTGTGTTCAGGGGATCAGCCTGTTTTGCTCACATTTTGCTTGACATTGATTGAGAAGGCTCATTTCCATCTTGGATGAGCAATAACTGAGTCCAGATGAGTACTCAGGATCAGCTCATGACACTGCAAAAATAATGTATTTTTCCAAGGTGAAAAATGATTGACATTAATGCACAAAATGATTAATAATGCAGAATTAATGCAGAAAAATGCAGAATTAATGCATTTTTAATCATTTTGTGAAACAAATGTAATCATTTTTCACCTTGGAAAAATACATTATATTCGCAGTGTGAGTCACTGAATACTCAGCAATTTGGTCAAAATGAAAATGAACACATGAACTACACCTTCCTCAGGCTTCATTTCTTAGTGAAGAAGCCTGCACAGGGAATATCACATTTGAGCTGCCTAGGAAATACTAAGTAGCATCCCCTGGCTGGGTCACTGATGGGCCAGACTTTCCTCAGACTTCCTTGCTAAGGAATGAAGCCTCATAAAAGAGCCATCCTCCTGCTCAGTTTATCTCAGCCGCTCAGCTAATCCTAAGTGATGTCCCCTGGACAAAGCTGCTCACACCGAGGGGCTGAGGTCAACTGAGCAGCCCCTCAGCCAATACTCAGTGACATTGTTTGGATCTTTCTAATCCCAGGAATCCCCCTGAGGACTAGCTGAGCAGCTGAGCAGCCCCTCAGCTAATACTCAGTGACATCCTTGGGCTCCTTCTGATCCCAGGAATGCCCCTGGGGACTAGATGAGCAGCCCCTCAGCCAATGAGCAGTGAAATCCTTTGGATCCTTCTGATCTCAGGAATATCACTGAGGGATAGTTGAGTAGCATTGGTCAACTGATCAGATGGGCACCAGGCTTCATTCCGGAGCCATGACGCCTGAGGCAAGGCTGGCCCTGTGTGATCCATCCAAGGGATGCTGCAGTGAATTAGCTAAGAGGATACTCAGGTCAGCTCAGCCCCCAAGCTAATCATAAGTGGTGTCCCTTGGAGCCTACTGAACCAGGGAATGACGCTCAGGATCAGCTGAGCAGCTGAGATATACCGAGCAGATGGATCAGCCCTTCCTCAGACTTCTTTGCTAAGGAATAAAGCCTGGGCAAGGCTTAGTTTTTCTGCTCAGTTCTGGTTAATCACGTAATCAGCTGATGAGTAGAAAGAAATAGGAAAGAAAAGGGAAGTAAAATTGAACAAACATTGAAACAAACACAAAAATTTCAACGCTCACACCTATGTGAGCATCTATTTTTGCCCCTGTGAGGGGGGCTCAAGTCAAGATATTTTACTACTTTTATTGTAATTTTTTTAAGCAGCAAATTTACACAAATTTGCGTAAATCTGCTGTTCAGAAGGAGATCCAAAAGAAATTTTTACGGTCCTTTTTTACAAATTGGGAAAGGTTTTTACTTGTGGTTGGGACGTGTTTTAACCGAGGGGAATAGGTGTAGGTTTAGAGAGTTGTGAAAATGGGAAACAGAGTTTAGGTTTTGTTCTTTAATCTTCTTTGAAGATTTGTATGTCTATGGGAAAGAGATCTTTGTAACGGTTTTCAAGGTTCTTTACCAAAAAGTCTATTCTTCATCTTTGTAATCCCAAAAGCCGAATAATCCTTTTTGCTTCATTCTTCTTTACCAGTTTGATCACATCCATAACTTTATCAACAAAAATTTGTCTCTGTCCTGTTACGGTTTTTTACAATTTTTTTGTTTCTCACCCACCCTCCCATTTTTAGTCGGTTTCTTATTGTAGTGTTATAGGCCACCCGCCGGGCCTCTGGTTGTTAGCTTTCTCTGTCACTGCAATCCGCTCAGACCCTCCGGGGCCGTCCAGAGTTTAGCATAACAAAAACAAAACTCGTCAAAGTTTCCAAGAACGGAAACTCTTGTGCCTAACCTCTTCCAGCACGGTACCGTAAAAAACTTTCCCCAATTTTTTAAGAAAAGGCAGCAAAATTTTTGACTTGAGCCCCCTTATTGGGGAAAGTTTTTTACGGTACCGTGCTGTAAAAACTTTTCCCAATTTGTAAAAAGGGACCGTAAAAATTTCTTTTGGATCTCCTTCTGAGCAGCATATTTATGCAAATTTGCGTAAATTTGCTGCTTAAAAAAATTACAATAAAAGTAGTAAAATATCTTGACTTGAGCCCCCCTATTGGGCAAAGTTTTTTACGGTACCGTGCTGTAAAAACTTTTCCCAATTTGTAAAAAAGGGCTGTAAAAATTTCTTTCGGATCTCCTTCTGAGCAGCAGATTTACGCAAATTTTCATAAATTTGCTGCTCAAAAAAATTCGGGAAAAGTTTTTTACCATCAAAGTAGTAAAATATTTTCACTTGAGCCCCCATAATGCCTATAATTTTAAGATGATTGATTTTTTTTTGGATCAAGAAAAAAATACCGTCTTTTTTTGTTTCAAGAAAAGGTGTACGAGTAGTTTTTTACTTCCCTAATGGGTGTTTTCTTTGTCCTTCTCTCTCGTTGAGTCCATAACAGCAGATAGAATGTGCCTTTTTCCAGCACTTGTACCTTTGTCTCAAAGCTTTTCTTTGTCTTTTTATAAGACTTGGTGGCCTCTCTTTAAACCATTCTTACGACATCCAAGTCGGTTTTAGGTAAAATTTGTCCTAAAAAACTCTCTCGGATGTTGTAAAATTCCTACTTGGAATTTTTGACTTGAACCCCGCTAATGCCACGGAGTACAAGCAAAAATTGTGGATGAAGAGGGCCCCCTTGGGATCCCATCCCCAAACTTCAAATGCCATTGAGACTTTTTAGAAACAAAACATCCGACACACAGTTTTATTTGTCAACAGTGAGCCAGTGATCCTTTCTGGAGGCCCGGAGCATGATGTAGTAGGAACATCTGGTACCTCTGGGGCTTTGAACTTGGAAGATGTAAATATGTACAATGGTAATGTTTACATACGCACTTTCCTTTCATTGCACTTTTAGCTCTTTGTGTGGTATACAAAATTTCAGAAACAAACAAGGAGCAGCAGGGCGTTGTTGGAACTCTTTCAATGCAGTTTTTTTGTCAAATCACACAAGCTGATCAAAATCCACAACCAATTGTCAAAATCACATAATAAGGGGGCTCAAGTCAAAAATTTTGCGGCCTTTTCTTAAAAATCGGGGAAAGTTTTTTATGGTACCGTGCTGTAAAAACTTTTCCCAATTTGTAAAACAGGACCGTAACAATTTCTTTTGGATCTCCTTCTGAGCAGCAGATTTACGCAAATTTGCGTAAATTTGCTGCTTAAAAAAATCGGGATGTTGTATAACTTTTCCCAATTGCATAAAATTTTGCGTAAATTTTATGCAATTGGGGAAAAAAATTAAGGGGTGTCAAGTTGAATTATTTACAACAACTTTTTTTTAATGCGGATAAGTTTTTACGTTTTTGTCGTAAGAATAAATTTCCGCTGTAAAAAAATAGGTCGCTGAATTTGAATTGTAACCTATTTTTGAGTGTAAATTTACGTTTTACGAAAACAGGACACCTTTATGTTCATCCCGTTTTCGTAAGATTTACGTAAATTTACGCTACTGCGGAAATCTTTTTTACGGGTTTTTGTCTTAAATAATTTGACTTGACACCCCCTATTACAATAAAAGTAGTAAAATATTTTGACTTGAGCCCCCCTAATGTTTTAGGTCTTGTCAAGGACAAAAACGTCACAACAGGTCAACAGTTTCTATTCTAGCTCATCTTCACTCGAAGGCGTCCATTTTCCTTCTCATCCAGGCCTTGTCTTCGTCTGTTCCAAAAGTCTGTTCGATTCCTATCTTCATTTGCTTTAGAAGTAAGGCTCTATCTCCTCCAAGAATTTGAAGAGCCAACTGGTACTCATTTGCAGACGTGGTTTCAAATAAGAGTGTATCATCGGTCTATACGGGAATCAGTTTTCACAACTCAGAGGACAATGGTTTGACTTGTTGACTTACTGAGATGAGCACAGGGACTCCGTTTTTCACTGCCCATCTGAGATGATGTTCCTCAACTGATTTCACCGTTTTGCCAAGCACATTGGACGTGATGCAAATCTCAATTGGTAGCTTATTTGTTATGACATGCTGTTGCGCTGAGTCTGTCAGAAATGTAGCATGGCCAAGACGGTCTGGTTTAAGTTCACTAAGCTGATGATCAAGGTACGGTCCTTGGGCTTCAATCTGTTCATATCAACAGGAAAGTATCAATGAGTGAAAAAAGCTTGGCCTAGGGCAATAAATTGTATATTGATGTTACATGCTAGTCGACTAACCTCGGAGAAATGCACGGTGACCTTCAAGCCATACTCCTCTTGCGCCTTTCTCAAAGCCGGGATCAGTTCTCGGTACCTACCGCTTAGAGTTGGATTACCGCATACATCGATGCCAACTATTCCACGTCCCCGCTCTTTTTGGGCTAGCTCAATGATGGCGAGAGCCTCCTCTGTGCTATGTTTCCAATCAACGCTAACTAGCAATCGAACTCTCATGTTACTTTGATCATAGGATTCAATTGCTTTCAACACAGTATCTAGATATTGCGCCTTATCCATGGATTCACAATTCCTTGGGGTGGTGCGAAGCTCAAGATAAATGCAGCCATCTTTTTCAAAAGATTCCAAAACTGACATAGTCGCAGCTGTGACGGCCTTTGGATTATCTGTAACCTTGTAAATGTCATTCTGGAATGCACCAAAAAATCTGGCCGTACTTTTTTTTCTCAGTGACCATATCCCTAAACTCTGGACACAGATTTTCAAATACTTACTGTTCAATTGTGTGGGAATCAAAGAGAAATTCTGAGGCTAGTTCAGGATGCTTTTCAGCTGCTATAGCTCGAAGCTCGAGAAATTTGTGACGAGGAATGGAACCATTTAAGTGAGCATGACTGCTCAAACAACGATCATGTTTTTGTCAACTGGACTTGTAACTTGATTTTTGTTGAAGAATGAATGTTAAAGAAGGCTTACCATTCGAGCTTTGGCAGTTGCTTACAAAATTGAATATCTGTGCTAATTGAATCAAAAGAGGAGACTACCCCGTATAGCCATACGGATATTGATATCAAGCTGAACACTTTCATAATGCCAATTCTTGAGTAGGGCATTATATTCGTCAGGAAAATTTTATAGGGCGCGGGTGTAGATAGCAGTTCATTTCACTACCACAAACCAAATGACGCGGAGACTTACTATGTGCTTGGCTTTCTTGATACGAAATTGAGGGGTTATTTCGAAGGCAGAATGTTATATGACCTTGTCAAATGATGCGGCGCAAATGCAAGTAAAGATTTTTGATCGTATTACATGACAGTGAAAGATGGATTATAGCTTAGGAGCTTAGGAAATCGGCCGAGTATAGCGAGCTGTAAAAAGATCTCAAGGTAAAACTGAGCATTTGATTAAGGGTACTCAAAGCAAAGTATGTAGCGCTACATACTTTTCGCTACATACTTTTTTTGGCGGGGACAAAGAAAAAAAATATACTTTTGGCCTCGCCTTCCCCGCCAAAAAAAGTATATAGCAAAAAGTATGTACACGTACATACTTACTTTGAAACACATACCAGAACACATGCTTATCTTATCATACTAGAATGTCAGAAAGTAATTCTCACCGGGATAGAAACCGTCTGCGACTCGCAAACCGCATAAGATGTTCAAGCGGAAAACCGGTTCGAAGCAGATGTGGATTAAATTTAAGGTTACCAAAGCATTGTGGCAAAGTTGAAACCCGAGCATGATGCCGATCAAACTTATAAAACAAGCGTACAATGCGGAGTTTGAGCGTATAAAAGCGATGACATCACGACCGCGACAACCAAAGTATTAAGATAATTATTCGTCTATCGTCTCTCGTTTCGTTTCTCGTTTCGTCTCTTATCTCGTCTCTCGTCTCTCGTCTTGTCTCGTCTCTCGTCTTGTCTCGTCTCTCGTCTCTCTACATTACTGATAATTATCTTATGATGCAATGTCTCCTTCTTCTAATCTATCTATGATGTGTACCTTGTTATTACGAGCTCAAACCTGTATGAGAATGTCTCATCTTTCTCAATTATTGTTCCCTCTTCATTCATTCTTATCAGATTGTGCTCTCGTACCTCCAGGTACTTCTCTTTGCTTTCACTCGTGTTCTCTGCCTTAGCACTGAGAACTCTCGTGCTTCACAAAGCTTGTACGCTTATACAAAGAATTGTGGCCTGCGCGAAGCGCGTAAAAATATGGTGCGGAATGAATGTAGACCTGTACAAACAGCTCTCAAAGAGCACCGTCCAAATCAAGAAGTTGACTTCCTTAGAACATGTTTCATCCTACAAAGAACGCTGGGTGAAAATGGTGAGAGGGTGAGATAGCGAACATCGAGAAAAGAGTGCACTGCTATCTGCATGTCAAAAGTTGTGAAATGCAAGGCAATCATATCAAGTGATCTTGGATGTCTCAAGGGCGCGTGTAGGCAGGTGTAGGTCATGTAATGAATCAGACCCAGATTTAAAAGAACTCAACAGCTCAACTCACTTTTCTCGAACAAATTGGTGCTAAAAGTGGCATGAGCATGTGTAAAAGGCTTATACAAAGCACCTCACACTTTTTTGTGAGGTTTCATGATGTTTACAGACCTCAAGATGAGGTTTTAAGCAAAAGTGCTTCAAAATCCTACTGTGCTCAGGCCAAGCCCGAGGTTTTAGTCATAAGCACCTCTTCAATAGCGGATGCGGCTGCATTGGAAGAGGGGCTTATCTCTGGCATATACTGATACCCGCTCCCAGCTTGATTTCCAACATCAAGAATACTACTTGCCTTGCAGCATTGACATATCTTACCCTTATCTTTTGTGTGCACCATCTTACAGCAAACAGAAACCTTATACTGCGAGAGTCATAGAACATTACGGGGCTATCGGCTAGGCTTCTCCTAGGGCAACCCCCAATGCATAGATGTACGTAAAAACCCCCTGGTACGCTTGATGAGTATAGAGAGCTCTGTTGCGAACAAAAATTGCGAATGATTGCTGATGATTACAAAGTATTCAATGAACAATATTTGACATTATCATGTTAACAAAATCAATTTCAGTTCAGCTTTTTGTGCCAAGGATATATGACTGAGCCCTCAAACATAGTGTTCTCTTCACATTATCAAGCCCTGCAACTTCCGGTGTATGTACTTGAGCTCTATTCAATGCCCTGATGTTCCTGTACATAGTGTGATAAGTACTCTGATTGAAACTCTGTTGCCAACAAAGCCATGTTGCTATGAAGACTCGAAACGAGAGATAAGAGCTAAAATGACATCCTGCAGTCTATATGGGTGTCTGATCAAGATAGAACGTCTCTTGCTCATTGCGAATGTAAGCTTCAGAAACCCTGGCAGCAGTGTATCATTTGACTTTTTCAATGCAATATTCTATATAATCGACCCACATAGTACAAATTCACAATCAAGGATCAAGATTCTATAGACCATAAGGTTTTTCTATGAACATTCGAGCCCATCCTTTGTGAAGTCATCTATTTTACTTCTCATCCAGGCCTTATCTTCGTCCGTTCCAAAAGTGATTTCAATCCCCATCTTAATTTGGTTTAGCAGCAAGGCTCTATCTCCACCAAGAAGTTGTAAAGCAAGTTTGTACTCATTTGAAGAAGTGGTATCGAATAAAAGTGTGTCATCGGTCTACAGAGGAATTTAGGATTCATAACTAGGACGTGGTTTTGACATCAAGTTTGATAGCCATTAAAAACTTACCGAGATGAGGACAGGGATTCCATTATTCACTGCCCATTTCACATGATGTTCCTCGACTGATTCCACCGTTTTGGTAAGTAAATTGGATGTAATACACACCTCAATTGGTAGCTGGTTCTCTATGACGTGATTTTGTGCTGAGGCTGTGAGAAATGTCGCATGGCCCAGACGGTCTGGTTTAAGGTCTCTAAGCTGATGATCTAGGTACGGTCCTTGGGATTCGATCTGTTCAAGTTACGGAGAGCGCAGGATCAATGTTAGAATACTACTCAGTCTCAGCCTACCCACACTAATTAGAAAATGAGGAAAGATGTTAGTAGACTAACTTCGGAAAAATGTACGGTGATCTTCAGGTTGTACTCCTCTTTAGCCTTTCTCAAAGCCGGAAGTAGCCCTCGGTACCTACCACTTTTAGAGGGGTCACCACACACGTCGATACCCACAATTCCACGTCCCCGTTCTTTTTGGGCTAGGTCGATGATAGCCAAAGCTTCCTCAGGGGTATGTCTCCAATCAACGCTTACTAACAATCGAATTATCATCTTCGTTTGATCATATGATTCGATTGCTTTCAAGACGGTATCGAGATATCGAGCCTTATCCATGAATTGAGAATCGCGTGGGGTGGTACGAAGCTCGAGATAAATGCAGCCATCTTTTTCAAAAGATTCTAAAACAGACACAGTAGCTGTCGTGACGGCCTGTGGATTATCTGTGACCTTGTAAATATCATTCTGGAATGCAGCAAAAAATCTGGTCATACGTTTTTCTCAGTGATGGCATTCCCAAACCCTGATCCAAAATTTTAAGATACTTACTGGTCCAGTGTGTGTGAATCGAACGAAAAGTCGGAGGCCAGTTCAGGATGTTTTCCAGCTGCTAAAGCCCGCAGTCTGAGAAATGTGTCTCGGGGAATTGAACCGTTCAAGTGAGCATGGCTACACAAAGAATAGTTATGTTCTCATTAACTGGGTTCGTAATCCGAGTTTTGTTGAAGAGTGATCGAGACGAAGGCTTGCCATTCGAGTTTTGGCAGTCGCTCGCAAAACTGAAGATCGGTCGTCCGGACATTCTTGGGACTAGGAATAGCAGCTGTTGAGCTCGAAGGACTGATATTCATCGACATCGTGAGGGTCGTGGACTTTGGAAACTCTTGATAAGAATTTCCAGGAATTTCCCGAATTGTACATTTCGTCCCTACACCCCGTTCATAACGATGCCCCGGGGAATGATTGAATTTGTGGAGGAGATCAACAAAAGTTGTGTGTGAGGGAATCTTCTGAAAACTCATAAAGTATGTACTGAACAATAAACATCAGAAATCTTCGCAGCCATTAATAATGTTAAGGACAGTATCCAGGTCATGAGCAACAACTGGATTCAACAATCATGAAGTGGCTCCCAGAAGTGAGCAAAGGTGACGTCCAGAATTCTGTGCTTACTCACTTTTCCAGATCCTCATGTGCGAGGAAGATTTAGATGGCATCATGACGGCCACCAGGTGAGGGGATATCCGAATGATCGGAATGAGCCAAAAAGACTCCTTGGAGCGTTCCCTCAAGCTCTTGAGTCTAACCTCCTCAGGGTTGCCATTCGACCATACCTCGGATTACGGATGGTCACCTAAAGGAATCAAAAGGAAATTCACATTACCTGCTTCTTTTGTGACAAATCAATATTTAAGCTAATAACTGATTGTTGCAGAAAGTTATGTTTACATGGTTTGAGATGTTAAGTCGGAAAAGATAAAGCTATACATTGCAATTGATAATAAAATCTGCTATCAAGGACGTGATCTTGATAAATAAGTAGGTATGTTTTGGTTCATCCCTTATAACCATAGATGATTAAGAGGAAGGACAAACAAGAGGATTAATGATGATGTGATGTAATGCTATTTTGCTGAGACCGTCTTGAACTGCAATAAAGATCAGAAGATTAACAGAAGTGAAGCAAAAACAGCAGTAAAATTTGTACAAGCACAGCAATAACGATGGTAATATATCATAACAAATCGAGTCGAACCCATATAAGAAGGTCTCATGGTTTTTTGAGGTCATTAAACGCTTTATGACATTCAGTTATCTTTTTTCTTATCATTCTTGATCACTTCAATCTCAAGTTCGATAACTTTATTCGATTGAAGTCGTCGACGAAGCGCATCACCCAAACCAGTAGCTTTTGTACAAATTTCAAAAACAATGTTAAGGAGGTTCATCAATATGAGTTTCATTTTCACATTTCATAGAATCAGGATTCACAACACACCTGGGGTCAGAATGCCTCCAGCTTTAGCCAGTGGGGTAAGTTCATCGTACGATTTGATTACGGTTACTGCACATTCTGCAATACACATTGATGTCCAAGCATAACCCTGTCAAAAACGAATAAAGCATATCATCAGACTATGAAGGCTGAGCTGGAATCAAAAGGATAGATAAATAAATGAAAAATCAACTTGAAAACTCACTGCGTCCTTATTACCGCGCATGGTCGAGCTAACTTGTACATCATCATCCAGCGAATGAGCAGTTGTGATCATTTTGAACCAACCCGATTCTCGTTCTCTAATTTCATCATGTATGATAACCCAAAATCAGATTACATTGAAAATATCTAGAAAGCAAACTACAGACCTACTTTTTCGAAGGACCATCTCCACTTTGAGGACCAAATCTTCTGACCAATCCTCTGATTTGAGGGATAAGGAGAACAAACCCAATGATCCTAAAGGCTAGAGTTAAGAGAAACCCAGCCAGTGCACCTGGTGTGATCATGTACTCGTAGTAGGTAAATTGAGGTCCATATCTAGCGTGATCCGGTACAGTCTCGCCGTCTGAAGATTGGAGTAAGCCCCACGAGCGACGTACAATGGCGCAATTGTGTGGCGCCTATGCTAGGAAATTCAATATAAGTCTTGATCTCTAAATCTGTGTGCTTGTGAAGATTGATTTGAAGATTGATGTACTGACCATGAAGAAGAAACCACCTACGAGGGGACCCTCGCGTGTAATCCAATCTCCTGTTCTCTTCTGGACACCTTCAACTGGTATGATACAAGAAGCCATCAAATTATTTGAAGTATCATCAAGCACTAGTTGGAAACACCTTACCAGGACTCAAAAAATAGCACGACATGGTTTTGCGCAAGGCAGGAAGACCCTCATCATACATGGTCAACAAGCTAGCGACAGTTCCTCCACTGAAACCCGATTTAACTTGGACACCCGACGTGACTAATCCGACACTTGAATCTTGACCGGTAATCTTTTTTAATTCATGAGCTGCGATCATGGTATTCAAATCGCTGGGGACCGAATCGAATCCACAACTTGGGATTATGATGGCTTTGGAATCTTTTGCTTTGGTTGTGAGTCGAGAGATCTGACGTGAAACCCATAGGGCTTCACCCGTCAAATCAAAATAATGGGTTCCATTTTCAGCACAAGCTGAAATTAGAGCATCACCATATAATGCATAAGGTCCGACCTGTACCAATTGATTCCATATTAGTCAGTAAATCAAGATATATGAGAATCAGGAAAGAAGAAAGACTTACTAATGTGATAACAGCTTTGGTTTGTTTACACATATTTGCTAAACCATCAGCATCGAATGAATCGACCACAAAGGTCGGTAAAGAAGAAGGTAAATCTAATTCAGATTTCACTTTCTCAAGTTTTTCTTTCGATCGACCACCTATACCGATTTTGAGTGTCTCCTCTGAAGAACCATTGTGATCTAAATATTGGGTTTTGAAGTAAGTGCAAACCAGTTTGCCTGTGAAACCTGTTGCACCATACACTGGTAAAAAATGATCACGTAGCTTGGGTTTAAGTAACTGCGACCCTCAAGCAAATAGATAGAGAAGTCAAAGGAACTAACCAATGATATCAATTTTTTGATCAGCGTGTGGCATCTTTGCGTACACGATGAAGAGAACAAGCAAATCGAACTTGTAACGAGAAGGAAATCGTTCCAGTTGAGAGATCAGGAGGTGCAATCATTCTGCCGGCAGCCAAATACATACATTCTTCGGTCATTCCGGTGCCGTTCATCATGGTTCATTGAACATTACTTCTTCGATAGTGATTGTCTTTTCAGTTCCCCCAAGATTTTGATTTTTTTCAGTTACTAGGCCAATTGTGCGTCGACAGAATTCGTGAAATCGAAGAAGATGTGCAATGACAAAAATCAAAATAGTGTGTATGTATAAAGCCATGATATCGGTTTACAGGTGAGGAAGTCAGGAAATTATGTATTGTCACACAAGGGACATTTGTATTCATAGGCGTTTTTTTATGAAGAGCTCGTGTCAGCGGTCACTGATCCATCTTGCATTCACACTTCCGCAATGTCTCATCTGTGCCTGATCACAAAGCGCGGTCCTGGCACTTAACGTTGCGCATATAGCCTTGTCGTGGACCTGGCTCGTCAAAAGTCCAATTATCAATTTTACATTCATAAAAAAATCTACTTCAACTTTTCTTCATAACAATCTTGATTGTCACTTCTTGAACTTAAGATCCTTCATTCCTGGTCATCTTTCGAAAAATGTGGTGCGATGTGAGTCACAATGTATGGCACGCTGAAAGAGCTTTGAATCTAACGAGGCATGTCTCTTAATTGGATCGTGATGATTTAAACCTGCTTAAGAATTGCTGTCTTCTCTTTCCGATGCGGAGAGGAGCTATGGCCTTGTGTTTTTTCATATTCTTTTACAGGTGCGCCCGCTTAAAACGTTCACACTGCCATTGCCTTCGCCTCAAGATTTCTACCCATCGAGTTGATCATCGATTTTATACTTCCCTCACCCTAAATGACGCGTTCCCGCTTTGACGATGACGTCTAAATGATACCAACGACATCAATGGATTATGTCCGCGAACTAGTTTGGCCGGCGCGATATTCCTCTTTTACGTTGGATCTGACTTGTGGCCCGACCAGTTGAGTTCTAGCCATGATCAATATGAGCCGCGGTGCGGCACAAATAAAGGCTGACGGGGTTATTTCTTATCGGACGTCTTTCCCCTGCGCGCTACCTATGGGTAATTGTGCATCAATCGATATTTTCTCCAAAAGCCACGAGTCGATAGTATTTGCTTCGGTTTCTGTGGCCAACTGTGTGGTCGCGTTTGCAAGTACGACGGCGCTCAGTCGTCAGTCGTGGTCTGTCAGTTATCCTCTTACAATAGACGTGGGTCATTCTGAAAGCTGACGATTCTGAAAAAAACATCTCACAGGCACTTAAAAGTATTAGTCTCCTTTGGGCATTGGTGCTTGGCTTGTCGCTCGTGCGAGGAATTGCAATGCTGGTGATCCTCAGTTCAAGATCCTCAGCAATCATGCAGTTGTGCGGTTCAGCAACAACGACGGACACCGACGCACCTGCAATCATTCGAAGTGTGGTCAGCTCAACTTTCAAAGGATTTACAGCACGTAAGTTGCCTCTCACTTGGGAATGTCGTACAATGGTTATAATCTAAGGAAGACATCTTATCTTATGAGACTATTTGAAAAGTGTTCTGTCCCCTGGGATTTCACACGCTCTTTTTGGCTTTTGCAGGTTCTCTAGTGATTGATGGTATACTACAAGTAAGTCTACATCGATGAGAAGAGTCAATTTGATGTTTCTTAAACCATGGTGTATTTTATTAACACGACGCTCCTGTAGGCATACGCCGCCTTACTTGTAGTCAGGAATCATCAGCGTATGACTCATTACAAATGTTAGTCATTTCATCTTATCCTACCTTTTTTGCAGAATGTTATTTTGACATATCTCATTTGGTCAGCCATTCAATCGCAAGCAGTAGATGGCATGTCTTGATTAAGTATCCAAGTGTTTCACCTCACCCTCAGTGCCTCTGGTGTAGGGCATCTCCCATTTTTACATTTAATTATTTATATCTCTTTATTCATTTACCAAACCTTTCTTGATTATCTGTGATTCAGCTTTAGTCATAGTTATGCACATTCCATATTGACATTCACAACATTCTTGATAGTAGTCATACATTTTCTCTAATCACTTCTCAGTCTTTACCTTGCATTATTGATTTTATAAATCAAGATAATATAATTATATTCAACTTGCGAATGGAGATGGTGATCTTCTGGCCGAAATATAGCAGAGTCATCACAGCTGTTTTCTGAATACGTGGGAGGTTAGTGATACATTGAGCTTCATATGGTGGTCAATCTCTTCGAGAAAGTAGCAAACAATTTCAAGTCAATTTGATCAATATTCAATATATTCCCATCATGGGACCTTTCTACTTGATTAGTTAAAGTAATAACGTGATGGAGCCTTGTAGTGGGGTTTTAAAACAACATCTCTAGTCGGGAGTGCCGGAGATTAATCGTGTATGCTTGTTTCAAGCTCTATGAGGTGTTAGATATGTACTCCCTAGAAAAACATAATTGCACAACACTGCATCTTCTCCAGAATGATTGATAGAGGTGGCGAAGGGCCTCATGTTCAGCCCTTGAGCGTGTATCTATGTGTAGTAAAAAAATGACTACTTACTAATACGCATACTCCATGATAATTTACACCAGTGAATGTTTCTCAATGACAAAAGTCCATCCTATCATTATTCATTTGAGATGTTTATCCCACTACACAAGCTTCCACATCTGCAACAGATCAAAAGCGTGTATGTATTCAAAACTCCAATTTTTGAACCGAGCTTTGTGTCTTTTTTCCCTGTTGCCTGTGAACTGAGAGTGACATGTAGATTCCAAGGGTACTGAGACTTTGAGGTATTGATGCAGACCACGGAAAGGCTTGGTTTTCTATTGTCTAGACCGTCATGGAATCTCGAACCCTCTCAAAAACGTTTGCACAAATCACGTACCACAACCACACATACATATACATTTCTCAAGGGACCTGATGGAAGCAAACGATTCTCAGGTGGACAAAGGTGGACACCCAGGAATAATTGTGGCTGGGCTACGGCGAATATCCCGGACAAAAACGATCCGAGTACAACATGTACGTTGTGGTCACATGACTAGCACGACTCCGTCACAGCCATCTCTCACGCTGTAGCCAGCAAAACTCTTCACTTCCGAGTCTCAGATTTCATTAGCTCAACAAAGCCCTCTCCCGGCCGCGCAGAGAGGGTTTTGTTAAGTAAGCTAACAGATTCCATATCACTTGTGGAACTCAGTTGATTATTGCTCATACTCATGCGTCTTCGAATGTTTTGTTCTTCATCGATTGTAACTTCAAACATCACGCCAGTGTCTTGGAAATCAATCGACGGTTTCTATCTTGAGACTTGAGCTGCATTGAGTCAACTTATCTGCAACTCTGAATTTTGAAGACTCTCACCTGACTCTCGTGCTGGAGCCTGCATGAGACACTGACTGTTAGGACTGGGCAACAGAAATTTTTGTCAGCGGTGTTTATACCCACCCAGGGAAATATTGGGAACATAGCTTCGTTTTTCTGACCGTTGACTCTTCTTGCTTAAGCTAAATCTATCACTACCAATAGACTCGTACATACTCTTATGGAAATACATACCCACAATCAAACATTGAGCTAGGGCCTACTAGGACTGTAGATTTCAATCAGCGCGAGAGGTATACTGGTATTTGCGTCTCCACAGAATCGGCTTCGAGTCTGACTTTTGACAACGCTTGCAGAGTCGAGCTATGTAGTCGATGGCAGGGTTCCGGAGTCCGGTTCAACACCGTGCGGTGTTCGGCTATTTTCGCGAGGTGAATTGCTGATCATGTTCGTGAGCTGACAGTGAGACAATGAGCTTACAGGAATGCATTCCCCAGATAAACTCAGATACCTTCAAGTGCCCTAAAATTTGGGTTCACGAAGCAACAGAATCATCGGTTGATGCATCCATCATCGCGATGATGGCGACCATGGTCTCCGGAAACAGAACGTAGCAAGCCCAACACAGTGTGGCCGTGTCAATGCGATGCAGTCCGACCCCAATTCTGTCGTGAATGATAAGTTTAAGCGCCGAAATGCAGACGATCTGACCGGACCGGCGTATGCAGCCTGGTGGCTTCCCTGAAATATTTCCTTTCGTGAGATCTCAATTCGATCGAAGCTCAACAGATAACACAGACTCATCGAGCCTCCACAGATAACATAGACTCATCGAGCCTCCACATCTTCCTAATCAGGCATGAATGTATTTGCGTTCCACAATCGCTATGTCCATATGTCAAAGCTGGTCTTCAATCAAAACAGAGCGCGTTCGAAATCGATACTAGTGAGCTTTCGTAATTTAAAAATCAAGTGCCATACGTGTTCTAATCTCATGGAGTCAAGGGCCATGGCTGCTCGATATAATCCATGAGTCATCCATACACATACAACGTATCACGGGTGCACATGCCAGTGAGATGTAGATGGAGACCGAAGTCGTACTCGTGGGCCATGGTCGCCTGACATCATATATGTCGCCAGAGTAGCCAGGTCTGCTTGATAGTGTAATTGATTTATTTCTTGCACTTATCAATCGACGGGTGTCTTTCATCAGCAATCGACGCCTGGCATCATGCGCTTTATCGAAAGCCATGATCCATTTCCATAAATATTGAAAGTACATACATATATGCATTCTGTTCACACGCCTCATTAAAGCTGAGCTTCGGGAATCGGCGTAACATACCCTGTAAATACAAGCCTTCGAAGTATGGATAAACAAAACTATTTCCCATCACCACCCATTTGCGCATTCATTCTGCTTTTTACAACAAGTGAAATTTCTACCATTTCATTACATTTTTATCTCAAGATATAAATTGATACAATTTTAATGTCTAAGTGGTCTATTTTCTAGAAGGATTTCAGGCCCCGCATAATCCCTTGGTTGTCTGCTATCATTTCACATCCCCATGGTACCACAAAGTCATAATTTATCGTACAGTCCAGGTTACGGTGAGAAAGACAATATTGCCATGTTCAAAGTTTTGTGATTTCTTCTTTGCATATACACCATCTTTGCCATTCAAAATTGTTTCGTTGGTGTTTGATGAATCATGATGAGGTCCCCATGGAGCATATCTAACCTTGATGTCAAATCACTGATACCAGTAAAGGTGACATAGCAGAAGACTGGAGAAATTAGGGAATGTCCAGCAAAATATGTAAGCTGAATAGTCAGCTGAAGTTGAACGCCCAAAAGTCCAAGTCAGGTGGCAAGTTGGCAAGTTAAGGAAGTATCGACGTCGCGACCATGTCAAATGCATATATGACGCGGTGATTGACGTTCATCGATGATCAAACCTGATCAAACACATTGCTCATCTACGTAACAACCATTTGCCACTCTCGATGCATTTGTCTTTCTTATCGGAATTGAGCCAAATCTGATACATATGTGGTGGTTTTGGGTGTGAAGCTTATTTAGAATAAAGCATTACTTTACGAACCTCGACCAATCATAAGCCAGGATCGCGTGAAAATGTTTTGTTGTTCTACGGCGCTATCGCTTCGAAGTTCGCTCTGTGTTGATGGTAAGCGTCGTGTGAGAAGGATTTTGTCGCGTAGAAACTGTAGAAACCGAGTCGGATTAATACATAATTATTAGCATGTTTTTTCTTATCGAAAACTGAAACTTTAAAAAAAGGGTAATTTTTAATAGCATGGTCAACTTGATACATACATAGAACTGAGCAATGACAGGCGGCGAGTTGAGAAAGCAAAAAATTTCATACGACGGCTAATTATATTGACGAAGTTGAAATGTTCAAATGAAAAACGCTAAACCCCGCTTGAATCAATTCATCAATTCTCCCCGAAGAGGCGGACTGAATTGATTTTACTCTCTCTTGGGTTCAATCAAGATGGTTGCTCCTTCGAAAGAAAATGAAGCGTTGACGAATTTGTCCTTCGAGCTCTATGACACCGACGTACACAACCCTTCGCGTAGTATTGCCTGTCAGTGTCCACCTATCTCTCATCTTCGCCTTCTTCTATAAATTAACTCCCACCACCTTGCTCTCACTCGTCTTCCCCTTCGTGTCCCCTCTACCAAGCGTTTTATCATTACTCTTACCCAGCGACTCTGCATTATCTTCTTCATCTAACTTATTTTAGTTGTCCTCATCTCAAGACGCTGTCATTTTATAGACTAATCCTCTCAATATCTACAAAGATTCCCGTATTTACATCTAGCTCTTACCCACCATTGATTCTTCACATTCCCACTTAGCTACATATTGCTTTTATCCTTTTACTCTTTATTTTTTTTGTCAATCTTATCAAACTCCTTCAGGCTGAAGTGAGCTTTGGTTGTCGTTGTCAGCTTGTCATTGTAATCTGCCCGCCTGCTATCTGGTTCCTTTTCAGCGAATTTATCGAGAAGTTTGTTTTCGAGCCGCGTTCACAGGCTTCCCCGTCGCGCTTTATTTCACAGAACCGCGCGAGACGCCACTCTATTCCGATTCCGTCATGCCTTGTTTACTCAGCCTTCCTGTTCACCCTTCATATCATCCTTACAATCCATCACCTAGTGCATCACCTCGCTCTCCGCGTTCCTTCCCTCGAGCTTCTCTCAATGGTCCTCCAAAGACTTCTTCGAAAAACGCGGAAAGCTTTCAATCAATAGACGCCACTCCGATGGATGTCGATAGCCAGGATTCTACGCTCTCAGCCTTGTCTGAAATGGCTTCCTCATCCATTTGCTTGCAAGTCTTCAATCCTGAACAGAATGTAGAGATGTCGTGTCGCTATGTGAGTTCTCTCATGCTTTGTTTACTCTGTTACCGACTTCTGACATCTTATTGTTGAATTTTGGTCTATAGCTTATTCCATCTACTCCAAGTCCAACGGAGAACAATGCTGTTTGCCTTGTCGCGTCACCATCACCTTTGCTTGCTAAGCCATCAGAGACCTTACCAAGGAACTTGCCTGAGCGTAGCGTTTCACCACCAAGCCCGGCAGCCGGTTCATCAGCCGCGACTCATCCCGTCATCAACTATCTTAAGTCATGGCGACCACCTTTAGCATATTATGCTCGTCGTCGTCATCATCCATCTTTAGCCCATCCATCTCGCCGTCCATCACTTCCAGCTCTTCTCGAGGAGAGAGCTACTCCTGAAGGCAATCTTTACCTTGTCCGACCCGAGCTGGTGATCTCCCGAAACCGACGACCCACCTGCATGTGCATGTCGTGTAAGATGCAATTCAACTCACAGGGACGCCCCGCCTGGTCTTACTGCACTCAGAGGCCTGTGCGCGGTCCTAGGACACCTGCATTTGAGGGTTGGGAAGATCAGTCGGATGAAGATATTCGAGAAGATCAATCAGACGAAGAAGATGAAGAGGATGACGAGGATGATGACGACTACTGGTCAGAACCTGAGTCGGTGGAGGCTGTTACGCCAACGAGCTCTCCTAACTCTCCATCACCATTTTTCCTTCAACCTCTCTTCTTGACTAAACCTCCTGGATGTTAAGCTATCTGACCGTAAACAATTGTATTTCGATACATACATCTGAATCTCTTCCGATTTAACTTTCGGACTATATTTATCTTTGACCTCACTCTCAATCGCGATTTGGAATCTCTTATTCTACAAGCCTTTTATAGTTCTTGTGGCATTGTATCCAATTGTCACCTATTTTCCTGATTGTTTAATCTTTTTTTCTTCTCTATGAACTCGTTTTCTCTTTTTCGCATTTATCGTAGTAGTAACCTGTTGTAAACTCTTGATCCATTTTGCATTTTTAGGATCTAAGTTATTCTTCTTACATGATTTATTTATTTCAACTATATAGGTATTTCTATATTGTTTGTAAAAGGATTATTTTTTTCAAGTAGTATGATAAATATCAAATGTAAATTTTTGCCTGATCTTGGTTTGGTTTGGTTGAACTTGAAATTCGGTGGATTGGACGTGGTCAATTTCCTAATTGTAAAAGGATTTTTACTTCTTTTTCTTTTCTTTTATCAGATTCAAACCTATCTTGCTCAATTGCCTTTTCTGATACGATTGATCCCCTTTAACCTCGCTCTCAGTTTTTTTTTCTTTTCTTTTTCGTCTACATCCAGATTGTAACCTTTGCTTTCTGAAAGACCTTTTTTTTATTCAAAACTTTGTTTCAGTTCTTCTTTTAAGATTATTACATACTTTGTTGTAGCAGTCCTTTATTCTCACCTCGTTTCTTTTTCGTTGTGAATGAAGAGATAGATATTCTGGAAAAACTTGAGCCTTTTCGAGCCTCAGTGTTCAACCTTGCCATCCCAAAGCTTTGACTTCTAGACCAACTCAAAATTGTGTCATCAAGATTATTTGTCACGCGAATACTCGATAACTATCTTGCGGATCATGTGACAGTCAAACAAACCTTCCCGCATGTCTTTTGTTGGTTTCGACGCGCTCCGAAAGCACGAACGAGTTCCCTTAATCACGAGACCGCAATTGCAGAAGATCTCAAATTCGAAGTTCACCCGTTATTGCGCACAATAAAGTTTTAATGATCTACATTTGTATGAGAAAGGACATCTTTTACATACTTTTTCCCGGCACACAAACGATGATTCTCAACATAGTTTTTCTATCCCAAAGTGGTTTTTCTTGTGCATCTCGTGCTTCAAGAGATTTCTCAGAGAGAATCAGAGATACTCAAGTTGATGGGCATTCCTGGAAGTGAGAGTAAGACTCAGACGAATCTACAACATATCCCATCAGCCAACAGAGTTTGATTTCCAGGTATTAGCAATGTTGGTAAATTGGGCAACAGGGGACTCATCAAGTCAAGTGTTTTGATTGTGAAAAAGGTTCTTGAATTTCTTAAAATTCACCGTCAACTTTATGAAAAGGATGAAAAGAAGATGAGAAGAAGTAGAAAACCCCATATGAAAGAAAACATATGATAAATCGATGAATTCGGAAGCTTAGACATTCATAGATGTTGACTAGATCTCTCCTTTTATCAGTCTGAATGGCAAATCTCTGAGAATATTTGATTGGTTTGTTTGTTTTGAAATTGTAATCGAAAGTGAAAGGCTCAGGATTAAGATTGAAGGGTAAAGTCAAAAATGAGATGTTTGCTGATTTCAGTCAAAAGTCAACTTGTTCAATCTGAATCAGTTCCAGCTCAGTAAAAGATTGATCTTAAGATTAAGTAGAGCAGATCTTCTATAGATGCCCATCTTAGTGGGTATTACAAAGCCTTCAAATTCACAAAAGGTCAAGAAGCACAACCAAGGAAATCAGATGGATCAGTCTGAAATGTATGCATTGATTTTAATCTGATTGTTTTACTCCGTCCTTTACCTTTGTCCTTTACCGTTGATGATTTGATAAATGACATCATTCAAATTGATTGTTGTAGAGATCTATATAAGGTCAATCTTCTTGATCTTCTTGTTAATTTCTTCTTTCTTTCTTTGTTCTCTGTGTGTTATGTAAAAGAACCAAGAGGTTAATCAACATTCTTCATCTTAATGACATCATGACTTTGAATCTATATAAGAGATCCTCTTTACCATCAACATAGGCGATCACTTATATTTAACACATCTATAATACTATAGTGGGTTTGAACATTCTTTCTGTGGTAAACAGCTCCTTGTTGAGGTGTTCTATCTCACACGAACCTGGTTTTCAGTATCATAGACCATATCTGAACAAGCAAATATCAAACATTCTTTATAATCCACACATTCTTACATGGCTCCGCTTGGGCTCCTGGTGTTTACAAGGTTTCATCAATAGAAAAAGTCATCAATGATCACGAATGAAAAAAGTACGCAGGAAGATTGGTTCGAATATCTAAAAACAAATCATTCGACCAAGACTCTTTAGAACGTTTTCCTTTACATCTTTCGATCAAACATCAGCTTTAGATCAGTTTAAAGAATCACAAAATCGAGATGGACTCATTTTTCGATATTTCATAAACTATTGTATTTGTTAATCAGGCTTGGTATTTTAAATCTACATTTTATCTTATCTTCGAATCTCAACGAAACTCAAGCTTCACACCAAAATAAAACATAGTTGCTTATATATAGAAGAAGCAAGACATAATTAGCGAGATTGGGATAAGATTTCTACTGCCTTTGACCATTACTTTAGTCTTCATGACAAACACATCGTCTTTATAGACGAATCCTTCAAATCAATACTAAATCAACACATTTGACAAGTTCATAAACTGAGAATTGTTTTCTTAACGGCGAACAATTCTCAAGTCACAAAAAGACTTCAAGGATCAAGGTTTGTATGTATTTCGATTTCAAAACAAAGTAAAGCAGCAAACTTAAATGCCCGTTCTGTAAAGATTTGAAATGAAATTTGCTTTTCAAAATTTTACGTACAAATCAAAAGAGCGTGACAGATACAGATTTGATAGGATTTGATTTTGTAATGTGTGTTTTGAATTGATTGGTTCAATTGTTCAATACACCTTTAAAGCACGAGAACATGAATGATAGGGAAGAAAATTTAAATAGATTCTCACCATTTATATAAGATTACAGATCAGATCTCACTTGATCTCAATAGTAAAGATTCAATTCTCCTGTTTTTGAATATTTCTTCTTCGTTCATCAATTGGACTTTCCTTCGTTTCTCCATCATCATCAAGAACAATCAAGTTCAATAAATTCAAAAACGTATTCGAATTGGATTTGATCGATTCAAAATACACCACAACCGCATATACCAGAAGATATGTCTGATCATCACCACGAACAAGATCAAATGAAAATCAAAACTGAAGAGAACAAGAATTCAAAAGATGAAAATGATACGAACCAATCTGAAGATCAAAGGGAAATTAAGGAGAATAATGAACAAGATGAGAAGTTAGATGATCAATTAAACGGTAAGTTTCTCTTTTAAGAATCAAGATGGACTTTGAGCTGAAAAATGGCTGAAGTGAAGAATGAGATTTAACTGAGATTTGAATTCGATTTTTATGGGTTTATGATTTATGATATTGACCTTCAATGGACTTAATGTGTTATGTATGACTTAAAAGTTGAAATTAATCCAAAAAGTAAAACTAAAAGAAAGATTGGAACTGAAGGAATCTCAACAAGCCATTCCCATTTACTAAAGAACACTGCTACTTCAAATTCAAATCAAACTACAAATCAGTTCAACAGTACTATAACTACTAACTCAGCATTCAATTCATCATCATCTCCTTCATCATCTCCATCAACACCAACAAGACCATTCACAAGACCCACATTAACTCAAACTCACTCTTCATCATTCCTTCAATCTCATCAAAAACAATCAAAACCGTTCAAGAAGACAATAACAACAAGAACAGCAAGAACTACTTCTTTATATCAATCTAATCTACATCAACAACACCAACAACAATTAACTGAATTACAATTCGATCCAGAACCATTGATCAAATCAAATCAAATTCAATCTAATCATCAACAAAATCAACCAACTGATCCTTCATCGCCTTCATCAAGATCTTCATCGCTTTCCAATCAATCTCAAGCTCATCTTCCAAATCATCAATCACCAAATAAACGAGTCCTCTCGCATTCTTCTAGTTTAGAATTCCATTTGAGTACATCGCCTAGAAGTTCACATTCATTAAAATCACCTTCATCACCTCATCCACTACATTTACATAAATCTTCATTGGATCTTAATCAATTGGATGATCCTCCTTCATCATCTCTTACAATCAAGCAGAGATCATTACCTACTCCCATCTCACCAACATCATCAACTGTAAACATTTCGACTACCACATCATCCAATTCAAAAGGTCAATCTATGACGATGACTACCTCTACACCTACTACTACTTTAACTTCAATTAATAATAACTTGAATAATCATCATTCTAATCATCATTCTAATCATTCTAATCATCATTCTAATCATTCTAATCATCATCACCACCAAAACCAACCCCAGCCTCATCAACATCATCAAACCCAATCACAAATCCATACACATCATCATCACCCTCAACACACAAACCACAACCTACCTAATTCATCATATCCAACTCCAGGAAGTTCTTCAGGAACATCTCGTCAACCGTGCGCGAAATGTGGTCAAACGATGACCGGTCAATTCGTACGAGCCTTAGGAACAGTCTATCATTTAGATTGTTTCAGATGTCAAGATTGTAATAAAGTGGTGGCTTCCAAGTTTTTCCCAGTAGATGCAGGTTTAGACGGTAAAACTCAATATCCACTCTGTGAAACTGATTATTTCAGAAGACTTGGTTTGATTTGTGGAAAATGCGGTGGAGCTCTTAGAGGTTCTTATATCACGGCTCTAGGTTAATTTTCCCATCTTTTTGTTTAATAATCTTTATATCAACGAACTCATTAATATCTTTCTTTTCTGTTTTTTTTCGGTTTGGATAGATATGAAATTCCATGTTGAACATTTTACTTGTTCAATTTGTCCTACAATCTTTGGACCACAGGATAGTTATTATGAACATTCTGGAAAGGTTTATTGTCATTATCATTATTCGACTCGATTTGCCGTGAAATGTACGGGATGTCAAACTGCGATTTTAAAACAATTTGTGGAAATCAATCGAAACAATACAGATGAACATTGGCATCCTGAATGGTAAGAAAAGTTGCATTACTATCATTTTTGCGAAAACAGGAGACTGAAGTTCACATTGATTTCTTTTTCTTTTTTGGATAGTTATATGATTAATAAGTTTTGGAATATTAAACTTGCTGTTTCATTAGCTTCTAGTCGCAAAATCTTACCACCATCAACACAACCAACCGATAATGATACACAACCGACTAACAACGAAACGACCCACTCAGATCCTTCAAGTTCAAGTACTTCAACCGATTCTAATACACCAGATTGGCAACATCAAGAAGCGATTGAAACAGCTCAATCATTAAAAGAAAAACAAAAAGTCATGGAAGAAAAAGTCTATAGGATTTGGACAGTCCTTTCGACCTTTGAAGAGAGTAGTGCGGCTTGTATATCTGAAATGTTAAGACATGTTAGTAGTGGTCATTATCTCGAAGGGGTTAAAATGGCAGGAAAATTCGTGTTACATGTTGAAACACTTTTTGCTGCTATTGATGATTTGGATTATCTCTTTAGAAGTAAAAATGCAAAAGGTATTTCAATTTTCAACTCTATTCACGATTTGATGAATTGGGAAAACAAAAACTGATAGTATATTTCGGGTTTTTGAAAATTTTAGAAATCTCACATGTTAGAGAAGCAAGAATGTTATGTAAAAAGATTGTGAATTTCTTTTCACTCTTATCACATACACATGAAACAGGAGCCCGAAAGATGAGTATCACACAAGAATTATTATCATTGGTAACCGGTTTAGCACATTATTTAAAGATTTTAATTCGAATCGCTTTAACAAGTGCATTGAAATTAGAAAGAGAATTTGGAGATCGAACTGGGATTTTACAATTCTTATCTAGATTAGATAGATTAGCAAGGGATCCAGATGCATCAAAAGCTACTACAAGTAATACACCGACTAAATCTCAATCAAATCATCCTAATCATACACATTCTTCTTCAAATGGAAAACCAAGACCTTATGGATATAAATCATTAACAAGAGCTGTCGGCACTCTTTTTGCTCAAGGGGTGGCAACTACCGATCTTTGTGAAGCTTGTAAACAAACGGTTGAAGAAGAATGTATTCGATTCGGGACTAGTTTGAGATGGCATCATTCATGTTTAAGATGTTCAACTTGTCATAAATCACCTGAGAAACCCAATAATTATACCCATCCTAATCAAAATCCGAATTCGAATTCGATTGAAAATGGATCTCATAATCCAATGATTAGTTTATCAATTCAAATCAAGAGTTATAAATTAGAAATCAATCAACAAACTAATTCAAGATCGACGACTTCAACTTCATCACCTAATAAAAATTTACAAATCTATTGTGAAGAATGTGCCATGAATGCTAATCGAATGATTAATTCGATTGGATTAAATAATGGAATTGGAACTTTGATGGATGGATTTGAATTGGTCACTAGATTAGAACAGTATGCATTTTTACTTTGTGTGGCTCTTAATAAACTTTATGGGTTATTGAAACAGAGAGGAGTTTTACCTATGCCTACAAGTAAGTTTTCTTTTCTTCATTCTTTATCGAAACATGAGAATCTAAAATGTTGAAGCATTTTTTTTTGGTTTATCAGAGGACGAATGGCAACAGAATGCAGTGAATGGAGATGAAAGATCATTGTATGATGCATATCGGAATTCAACAGATATCAAAAGAATGAAAACAGTAGATTTAGATCGAAAGTTGTCTACAACTGCCCGATTACCACAACGATCAACAGTAGTCGAAAGTCCATCTGGAAGAGTAGCACAAGCTGCCATCGAATCGAATCCGACTGGAGGATTAAGACCACAAGAGTCAAGTGGATTAAGGAATGCTGGATCAAGATCACCACTTGTACCTTCTTCTAGATCACCATCTCATCATGATCGATCAAGACGAGATTTAACAAATCCATCTGCGGTTCCATTGACTCGAGAACGAGATTATACTAATCTACCTAGATCTGAACCACCTCCTAGACCACAACCTACGCATTTGAGTATGATACCTCAAACAAGTAGTAATGGCACTAGCTCTGGATCGATGATGACACCTACTACAACAATTCCTTCGCCTAATTTGAATGGGAATGCTACACTGAATAATGACCCACAAGGATCATCTACAAGTCCAGTCACAGTAAGACCAACACTTTCAAGAAACTTAACAGCCGTAAGGATCGTAGATGAACAACCGATGAATCCCAACACAAGAGAAGAAGAAACCTCGATCATCGAAACGACGACTTCAGGCATCACCTTGGCCGATTTACCAAGAGCCATGGAAGCCGAAAGATTTAGAGTAGCTCATAAAGCTTTACCCACTCAAGTCACGACGCTTTCGGAATTATCTGCACTTGAATCGGTGATTGTTAAACATGTGGCGGCTTTCCTTTTGGGTTCTAATGAAGCGATTCGTGAGATTTGTTCGTTGGATGAGCTTTTGGAAATGATTGAGGTTAGGAAAGGTAACTTTTGGGGTAAGTTGTTTAAAGGGAACACTGAAAAATCCAAAATTAAGAAAAAGGGTAAGTGAGATTTTTCTTTTGGAAGATGATGAAATCGAATTGAAAGATTGACTTGTTTGTTTTGTTTTCTTTAGGTGTGTTTGGAGTACCATTAGACGTGTTAATAGAAAGACATGGAGTGGATTCATTATTAGGAGCAGGAGCCGGACAATTAAGAGTACCGAGTTTTATAGATGATGTGATTTCAGCCATGAAACAGATGGATATGTCAGTAGAAGGGATTTTTAGGAAGAATGGAAATATCAGAAGATTAAAAGAATTGACCGATTCGATTGATCGAGATGATGGTGTGATGATGAATAATTTTAGTGATGATAATCCAGTCCAACTTGCAGCTTTGTTGAAGAAGTTTTTGAGAGATTTACCTGATCCTTTATTAACGTTTAAACTTCACCATCTTTTTATTGCTTCTCAACGTAAGTGAATTGAATCAAATCCGATGATCATCAGCAAAGAAACCACACTGATTTTTTTTTGTTTTTGAATGATAGGAATTGAGAATGAAATAGAAAGGAGGAAAACGTTACATTTGATCTGTTGTTTATTACCAAAATCACACCGAGACACAATGGAAGTTTTATTTGTATTCATGAAATGGGTTGCATCTTTTTCACATGTGGATGAAGAAACAGGATCGAAGATGGATTTACAAAACTTAGCCACAGTGATCACCCCGAATATCTTATATAATCGATCTAAAGAACCACCTAGTCGAGATGAATCCTTTTTGGCTATCAGAGCTGTGAATGAATTGTTGGAATTTCAAGATGAAATCTTTATGGTACCTGAAACGGTTTGGTTGGTGATGAGAAATTCGGAGATGACTAACTTGGGAAATCATTTGAATGTGAATGAAATCACATCTAAAGATAGTAAGTTTTTTTTTCCATCTAGAGTGATTGAGCCAGGTTTTTTTAAATTGAATTTTAATGATTTTATTTTTTTGGAATAGTTATGAAGAAAGTTGAAGGATTATTAAAATCCAAGAATAATTTAAATTCACAACAACAACATCATCAGTTACAACAGTACAGAGGTAAAGGAGAAGTTTTACCACATCGACCTGATTTTCATTCTTCTGCTTCTTTTAATCCATCATCATCTTCATCACATCCAACACAATCACAATCACATCCACCAGCACCACCAGCACCAGTCAATTCGAATCCGAATCAGAACTCACATGAACCATTTCATCATTTAGATACACCAATTAGTACACCTACTAGTACTACTCATCAATTGAATATACCAGCAAATGTGAACTTGAGAGCAAATGAAACTCATCATCCTTCAACAGATACACATTCTTTTAATCAAACGAATTCAGGGGAAAATGATGGAATACCTGTTGATCAGTGATAGTAATATATTTTTTGATTTTTGATTTTTGTTGTTGGTTTTTTTTTTTGTTTTTGATTAAAAAAAATCAAGGATTTGCGTAATTCTTTTTGAAAGATAAAAAAATTGTCGTTGGGTTTCTTTTTGTTATTAGTTTTTTGATTGTTTTTGATCTTTGGTTTTGTAATTGTTATGAATTTTTTTTTATTTAGATAAATTGATGTTGTTTTAAATCTTTAAATTACTTCTTTTTCATTTTTTTTTGATCTTCACAATTTTTTTTTCATTTTCATGATTCTTCTTTGATGATTTCTTTTTTTGATTTCTTTTTATTCTTTTGTCTTTTTTATCTTTTTCTTCTTCTTTTACACTTTTTACTTTTTACTTATCTCTTTATTTCTTTCTTTTTTTTATGTCATTCTTTTTTTTTGAATTTGATGGAATTATAAAAAAAAGAAAAAAAAGTTTAAATGATTTTTTTGAGATGGAAAGTTTGAGAAAGAAAAGGAAGAGAGAGGGTATGAGAAGGCTTTTGATAAGTTTGACTTTCAAACTGGAGATTTAGTTAGATTGGAAGTGTTTATCTAGATATGGGAGATGAAAAGTAGATTTATAGTTGAAGAAGTGATGGAAATAATTTGAGATCAAACATGACCTTCAATTTGTTATAGGATCAAAGATCCCCAAGTTTGCAGACAATTTATCACAAGTTTTCATTAAATCCTCTTAACATGTGAATTGGATCCAGAGTCTATAAGTAAGAAAAACCTAAGGAAAATGGTTCACCAGAGGAGATTATATTAGTTCTGCTTCAAAATGTATTGTCAATCAGAGAACATCTGGGATAAGGCAATGAGTGACTTTTCACCATTAATGGGAGATGGATGTAGAAAAGGAGACAAATGGTTAAAATAAATCCAACATTGAAACACAAAACAGATAAAGGTCAATGATATTCTCATTTTAATATAAATGGTTGATCAAAGTTTGTGAAGACAATCAAAATGTATTGAATTGGGAAGCATTTTTAGTTGATTAACATAATACCAATACCATGTTGTGTGCTGTAGAGTTAATATCACCAAGGGGGATATTCAGAGTGTGAAAAGGGATGTTTTGAAAATTTTTTCTGAGCCAAAAATAATAAGTTGATGAAAAGACACTCCCCTTCACTTGGTGGTAGGGATATGACCCAGACTTGTGTCCTCAGGACTGGCCAGAAGGCCAGGATTGACCCAGAGGAGCTTAAGAATCTGGCTGGGTCAACATGGGCTGGGCTTGGTACATACTGGCCTGTTTCCTTGAGAGTCTGGTCATGAGCTCACAAGGATGTTTTATTTTCAAATTTTCAGTCTTTTTTATTGTAAGAACCTCACCAACAGTTTTGAGCTGGTAAAACACATACATACAGGTCCTCCTCCAAAATGTACAGATTTCTGTATTCTCCATCAATAGATGAGTTCCCTCTAACATGCATATGAAAAGACCTTTCCAAGGTTATGCCCCTTCCAAAAAACACATAAGTACAACCTAATCCATAATAAATGTCTCATTGAGGTGTTTGGTGAACATCTAAACAGCTTTATAAAGTTTTGTACAGGCATTTCTGGACACATGAGGTATGATTGTGTCCAAAACATCCCCAATACTGTGTTCTTCATATTTGGCAATGAACCTTGGCATATAAAGGTGTTGAAATGGTAGATATCTTTTGGTAGACTTTGCAATGGCCCTGTAAGGAATATCTACCAAGAAGACCTAGTTCATGTCAGTTTCTGTTGCTTGATCAAGATTTGAAAGGAAATAAAAACACCTGATAGTGATACACTTGTAAGTCAAATCAATTAGCAGCACATTTGAAACAGGACCCAGGAATGCACCTATAAAGGTATGTAACAAAACATGTTTTTCAGTTTTTGGGCTCTACACAACACAAAACTCATTGTCTCAAGTTCCAGAGCACTTCAAAAGATGCGCATGGAGTAGGGCTATCGAATGAACCTACTCCAAGTCTCTCAACTTCACTCAAATTGGCGCAAAATCGATTGGCGCAAAAAAAAATTGTGCCTCCAAGGCCTGATCCCGACGTTCAATTTAGGGCTGTTTTTGACCGCTACATCCGTTTAACTCAGGAAGTATAGGTGCTATAAGGCTGAAAGCTAGCTTAAATGAAAGCCTTCAATCTCACGCATATTTTGCACCACTGTAGCTGTTGTAAATGTGGTGTTAAGTGCCCGAAAACCGCGCCAACAAACGGTCGGGATTCTCGTTACATACCTCTATAGGTGCATTCCTGGGTCCTTTTGAAACACAATGGCTTTCAGATGGTGAGATACATAGATTGGGTGCAATGATCAAGAGACAAAGCAAGTGGTTATCAGTGTCTTTCCCATGTGTATGATATACAGTTTCTTCTCTATGGCTGTCAAACAAAGCTTTGGCTTTTTTTGTCCTTGAAGAAAATCAGAATTGTGTTCACTATCCAACTTATAAATGTTGAAAGGTGTGATTTGTAGTGTTATAATTTCACATTCTTGGAGAGAACTCACACTGCTGCTCCACATTTGCTCATATGCTTGAGGTTGTCTTGCTGCTCACTTGTAAGACCTTTTGCACCAGGTATTTTGACTAAAAACTTTGAATGATCATGAATTTGATGATTCATAGCAATTAGAACCTTCCATTCATACACATTATCAGCTCTTAGCTTATGTTTCTTTCAGTTGACCATGGACATCAAAAGAGCCAATTCTATGTTTTGTGTATTTTCTTTTCCTTTGGTTGATGCTTTCCTCCACAATCAATTCTAGCCATACTTCTTTAATACATTTGGTTTTGCTATTCTTTTAGCAGAGGCAGTTCAAAAATTATCAAGGATTATCAGAGTAGCCTTGAATGGCATCATCTGGTTACCTGCATGAATAGTAATGTAGCTGGTGTGGTTCATGGCCCCTCAATACTGGATCAGTTGGTGTGGTGTTGGACATCTTTTGAAATCTTTGAAGATGGACAAATTTGTGGCAAAAGATTTTCAGTAGATTGGAGATTGGGTGGACCATCAACATCTTATGTATGTAAATGATTGAATACATGTGGAATACAGGTAGGGGGGTGTCCTCCAAGTCCAGGTGAAGTGGGGAGTTGTCTGGAATCAGCATCATTAACTCATATGAATTATGATGAAACCTTTTGCTTGGGTTCTGGAACTTCTCAACAAATAAGGAAGACAGGTGTTGATAAAATCCCCTCAGGCAATGTCTGATCCATATATCATGAAAGGCCATTGTAATATATTGAAGCAATAGTATTGTGGAATCTGGGGTGTGCACATATCTAGGCAAGGTGCAGGTTTACACCTTACACGCATTGGTTGTTATAGGATGCAAACTTTCAAACCAAACTTCAAGCTCTATTTCCCTGATGTCAGATGAGGTGCATATGTCCATGCAGCATAAGATCCTGAATAGATATGATTGCCTCAGAATGCTTCATCTTGAAGCTTGATGTAAAAAATGAGGCTTGCTATTCAAATAAAAGATCAAAGGGATCTTTATGTGAGACACTCCATGAGGCATACAAAAGATTGTAGCTTGTATCAAATAATTAAATGCCACTTTGGGAGGAGATCTTGATAACACATGAAATTGTCTGACACATGTTTACATATTGGGCATAGCTTACTCATTAAACAGAATCATTTTATTATCAAGGGTATCATGGTCAGATGAAAAAAATGGGGTGCAGAATCTTGACAACACACTTCAAAAACACAAAAGGTCCCTTCAGGTGCACAGATGTATGAATTGTATATCAAGGATAAAAGATCCCCTCATCAGTGTGGCATACATTTCAACATATAAATTCTATATAATCTCCATTCCCTTAGATCTCAGTGCCAGTAGAACATTTTCCATCAGCAAGGAATCATCCATTCAGGTTTCCAGCTATTATCTAAAAAATCACATCAACTCCTTCAACTTCTCCTACATACTCACTGAACGTATTTAAGTCTTCTTCAAATATGAGGATATCCAGACACACCCAATTCACTTCAGGATCTTTTGGGTTGCTTTTTCTCCTCTCCACTATGGCATCCAATGTCGTTGGGAGTTTTTTATATGACAGTGAGAAAATTGGTATGTGATGGTTTTTTGAAATACTTCTCTTTACAAGACTGAAGTAGTTTCTCATCCCTAATACAGAAAGCTCAGTGAAGGGATCACAGTCCTATGATCATCCATCATATTACATAGTGTGGTATCATTGGAAACTGTTTGAGGAGCTGAAGTCTAGTATTGGTAAAGAGATCATGTGGGCATTTGGTAGTGAAACACCAGTTAGCGAGGAACATATTGAGGGTGTGAAGTCTGAACTTGAAAAAGAACAGAATGGAGGCAATACTCTGGACAAGGATTCAAGGACATACCTTTTGAATTTGATTGAAAGGAAGCAACTTTTGGAAAAAGTGAATGACAGTTTTCAGGCTCTTATCACAGACTGTGAAGTTTCTTCAGACCCAGGTGAAAACTGTAAAGAATCTGATTCAGCAGAGTCTATAATATCCTTTAAGATCCGGAATAATCCAGGAGCGTACAAACTTTGGGAAACAGTAATGGACCACTATGGGAATATGGTTGTATTTGTAATCAAATTGGATGGAAAGCATAAAAAATGGTGGGAATCAGCAAAGGAAACAGTGATATCCAGACACCAATCTGTACAAAAGCAAGGTGCTACACTTGATTGGCTCAAAGGATTCCACTAATCATTATCTAAATGAGTGCTGGAAGTTTTTAAAAACAGTCGATGTGTTTTCAATGGGCCAGTTTTTTTGGCTGAGTAGTGCATTAATGTGCTGCAGTGTTTTTTGCTTTGGTGGTTTTGATGTTAACAAAAAGGTTTCATGGAAGTGTTATCAAGGGTTATTTGGTAGCGGGAAATTTTTCTGGGTCTATCACATATTCAGTCCTCTCTTCCTATCTTTTTGCTCTGATCAATCCTCAATCGTTGACAAAAAACAGTCAGTAAACTACATATCTGTATTGGCGGTAGTCTCATAAGATAGATATTGTCTCTTGTCACAATAACTTTTTGGTTGTTAGCATCTCTGTTATCTGGTGTGTTGAATTCTTCCATATTATCATCTGTTGAGCCTAACCTCACACATACTCCTTTTGTCACCCCAAACTGCTTCATCTTTCAAGCAGTTCTTTACTTGTTTTTTGTAGTGCTTGAGCTTTTCCCACCATCTATTCCTTTTGTGCATCTCTTGATTTGCTATCAGGCCATTCAGTCTCTGTTCTCCTGAATCTAGTATCATGACTCCAAATGATATATGGAGGGGGCTATTGACCAATCTTAGGATTGTTTAATGGTGGGTGTAGGTAGAAATCAGCCAGTGTGGTTAAGTTTCTTGAAGCTACACAGAACAGTTCTTTCAAAATCAATGGCTCATCATGATAGTGATGAGATATCATACTCAGGCGCACAAGAAAAAGAAAGTGAGACAATATGATTCCTGGACTTGAGTTTTGAGAGAAGATCACTCCAAGATTGGTTTTGGTAAGAATCCTAAAGATCAACTGGACTCGACTGTAAATGGACGCGACTTTTGCTTAAGTCAAAGGACCGGCGAACTTAAGCTCAGATAATGCCCCGATCAAGCGCATACATCCAGGAGTTTCAAAAATTCAACTTTTTTTCGAAACCAAAGCTGTTGACTATCTCCATCATTCTCAGCTTCACCGATTCCTCAGATCGACAATTACCAAGATGTCAGATGAAGTAGCATCCAGACCATATTCGACTAGGGCATCAAATCACTCTAATCCGATCTCAAAACAACTTTTGAATTTAATGGAAGAGAAGCAAAGTAATTTATGTGTATCATTGGATGTAACGAGCAAATCGGCTTTTCTTAGGATAGCCAATTTGATTGGTCCTCATATTTGCATGCTCAAGGTAAGCTTATAATTGATAATTCACTCTTTTATTTTCGTTTTTCAAGCTCATTAATCAAAAATCGTAATCGAAGTCATCATTTGTTTGTTGCTTTTTAGACTCATATTGATATCATTACGGACTTTGATCAAGATTTGATCGAGAAATTGGTTGAGTTGAGTAAGAAACATAATTTCTTGATTTTCGAGGATCGTAAATTTGCTGATATCGGTAAGTGAAGTACCTTTTTCCTTCGAATCTCGATTCAACCTTGCGAAGTTCGAAGAACCAAATCCGAAAGCTTCTTCACTCAGACTTTCATTCTGACTGATGAACTCTTTTTTGATATTCCAATTCGATACGAATGATAGGAAATACCGTTAAACTTCAATACTCTTCAGGTGTTTATAAGATAGCCGATTGGTCTCATATCACCAATGCACACACGGTACCAGGAGAGGGAGTTATTACAGGTTTAGCCGAAGTAGGAATTCCCAAAGGTCGAGGATTACTATTATTAGCCGAAATGTCAAGTAAAGGTACTTTAGCTAAAGATCAATATACAATCGAAACACTTAAAATGGCACAACGACATCCTGAGTTCGTAATAGGATTTATTTCTCAAAGAAGATTAGAATCGGGTCCGGAAGAAGATTGGCTGGTTTTGTCTCCTGGTGTTGGATTGGATGTAATGGGTGATTCATTGGGTCAGAATTATAGAACCCCTCATCAGGTCGTTTTTGAAAGTGGTTCAGATGTGATCATTGTGGGTCGTGGGATTTATAAAAATTCTGATGATGATGACGAGATTTTCAAACAGGCATTAAGGTATAAAGATGCAGGGTAAGTCCATATTCTCTATTTCGTTATTTTTGATCTTATCTTGATGTTTTACAATATTTATTACTTTTCATTTCAGATGGCAAGCTTACCTTCAACGAATCAAGACAACCTGATATGCCACACTCACACTGATTTTTGAATAGTCACTCCTTTTGAATAATTTTCTATTTATGTAACATCAAATGGTATATGATGGTGAGTTTAGCCAGCAAACACCTTCAAAGGAAAATTAGCATATGTTTGATCCTCAACTACTTTGAGAACAAAGACTAGATTTTTGTACATATCAATAGCTCGTCATGAAAATCTATTAGTGATGAGTTACCCTTAAGATACATGTTGAATTCCAGATGCATGGTTGTTGACTCTCCCCAATATCTCAGACGCAAGGGAATTAAGCAGGCCATATGTTTACCCAAACAGCAAGAAATTCTGTGATAGCATGTGAGCATCAGACTACAGTTAAACCCATACAATTACATAGTCAGTGATTTTAGGTCGCCCAGGGCTTTCCAAGACTTTGTGAGGGCTAAGAGCCAGACCTAATGCATAATGATGTCAAAAATGATATTTGTTGAGATTCAATCAACACAAGCATACATCATATTATGCTTATAGCAGATTTACCCCAATCTTTGTACATATATATACAACAACGAGTTATCCTCTATCAGTCTTCTTTTCTCATCAATGAAAAGAAGACTGTGAGTGAAGTATTTCTTTAATTCTTCAATCTTGATCTTTGTGACCTAGTCTGACCTATGTTACTTTCTTATAGTCTTGCTTGTTATCTTTATCAGACTTGAGATGAGGCTCTGAACTTGTTTGTTTTTCCCAACTCAGGTACATTTTATCTCATCAATGAAAAGAAGACTTCTTGCTTGTTATCTTTATCAGACTTGAGATGAGGCTCTGAACTTGTTTGTTTTTCCCAACTCAGACCGTATTTCAAGACTTTCTCAATATTGCACAGCTTTGAGCTGTAGAAACCTGATTTTTCAAGGCAAATTGCTCAGTTTTAGCCCAGATGCAGGATGTGACTGCATAGCCACATTGACTTTCATGTGTATATGCTAACATTGGCTGAATCTTCCTGTCACATTTTGCAATTGCATGGAGCTGATGTAAGATGGCTGATGACATGTGATAGCTTGTTGCTCTAAATTGTTAACAGAAGGTTTGAGGGATCCTGCTTGTGTTGTGAGACTTTCCTACAAGGCATTTTATTCTGAATAAATAGAAATGCCTCATGATGAAATGTCTCAAAGTGATGTAAAAAAAGTTAGGACACACACTCTTCAGATAAGATGTCCACAATATCTATATGTGAGACCTTCCATGAGATGTACAACAGCTCACAGCTTGTATCATCTAATTGAATATCACTGTGGGAAGAGGTTTGGGTAACACATGCTAACACATGGCATTGGTTGGAGCCTGCTCATTTGATATCTACTCAATACATAAAACTAGTTCATAATCAAATGTATCAGGGCCTGATGTGAAAAAATTGGGGTGCAGATTCTTGAAAAAAGCAGCTTAAAACAGATCTCAACAGGCCCCTTGATGTATACAGAGGTACAATATGTATCAGATACTCAATTTTAACCTTGGAAGAGTGGTATGGCAAATTTGCACCCTCTACAATCATCTACATAAGTCCTGCTCCTTGAGATCTTGTTACAATTGCAATTCAATCCCTCATCAAGGGCTTCTTCATTTGCTTATCCGGCCATTATCTAAATTATCTACATTTCCTCCATCTGTTTTTCCTACATCTGAATCAAAAAGAGTACAATCACTTTGAAGCATGAGTGTATTTCAACTTGAGAAATTGCCTTTGGGATCTATTGGTTTCCTTCTTGTCCTCTCCAGTATGGCATTTGCTAATGTATTTGCAAGTTTTCTATTTGAGGACCCTTGTTGTATGTAATAGGTGGAGGAAATAATTCTATTTCCATGACTGATATTCTTTTTCACCTATTAAACTCAGCTGAACCAACATAGTACCAAGTGTGGCATCAGTAGCAATTCCTTGCAAATGTGAGGTCTAATCTCAACAAAGAGCTCAAGGTAGCATTTCAAAAAGAACTACTACTTAGTAGAGTAATTCCAAACATGATCAAGACCCTGAAGAAAAAACCCTGAATGCCAAAGACAGAGAACATCCATGTAGCTTGGTCAGAAGATATGATCTCTTGGAAATATTGGATGAACATTTTCACTTTTAATTGAGGACTGTGCCAGTGGAGTTTCCTCAGAGCCAGGTGACATGCCTGAAAGTGAGATGTACAATTTAACAGTGCATATAATGTAGCAAGGATCTAGAAGAATAAAGCTACACACAAGCTGTGGGACAGGGTGGTGGCTTACACCATGGGAATTATTTTGCTTGAAACCCAATTCAAGCAAATTGTGGTGACTGGTTCCGTAAAACTCTTCAATCAGGTGTCTTGTTTGCCTCAATGTCTCCTGTTGTTACTATAAACACTTAGAGTCCAGTGTAGGCAAAACAGGTGGAGAAGATGACAACAGGAGAAAATTAGAAGCAACAGAAGCATTGCATTGACCCTAATATGGAAAAGATCCAAATATCATGGATTTTCTTCAAGGAGTTGAAGGATCATCATATTCATGAATGCTTGGAGTTGTTAAAAGCAATTGAGGTTTGGTGAAATGCAAGAGGTTTTAGTGTGGTTGTTGTCAGGATACAGTTAATCACTTCAAACACATCAAGCTATCTAAATCCAAGCTCCATAAATAACAATCACAAACTAATGAATGTTTTCACCTGATCAATCTCAAACTTGACTCAATATCACTATTGTATTATACATCAATACAATCATCACCCTGCACACATACACCACTTTCTCTTCATCAGTCCACCAAGGAAAAGGGGCATGTAAGTTGTTTCTTCTGAACATTCTCAAAATTCAACTGTAAGTGTGTGGGTATATATTTGTGCAGTTTAGACTTTAGTAATGTGTGTAAGTAGGAAGTGATCAATCCAGAAAATACAAGGAAAAGTGGTATGTAGAAATTCTATTGCTATCAAATGTGTGAGGCTATATATGCTATATATATTGAAATGGGTCATTCTTTCCAAAAACAATGTTAGATGATCATGGTGAAGTAAAGAGACTGATCAATCCCTTCATCCAATACACATAATCCATATATTGACATCAATCAAATGACCATTTTGGGTAGAGGCATCAGTTAGTTGATCACAGTTTACCACATAGCATACATTACACAATTGCATTATGCCCATGATATTGATTTTTCAGACTCCACTATCACATTATATCATTTGGAAGAACAAAAGAGGAAAAAGAAGAAAAAATAATGATAACTGGATAAGGTTGGTTGCCCATATGGAGGTAAGCCTTTATTATATCACCTAGTTTTATAAATAGCTTCATGAGAACTAAGTGGTGAATTCAAAAGTCTTGGACCATTATCAATATTTTTGTATTTTAACCTTGTTTAACTCTGGATGATTGGCAAGGGAGTTTTCAAGAGAAGATAAGCTTTCTTCAGTTAACATCAGCTATGATTAAGGGTGTGTTGTGAGCCGCTCTGAAAAGGATCCCATACTATTCTTATCTTCTTTTGGGTAGGTTCATTGTTGTAACTTCTGTCTTTTAGCTCCCCATCATTAGTTTCATCCTGGTAATTTAAAGTAGGTGTTGATTCAATAGGTGCTATCTATTTGAGCATCAGTAATTGGGGGTTTCATTAAAACAATTGGTGCAATCTCCTGGCTTTTAAACTTTTCATAATTGCTGCTGATTGATTTCTCCCCAACATCACTATTCCTGACTGGATCATCAAACAACATGAGATTTTTTCCTTGGTGCTTGGGTGACTGGACAGGTGTACCTTTAGGAGTACTAAATTCATCATCAGTTGTATAATCTTCTCCTGTGGTATAAGGAGCATTCATGTTCTTGATGGGTTTTGAGTTCAAGTCATTTTCAAAATAAGTTTTCAAGTCAATTAAATTGGGATTTGTTTCTGAGTGCTTGGGTGACATGACTGGTGTACCTCTTGGGGTACTAAACTCATTATCCATCAGATCTTCTTCTTTTGTGTAAGAAACATCTTCATTATTGATGTTATTTGAAACTTCTGGTCTCTCCACATGGGTAAAAGAAGAATCTGTATACTTTAGATCAGTATTTTTTTCTTTGACTTGCTTGCTCTGTGTAGGCTTGGGATTTTCAACTTCTTGATGAAGAGTTTTATCTTCACTCTTTCCATGAATTTCTGATGGCTTCTTGTCTTTGCGATAGACCCAGCCTTTCCCTGATGTGGAGTGAGCTCTAATTCTTTTCAAATTAGGGACATGTTTGGTCATTTTTTGTTTTTTTGGGGTCGTAGGTTCATAATCAGTTATGTCCTCAACCATCCCTTCATAAGACCCATCTTCATGATAGTAAGTATCAGGATTAATTTGACAGGCCTTTTTTAGTTCTGTCCTGGTAGTTGGGGGTTTGACTTGCACAATCATCTGGATTTTTCCTGGGCTGAAGCTTTTCTTCAACTCATTCTCAAGGTAGGTTTGATAGTCAATTGTATTCTGTTTTTTTCCTTGGTTTTTGGTTGACTGGGCAAGTGTGCCTTCAGTATGAGCATTATCAAACACTAGATCATTTATTCCTTTGTTGTGAGCTTCATAGTCCTCCAAAAGAGTATCTATATTCTTGGTTGATTTCATCACTTCTGGTTTGACTCCTGGAATAAAAGAAGCTGTAGTCTGTGCAGTCAGGCTGTTTTGATGGCTCTTATTGTTTGACATAGGAGTGTTCTTTGAAACTCCTTTCTCAGGCTTTTCTTTAACGTATCCAGATGGATTTCTTGTTGTCTGGCAATAGATTCCACCTAAAATGGGCTTTGTCTGTAAGCTTTGTCCGGCAGTGATCTCTGGATTTGCTGTATATGGCCTGTGGATATGATCAGGTTTTTCAATGACAGCAGTTGATTTCACTCTGTGTGCTAGCTCTTCTGAATCTTCTGCCTTGTCTTTTGAGGGTGTGACCTTGTCAAACTCTTGATGAAGAGGCTGTCTCCTAGCCTCTTCCATTTTTACTTGTGGCTTCTTCCCTTCACTTTTGACAGTGGGTGGACTTGGCATTGCCTCTACTACAAACTTTGGTTGTAGGAGCTCTTCTGTAGGTCTATTGGGGTTGAAAGTATCTTTGTTTTCTGACTTAGAAAACTTCAATCTAGAAAAAAATTGCTTGACTTTTCCCCAAAGTTTGCGGGCCCAGGTTGAGAAGAAAGTTTGGAGGTTGCCTAAGAACTTGTTGCCTTCCTGATCTATTTGTGATAGTTGTACCTCTGGAGTGGGTTGTTCTGTTTCTGTAACTTTTTGAGTTTTTCCGGTTGGTTTGGAATACTGTGCTTGATTCCCTCTGTTGCCAAATGGATCAGTGCTCCTCAAGCTTTGTGGCGAATTATCTGACTTATCACCACTGTCAACGTCAGAAATAACAGCTTTTGCCTCACTACACCAGTCATCACTGTTCATGTTTCGTGCTAGAGACTCCACCAGGCTGTCTTGCGTTGCAGGCGTAGGATGAGAATGGCTCAAGTCAACCAATCCACAGAGGATCTGAAGGCCACAGGGGATCATTATGCAAAAAGCTTTCATCTTCTGACCACAAATGAGCAATCGTAAATAAAGCTGTAGCATTCGATGGTGGGGTTTGGAAGGAACCGTCAGCTAGAGTGGACCACACCGTTTGAAAGAGTGAGGCGCGTGACGGTGCGTCATACCCGGAAAAGGACGGTAAATTTTGTCGGTTGGTATTTCTGAAGTTGACGATGTCCTGATACAGTGAGTGGTATAGCTGCAAGAAGCGTAACACAAAAAAAACAAATATCTCGAAAATGTACTCGAAGAATGAATGCAAAGAATTGCAAAGAAGCTCTTTGAAAATGTAGAAGTGAAAAGGATAGATAGTCACACTTCTATTGGTTTTGAGGTGACGCTGTGTTCATACATATATCCAGCAGGTGTTCCAGAAATAATTCCAACTATGTACAGTCAATTCAGAAAAGCTTATCACAAATTCCCCGCCCATTTGCTGAGTTTTGCGGGCAAAATTGGTCAAGCTTGACTGTACATAATTCCCTGGAACCGAGCGTGTCCTCCTCTTGGGTGGAACTTGTGTTAAGCTAAAAATGATTACATAATGAAGTCTTATACAAACTCGGGACTTGCTTGAGGAAACTGGAACATAGGCAATTTCATCAGCTTGGGTCGCAAAAAGTGTACAATACACTACTACATGGACCAAGACTTGAATGCTCACTTCTGTGCAAAGAGTCATGTATTTGGAGAGACGGGCGGTTGTGAAGAAGGTATGTACCACAGGCTAAGACAATAAGGGTACACAAACATTACAACCCATTTGAAAAACCCATTTGAGAAAAAATAGAAAAACCCATTTAAAAAATTATTTTTTTGAACAGAAAAATAAATTGGGTCCCTCTGGAATTTTCTGTTCAAAAAAATATTTTTTTGAATGGGTTTTTATATTTTTTCTTAAATGGGTTTTTCAAATGGGTTGTAATGTTTGTGTACCCTTAATGTTGAACCAAATAATAAAATCAGTTGCAGAATAATCAAGTCCCATGCAAACAAAGGTCATCAGAATCCAAAACAAGATGTGTTCCAAAATAAGATTTGAGGTAGAAAATGAGCTCTAGAATTACAAATCTGATGATATTATATAAAAACAAGTAAAACTTACAAACACTCTTCAACAAAAACTTATTACCCTTCATAAAAAACATGAGTCCTGAATCCCAATTAATAACAACAAACTTTGACAAAAGAGAAAAATCCAAGAAACCAATAAATAGGAGAGAAAGAGGATAACAAGAATATTGATGAAAAAAAACAGGAACTGGGGATTCAAGGTTCAAATGCCTTGCCTCTAACTCTTTGGTAAGCTTCAATGAGTTTCTTTTTTGATCTCTCTTCTTCTTTCCATCTTTGGGACAAGATTCTAATGCAAAAATGTACATCAATCAAAATTCAATTTAGCATTGATGACCACTTGGTGACGGCGATTGGGATAAAAACGGAAAGTGAAGACTGACTTGATCCTGCATACAGCCCTTACAGCTATTGCTGCACCTTTGAAGGAGCATTCGGTAGCTCGAATGGTAAAGTTTCCAATTTGACCAGCCCTTAGATCAAACTTCTCGAGAGCGAGATTAATAGCCACATTCCTAAAAAAATGAACATTCACAAAGTTGAGTTTCAAGGAAGTTATCAACCATCTCAAGTACCAAAACATTGTTTAGTCTTACGTGGTTTCCGTTTGACGAAGTTTGCCGAAGATTATCCTTTTCTGATCGGCCAGGTCGGCTCGGAATTGACTTTCACGAGTGAATAAGAGCTTAAGGAATCGGATCCTCAGTAGAAGTCCTTTTGATTCTGCTGAATGCTTTTTCTGATCAGCGACTGATATTGTACCAGGTTCACTGCAAAAAGCGAATAAAGAGAAGGATAAAGGTGTCAATAATCTCGATAAGGAGTATACATATTGGATCGCAAGATCTAAGTGATATCAGAATAAAATCAAGAAAAGATTACATACGCAGGACAGACATAATTTTGTTGTTCGGCTAGTAATTGGTTCAGCTGAGTTGTGCGAGCCGATAGCTCGTCTCGAACCTTAACAAATTCTTCATTCGAACGTGATTGTTGTTTGAATTGTTTGAAATCATGAGCGAGTTGAGCTGCCTCAGTTCTGACTTGAAATAGATCATCTCTCAAGTTTTCTGTGTCTTTGAGAACATCGTTTTTCAAATCCCTTAACCTAACAACCTCACTAGATTTCATTTCTAAGGTCTGACGAAGGTCCTTTAATTCTTCCTGATGATTTTCAAAGTTCATCTTTTGAGAGTTTGATGTTTGTTTAATATCATTTTTCAAGCCTTCAATTTCTTCCAGTAAGGCTGCTTGTTGATCTTCCAAGTTGGTTTTTTCTTTTTCGAGTGTCTTCACTCTGGCTTGAGCTTGAGAAAGCTGTTTTGAGAGACTATCTGACTCCCCTTTATAGTTTTGTAGCGCTAGAAAAGTAAAATGCATCAGTCAATATTTGTTTGGCCTTGTTCGAATCGAATTGCTTACCTCGCAGTTCGGCATCCGCACAATCGCGGGCCTGACACGCTTTAGAAAGTTCAATCTCAGTCTCTCGAAGTTTCTGAAGATAACATACACCCGAAAACTACGTCAGTCGTAGTTACAGCACTTGATCTAAACCATGAGATGATGGACCTCACCTCTTTCACTTCCGTGAGCACATGGTTAAACTGATCATTTTCTCGTTGAAGACGTTCTCGATCTTGACAGTCCGCTCGCAATTGATCAATTTCATCATGAGCCCTTTCTAGATCCTGAAATAAGGAAAAAGAGATTTAGTATCTGTGCTTTTTCTTTGGTTCGAAAGAGGACATTTTCAACGAACTTCTTGGAGCCGGATTAAATCTTGTTCATCTGCTTGTTGCTTAGCTTCGAGGTCCTCAAACTCTCGCTTCTTAGTTTCTAGTTGTTGTTCCAATTGTTGAACCTTCTTAGCTCTTGGTTGCGGATTCAGTGCAGAATTGGTATCCATTGTGTGGTTGTACGTATCACCTGTGATAGATTCACTATTACTGTTCACAAATGAGATATGATAGACGTGGTGAGCAAAGAAACGTAACAAAGTCAGCGCTGTTGAACTCACAAGCTGATCTCCAGGGCGTTGATGTCCGTCAAGACGCGAAATCGAACAATCTGATTTGCATCAAACTGACAGTCACATTCAGGACACTTTACATCCGCCAGTCGCTCCTTGACTTTATTAATCGTCCCCCGGGATCCAAGTAATCGGTCGAGTTGACCTTCAAGATCTTTCACCTTTGATCTCGACTCGGATAATTCAGCAGACAGTTGGACACGTTGCTCATTGGTTTTCGCCAGATGATCAATTTTTTTATCGATCGCGTCATTGGCCAGGTTCAACTGATGTCGAAGGTTCTCAGCATTTTGCTCTAACACATGAATCTCATTCAACATAGGGGTTATAGTGTTATCCGAGGATGCATCATTGGCAAATGTGGTCATCTACACAACGATCATGTTTGTCAGAGGGAAGGCTAAGAGGAACAAGAGAGAAGAACATTGGAAGTGAGGCTTACATTTGCTAACATGCGGTTCGGTGATTTGGGAGTACGAAGACTGGCAATTGACTTGAAAAGGTAAGAGTGGCTGGATGAGCGACCAGGTGTGGTAACCAATGCAGAAGCCTGCTGCCTTAATGTACGGACTCGTTCTTCTAATTGAGCTCGGTGCGTTTCGAGTGTAGTGATTTTCATTTTCAATATCTCAGAATCTACTTTCTCAATAGGAGTAGCCAGCTGTGCTTTTAATCGCTTAATCTCATCATAAGCCTCATTTAGTTCCTCGTTATTTCTACTGTTAAGTTGAGCTGATCGAAGGATTCTTCGTTGAGGAGTCGGAACTAGATGATCATTTTGAGAGAAGCTCGTCTCTAATGCTTGCGAAAGTCGTTGCTCGAGGTCCTTGATGGTCAACGCCTGTGTGTCGCGCGTCGTTTGTATCAAATCCAATTCAGATCTGAGCTTTGCAAGCTCAGATTCCTGGGATTTAGTAGTCCGTTCGGATTCATGGAGAGCTTGTTCGAGAATGTGATTTGAGGAAGTCGCTGCTGCGTGTTGCTCTGACATCTGATCAAAAGTCTCCTGAAGTTCTTTAATTCTCTTTTGCAAGCGTTGAATCTCAGCATCTTGCCTTTCTGCCTTTCTTTTGGCGGTGAAAGCGGCATCTTGGGCTGCTTTCTTTTGGCGTGCGAGGGTTTCGTTTAATTCCTGTGAATGTGCCTGGAGGGTACTGAAACCGCGGTCGACAAAATTCCCCGGATTTACACTATCTTGCTGGCTCAGAATTCCTTCTAGCTGCGTGTTCCTAGTCTTCAACAGCTGCAGTTCACGTTCATGCTCGTTGCGTTCTTCCTGCAACTCGGCTTCAAGCTGCTCTAGAGCTTCCTGGCGTGTATCGGCCACGTAGCGCGTCTCTTGGAGTTCAGATTCAGCTGTAGCGAGTTTTTGATCCTGTTGTCCCATAAGTTCGGGAATCTGACTTTTGATCGAGGCGATCTTGTCCGCGAATTCTTCCTCTTTTTCTTGAAGACGTTGAAGTGCCCGGGCAAGTTCATTCTCAGATTGTGCTAGATCCTCGCGAGTGCGTGCTAGCTCGGCTTGTAACTCGTTGAAGGAGGGAGAATTTGCTTGTTTAGAGGCAGATTTCAATCTGGCAATCTCGTCATTTTTACGGGCTAATTCTGAATTCATGGTCGCCAATTTGTTTTCAAGGTCACCAATTTCTTGCAGTAAGGCGTCTTGAGGCTGTCCTGAATCTCGTGAGGTTGAGAGATTGGAGATTTGCTGTTGTAGATGACGAAGTTCCGTGTCACGCTGCTCGATCGTTGTCTTCATTTGTTTGATTTCACGTTGTAAAACGGATACTTCGGCCGTTGATTTATGGCTAGGAAATCCAGAATGGAAGGATTGTGAGTGATTGGGATCTGATTCTGCGGAAGCAGTCTGCTGTAATGCATCATTTTCGCGTTTCAAGCGTTCAATCTCATCACACAAATTATGGTTCTCTTCCGTCAATCGGGTATTAAGACTATGGAGATAGTTGGCGAGTTTTGGACCATTGAACCTTTGAGATTTGTCATTGGTTGGGAAAGACGTGTTGCCGTTGAGGTGTCGACTGGCGGCACGAGTGGTCAGATCGTGCGCTGTGGAATCTGAGTCGGAAACAACTTCAGCTGCCACTGTGACATCCGGTAGAGAGCTAGCTTGTCCACCGTGGGCAAGGAACCCAGAGAGCTCTGATGTGTCATCGGCTGCTTCTGCCAGACGTCTAGGAACATGGGTGCGTTTGGCCGATCGAAGTTGAACAGCTGGCTGAGCAGCTTTCGAGTTTGACAACAATACAGTCTGACGACGAGCAAAATCAGTCCTTATACTTGTAGGTCGTAGCACCGATGTGTTGCCAGGGTATTTTTGAGGGGTTATCATCTTTTCACGATGAGGTGAGAAGGAAGACAGATTACGTGATGAGTCATGTGATGCTGAATGATGCATCTGGTGCATCTCCAGATCTTCTGAGATGTCATGTTGAAGCTCATCAAATGAATTAGATGCATGGACATGAGGCGAATCGCGTCGACCAATACCTGGGCTACTAAGATGAGTGTAGGAAGACGTTCGGAGGTTTGAATGCTTGAGATCATTGAGGTGATCTACGCGTCGTTCAGTAGCGTAGGCTCCTTCCGATTTTGGGGACTGGGCAATCAGAGTCGATTGAGAACTAGACTTGTTGGACGGCACCGGTGAGGGAGCAGACCTAGGTGGCGAGGAAGAAAGACGCTTGATAGGGGCGACCGAGGTAGAGAGAGTGGGCAGCTGGTTGGCCTTCATGTCGAAACTGTACTCCATATCATCTAGCGCTGAAAGATCAACATCGCCTAGTGAAGTTTTGGACGCAAATGACTCAGACTCATCAGATTCTGGATGTGCATCTGATAGCCTTGATTTAACAGAAGCGAAGTCTTCGGGCCGTGTTGTGCTTCCTGCGCTGGAGGAGCTCGACTTTGGCTTTCTTTGAGCTTCGCTCTCGCTGCTACTCACGATAATCATATTTTCGCGTTGAGACTGAGCAGCTTGGTCTTCTATGATACGACTTGCTTCAGGTGATTTGATTCCAAATTCATTTTGATTCTCCTGAGTTTCGTAAGGGTTGAATTCTGCATGAGTGGGAAGGTTGGAAAATTGATTCTTGTTGTTCATTTTCCTACGATCTAAAGGAAGACTTGCTGGCGTCGAGGTGAGATGGGAGGTGCTACGACCCGATGGGAAGTTTTGATTGACTGGGCGTGATGGACCAGGTGTTTTCAAGGGCTGGGCAGCGTTCTTTGCATCGATGCCGAACTGTGTACGTGAAACAAATCCAGTGTTTTGACTGAGTTCACGGATTCCAACATCGTAGCCATCCTGAGGTCTCATTTCGTAGCTGTTTTCTGATAGCGAAGAATCTGATGGCGGAATAGAAGGTAGACTCGTGAGTTCATTTTGTTCGTAGTAATCGGCCTCTTGAATTCGTTTGCCCAACTGGGTTGGAGATGTCATAGAAAGGCCTGATGTCATTTCGAGTTGAGGTTTTTGAGTTCGATATAATGAGATATGGTGATTATACGAAGCTTCTCATGGATATCAAATGGTTTATGAAAAGTAATCTGTTGATCGATGTTGAGAATGAGTGGTGGGGAGAGTTGCTTGGTAAACAGAGACGCGTCCAATGCAAAGTTTAGAATTTCATACAGCCACACTCGATATACACATCTTGAGTCAACGCTACATAGCTTTCAACCTCCTTACTAGCATATGCCTCTTAAAAAGGATTAATACAAATGCATAAAAGGTTACGATCATCTCACTCAAGAATCCTCAGATTGTGACGCTCAGGCATAAATTTATAGGCTTATAAAAAAACTACAATTAGTAATCCGGCCAACGATGAACAGCCAATTGTGGTGGGTTACCCAGAGTACTCTATGGGAAAGGTACTTTAGGAAAAGCCACAATGCTCGGAGCGCTGGAACCTCGTGTGGTCTTTGAATGATAGGTTGAATTCTGCATCAATGTCCTCCAACAGAATTTGTTGGTGCTCAATGTGGGCGTGTCAAGGTAAAACTGCTGGAAACAGGAGAGTTCAAAGACCTTGCTTCAGCGAGGTCAACTTGAATTGAGCCACTCCAGGTTCCGAGACACTGATGTGTCCCTAATTGGTCTGCGAGGAGAAAGCTGATGAGAACAACCATCGTCAGTAGGCACAATATCATCTCAGCTGAGCGAAGTTCATAACTTACAAACCCTCACCATGTATGGATATTTGTACACTCCTCTCACGTGTTAGATCAAATCATTCAGTTGTAGCTGCGAGTGCAAAGTTTGAGATGTCGTAAAATGGTTGTCGCCTGTTGTCGCCTGCGAGTCCATACTCCTTGAAAATTCCAGAGGCTGTGAAAGATTCTGTGCGAAATGGTATACATATTGGACTTGCACTTCACTCACCTGACGTGTGAGGGCCCCTGGTATAGCGACGCAGAATTCGAGTCTTAGCCCATGTATAGTGTACACCTTCTGAGAACTAAGCTATAAGAATCGCCGACATCCACGCCTCCAGCAATCCTCTGTAGGACTTTACATTCATCTCTAACCGATTATTTCTGTGAAGCAGGCTCGATATATAATCGACGATCTGATTATCTAGCTGTTTTTAACTTCGCTTGGTGACATCTTTTCTTACAGACCTTGTCGTCCATTTTTCAAGCAACTTTTCAAAACATATCTCCGTTTTCTTTGGTCCTACGCTGTTTTCTCGCTTAGCGATACACTCCGTACATCACCCAGTCCTCCCGGAATTTTGAAGCCTTATATATATTTTCTTTCTGACACCATCACTTCTAACTCCACCAGCCGCAGCGGTTCTTCAGATCACTCGCGTTTGGCATGGAGATGAAATCTCTCTGTATCTTTGCCCCCTACGCGCTTATGATTCTCTGTGGATTAGTCAAATGGTGCGATTCCCATCCTGCAACTATTTCGGAAATTGAGGTGCCCGATTTGGCAGCCACAACCATGGAAGGAGACGTCAATTCCAGGGAATTAAAAGCTGGCATTGCTGACTTCAACAGTGGTCACAAGGCAGATCCTTCATTGAACATACTGAAAAACGTTGATGCAGATAAAAATCAAAATGCTGCGAAAGCTGGTGAAGACTTCAAATCATTGGCCGGCGATGATGCAAGAGTTAGCCCACCCGGCAAAGAGGGCCAACCAAACACACCGGCTGAAGGAGAAAAGAAGTCGTTCCTGAAGAAAATTCGATCCTTCTTTAGGGACGGGCCCGTCAAATTCTGGAAAAAAATCAAGCAATGGTTCTCAAAGGCAAATATCTTCAAACGAGATGACAAGAAACTCGTCAAAATCAAGAGTTTTTTCAGAAAAAATTGGTTCAAGGGTCCTAAACCCAAGAAATCGGCGGTAGCGAAATCTGCCAAAGAAATTCCTAGCCCAATGCAGCCCCAGGAGGATAAGGCAGTGAGAATTGAAAAGATGGAAGATAAAATCCCGTCAAACAACAAAGAAGTAGAAGTGAACAATCCAGAACCAATTCCTTTGGCTTCATCCCTCGACCAATTGGAGGACAAGGCAGGGGAAATTGAAAAGATGAAAGATAAAATCCCGTCAAACATCAAAGAAGTAGAAGTGAACAATCCAGAACCATTTCCTTTGGCTTCATCCCTCGACCAATTGGAGGACGAGTCAGTGGGAATTGAAAAGATGGAAGATAAAATCCCGTCAAACAACAAAGAAGTAGAAGTGAACAATCCAGAACCAATTCCTTTGGCTTCATCCCTCAACCAATTAGATAAACCGCAAGTGGACATCAAACCATCTAAATTGGTGTTTTTAGATGAGAAAGCTGAAGAAGTCATCATATCTGTGGAAGATATACTAAAAAGACACAATGTTCATTTAGATGAGGAGAGAAAATCTCTCTTAGAACAAAAAATAAAAAATCCTACCATCATACAGGAACCGATCTCTCCCTTGACAACCCCCGCCAAAGATTACAAGGAATTCCTGGAGTACACCGAGAGATCCTTGCGGGATGTAAATGAAAGATATTCTATTTATGTAGATATCATAGAGAAAACTCTCATAGAAGAAGCCCGACCAAAACTTTCAAAAACCAGGACACCAGTTTCCCATTTGGAGTCTTCCTCTAACAACTTAGAAATATCAGAAGCAGTAGCACCCACGGCAGAATCTCGATTGGTGTTAACAAACACAGAAGTCAACTTACTGGAGACAGCTGAGAGGATACTGGACAATGCAGTGACCAGAAACTTGGCCTCTATAAATTCTTTGCAGAAAGTTATTCTGGAAGTAAATAGGGACCCTTCAAGCTTTGGTGAAAAGACACTGGCTGAATTATTTTTGATAAAAGAAACAGTTGATAAAGCCTTTGCAAGTCACAATAAAATTTAGATTTCAGACCAGCTAGAGGGGTCTCTAGATATACAAATTACCCTCCATTGTGTTCACTCCTCTTTTAACTTGTAACTTTCCATTTTACATACCTGTTATGATGTAGGGTGATCATAAACTAGCCTACTATTATTTGATAAACTTATTTCAAACTCCTACATGTTTCAATCTTCATCAAGGTGCATATAACTGGTCTCTTAACCTCATACTCATCTCAACATAAATATTTCCTTACTCTCATTAAAATTGAATTTAAAAGGTATATGTAGAATTGGAATATTATCCAATGTGAATGATACTACAATTATCTGACCAGGAATTAAGAATCTATGAATCTCCTGCTTTTTTAGGAACATGTTGAAGTCTTGCATACCACACAAATAGGCAAAAACAATGAAGCCACTGGTAGGTTGTGGGTCCACTTAATTCTTTTTAGGTGTCCCTCCACCCTTGGGTTCCCTCACAACTGCCTCCTATACACATATTTCTTGGTGAATTTGTTTTCATCAGCCAAGAAGGTAGAATTCTATGCCTGTGGTTCATATTTTAGTCCTGAAGTCAGCCAGGCCCCATGGAGTATCAAGTTAATTAGAAATTGCTCCTTATGGTCAAATAAGCCTCCTCTCTGGTGTCTTCCTGACATTGTCCAGCTGAGGCATTTCCAAGTGCCCCAAAGCCTTGGGGTGAATTTTTTCTTCTTCTTGGTTGGCTATAATTTTGATAGATTCTTCTAGCCTGAATGTGCTTAAAAGTGCACTCATGCACTAGCTATCTGATGCTCCAGTATAGAGAGCCAAATATTTCCTGGTTTCTGGCAAATTTGGGTGTTGAAGTAGGCCCAGGGGTTTCTGAACTTTTGACCAAACTAGTGACCAGGCAGGCATGTCTGAAATAGGCCATCTGTTTGCTTGTTCCCCCTAAGTGATAATGGTGAATGTTCTCCTTTTGTAGAGCTTTTGTAATGTGGCTAAATTTTCTCCTCTCAACTTCAATCCAATTTTCCACTCACATTACATTCCCGCTGGCTTAGCCTAAATTATCTCCAATTAAGCATGCTTATCATTTCTCAAAAACTGCTTGTGCAACATCACCACATCCCTTGCCTCCTGAGGTAAACCTTATATAGAACCAAACACCATGTAAATATCTGTGTAGCACGTCGACGTGCACACACGAAAGCCTCTCCGTAGAACCTGTAATGACCCATCAAAGAGGTGCCACATCAAGCGCATCTTCCCCTTATCACCTGGGAGGTTGAAAGGCAGTTGACCCCTGCTGACAACAAAGGATTATGCAGATCCTTTGAACAAATCACAAAGCACAAAGGGTGCTCAACAGTAATCTCAGTCTCATTTCAACCAAAAGACTTTGAGATTTATTTCAAAACTCTCCGTGTGTGCACGTCGACGTGCTACCCGGATATTTACATGGTGAAATGTAGTATACTTTCAAGTATGACTTGAAGTGTAGGGCTTGAAATCTTTGTAAGACCCAACATTCAGACATATATCTTAACTTTGATTCTTTTACCAACTTTGTACAGTACCAATTAATAATGAATGGAGGAGGCAACGGTGAAAGTTCATCAAAAGAAATCAACTATTTTATAAAGGTCCATTGGACCTGAAACATGCAATGTTCTAGCCTTAATTTGAGTATTTCAAGAATTGGTGTTGCCATCTTGATTGGATTTTGGATAGTCAAGGAGAACTAAAGATTATACTATTGCACTACAAACATTATTCAATTTCCCCAAGTGGGCAGGAAAAAGTGATTGGCAGTATGATTTTTCATAAAATTATCTATCACTGCACACCTGAGCCATAACACCCACACTACATATGTGTAGCAGGCTCAGTGAATAGCTGGTTATCATGTACATACAGTTCTGCTCAGTTATCTACTTATCAGGATAGGTTGTTCATATGTAATACATGCTGTAACTTTTTTCAGATTGACAAAAGCATTCAAAAGATTGACTACATACACTGACTCAACGTCTTGGTGTAATCTCATCAACTCAACTGTGTTTAACACCCTTTCTGTTACTAAGAAAGAGCTTCAACAATATTGCCTGAGCAGCTACAGAATTATATGTAGTGAATGTTTGGGACAATTCTTTTAAAGTCAAAAAAGTTACATGGGGTATAACATGTGATTTATTTATTCTGATGGGCAAAAAACTGAACAGACCTGTATGTACACAATAGACACCTATATATTTTGCTTGCTGCACTTATGTAGTGTGGGTGTTATGGCTCAGGTGTGCAGTATTGGATCCTTTTATGACAAGCTGTACTATTAATCATTTTCCTCTTCCAAATTGGGGAAGTTGAATGATGTTCACAGTGTTGTGTTCTTGGAGGTAGATAAAAAGTATGGTATGGATTAATATTTGAAATCCTCTGAGCCAAGAAAGAAAGCTGAGTATGGTTAAGTTTGGGTCAAAAAAAATTGATCAAGAGGAGGATACAAATTTAAGTGATAATTCCCTGAAAGAAGTTCAATCTTTGTACTGTAGAGTTGGAACCAGGTGCTTATCATAACCTTGTTCTGATACCAATAGACAATAGATACATGTAATTGAAAAGAAGGATCAGTGATTAAAGCAACAAAAGTTAAATTCAAGAGAACAAAAGAGGAAAACTTTTGAATATAATTAGCTCAAATGTAACTATTTGACCTATTAATTTTAATCCTTTTATAGTCCTTTTGAAGTGAAAAGTGCAATGATGAAAGAGACTTGTGACACCTATAATGATGTCTTGAAGTTGAACGCCAGAAATTGTATGCAAGTCTTAATGGCTCTGAAGACCACAGGCAAAATGAAAAGACCTATACAAATTTAAAAGGTACAAGAACAACAATAGTCCATATAAGATAGGAGAAGTGTACAAAAGTTCAATACTTGTCACTTGGATTTGTGAATCTGTAAGAAGAGAAACACTTACACCTCCTTTTTCCTCAGTGAACTGACAATGAAACAGAGGTAATTTGGTGAGGTAACAAATCTATTTAAAGAGTTAAACTTAGGTTTGAAGTTTGAATGTAGCAGGTTTGAATTATGTAATTTAATTTTTACTTGAATAATGAGTCTGACATGTTTGAAACTGACAAAAGTTGGGGTGACCTTCTCAAAATGTAATAGACATGCATAGACATGAGGCAGAACAAAGTTAAAGGGTTTTTATTGAGCAACTCCATACAATGCTTGATTTGATTCAGCTTTGTTGTGGACCAATTGACAGAGATGAAGCAAGTTGATGAAAGAACCTCGAGGTGAAAAGAGCTGACAGAATTGGAAGAATTTCCAACTAAGATGGAGTATAAAGAGTATAAAGCAGAATAAAACCAGAACGTGTGCAAGAAGTGGAGGACCAAAAGACAAAATAGTAAACTCATGGTCAGAAAAAAATTGTGCAGGTACCTTGTACCTTTTTGATATTTGAAGCCTTGCACCTAAAACTGTTTCCTATATCACTAGATCATAGATGTGGTAGACCGGTAATGGTATATAGAAATTGCTGATCCAGACTGCCAGTTTTCATCATATCAGGGCACTTGAAAATATTCAGGGTTGCCACAAACTACAACAACACCACCAAAAAAATCATACATAAGGCCATTGGGTTATTGTTTGCTGTGATTGTCCCTTGTCATCATAAACCCCCACTGTAGGGTACAGCTATGTGCCAGGTATTTGTATTAATGATTCCAGATACCACCCCCAGTGAACCTGACAGGAAGCTGTGGATGTGGGCAGTACACCACAAAAAAACAGAGAAAGAGGGTTTTTTCTGAAGGGGGTGCAACCATTCACCGGTAATAATGCAAGAGGGAGTCAAACTAACAATGCAAGTCAACCAAAGAAGCTGGCTCAAGAAGACAAGAAGACATTTCTGAAAAAACTCTCCTCCTTCTTTGGTGATGGGCCGGTCAAAGTCTGGAAAAAAATCAAGCAATGGTACTCAGGAAGCTCTGCTGAATTGAATCCTAGTATACTTTGATGGGTTATTGAAGATTTGAAGAAGCTAAAAAAATCAAACTTAACCCCCAAAAAATTGGGACCGGGGCCGGGTCCAGGGGGCAGTTGGATTCAGCCTTTAGCAACTGTCAGCTAAACGAACTGGATAATGTGTCCAGCCTGATCCTGAGGCTCACTGTCTTTACTCTTGCCATTCAGGCCATCGGGACGGTCAGAAAAGAAGAGTGGCACCCAGAATATACCCAATACTTTCGTCATGCGTTGGTATAGTTGATCAACTTTTTGCTGAGAGTTCGAAGTTTGAGATGTTTCAACGTTGGCTCGGCCAGCAGCACTTGTATTCTCCATTACCGCCTGTCCCTCCGTATACTGTGATTGCGGGTGTGTGCGAAATCTGATAATCTGATGGCTTGCGCGGCAGTCGCCTTCAATCGCTTGCTTTGAAAATGGTATGAGGGCACTCGTTATAGAGGCGCAGTATCCAAGTCTCGACCCTTGTATAGTTTACAACTTTCGAAAACCAGGCGGATAGACCAGTTCCTCAAGAAAGTCACGAGGTTCTGTAGCACTTTATCTTGATCTCAAACCGAGTATTTTCTGTTACTCAGGCTAGTTATATAAACAGCAGCCTCAGCCGAATATATATGCGACCGTCTATCTTTCTTGACCTCCACGTTTGTGACCAGCTTTTTACGATCCTTCCAATTCATTCTTCGAGCAACTTTTTCGAAATATTTGTCCATTTCCTTGCGCATTACGCTTTGTGATCTTGCAGCTATACAATCCTTATACCACTCGGTGCTCTCAGCACTGATCTTACAGACCGGTAGTCTACCTTATTGGATCATCGTCAGCTTCACAAGCACAGAACGTACAACTTACCCTTTCTTTCCAGGTATGATGCACTTCACTGCTTCAAATGATATGGTGCACTTAGCTGATTATTTCCTTAAACACCACCACTGAATATTGCATCGGTATATAAGAGTACTCATCTTTGATCTGAAGATGAAATCTTTTTGCATTTTGTTCACCTATAGTCTTCTGATTCTTTGCGGATTGGTTGACTGGAGTTGTTCTTATCCCGCAGTGGGCTTGGAAGGTGCCTTGGACGGGTCGATGGCTAGAGACGTGAAGGAGTCTGGTGGGGGAAAGACTGTCTTCACTGACGTAAACAGAGGTAACAAAGTATATCCTTCACCCAGACTCGATACATCTGATAAAAGTGTCGGACCAATAGGAAAAACTGGAGGAATACCAAAAGATAGCCGATATTTTGAATCATTGGCCGGTGATGATACAAGAGGCAGTCAGTTTATGGGCAAGGTCCGAACCTTCTTCTCGAGTTGGCCGATCAAATTCTGGGAAAAGATTAAACATTGGTTTGCAAAATTAAACTTCTTTAAATCTAAGGATGAGAAAGTTATCAACCCTGCCCAAGATGCGGTAGTCATTCGACCCGAAGAAGGACCCGTGCCAAATCGAAGTAATTTCAAGGGTGCACAAAATGACCCTACCCCTTCTGAGAGTTCGAATGGTGGAAGCCCACCACAACCACCGAACGACTCCAGGGGAGGTTCGAATGTGGCCAGCCATCCGGTAAAACCAAAGAATCCCAATGGCCCCAATAACCCTAACGAAATGCCTCAACCGGCTCCTTCTCACAAAGACAAGTCAAATACCAATTCCCAGGAAGCTGTACGAGCAAGCTCAACCGCACCGAGAGGACCACCACGCAAAGCACCCGTTCGTGGTGATCCAAATACGGCGACTGAAAATTCTAATGCTTTGACCATTACAAAACCAATTTTACCATCGAACAGTGTGGATCGCAACTCTCAACTCATAGTAGCCCCGTCGAGGGACGCGACTCCCTCTCACATCTTGACATCGAACGCCATTGAACGACATGCACAGAAGCCGCAAACTCTAGATAGGTATAATCAAAATCCCACTGCTCTCTCCGTTGGACACTCCGAAAAACCAATTTTTCAGAGTGCTCAAGCGAGTTATCAAGTTTTTCCACACGGCCACGATGGTTCTGGAACGGAGGTTACATCAATAAAAACACAGAAGGTAGAAGTTGTAAGAGATCCTGTAACCAATAGGCCGGGACTTCGAATCAGCGCAGCGATAAGTCAAAGCACAGTCCAAGGTGGACCCGGCCATCTTCAAAACCTTGCTGCACTTGGAGGTGGGCCTAATATGGCAATTCCTACCCACGCCATTGATAACCAAAAACATTTGCTTAAAGGAGCTGGCCGGACACCTTTGCCTTGGAATGGTCCATCATCTACATCAAACTACTTACCAAGCACAAATCCAAGTTTTGGTGCTGGCAATAAGTTTGTGTCAACTCAAAAGAGACCCATGGAACAGAATTTTCAGCCAAACTGGGGTTCCAATCCTAATGTTCCTGGGAGTAAACAAAAGGCATATCTTGAAGAGATTGAAGACAATTATCCTCAAGAATTTCAAAAGACCACAGTTCCAACGGCTAGAACCTCAAAACAGAACCTGGATTCAAGCACTGCTTCAGGTCCTAAGAAAGAAAGTTCCAGTAGGATGTTTGACCCACCACCACCAATTATTACAGACATTACAGATGATCCTCTACAATAAGAGGTCTTCAAAATTCCTTACCTTTCAACACTAAGAAAAGACAGAAAAATATCTCCAAGCAACAACCTGCAGCTCCCTCTTCTAACAAATCAAACAATCCACAATTGGTGACACCAACCAATGATTTTTAACAGATGAATTGCTTCCTTTTGATAACATCATTCATACCAGACTGAAAATATAAAGAGGTATTTCAGATTGATCCAAAACTAATCCAAAAAAATCTTGAAGACACTCAAAACCAGTTTCAATTAAAATACATTTTAAAAATCCACTTTTATCAAAGAAAAAAATTGGAGGAAGTTTCAAGCTAAACTTGAAGATATGAGAATTCCTCATTAAATTCCATCAAAACAAATCAAAGTAAAAGATGTTTAATCAAGTGTATTTTACACACGGTAACCTTTCATAAACCTTCCTCATACAAAAAAGCACATGATTTTATCTTTTTTTTATTTTTTCTGACGTAGACCATTTGATATATGAAAAACTAGTCTTCACTGACTATTTCTACCAGTCAAAATCAATATATATATGATAATCAAGTGATCAATTCTCAAATTATTGATTTCTACACTTAAAATTGATCTATGTGTGATGTAGATACATGATATATATATCTTTGAATGTTCCAGATCTTTGTTGATAGTTGACATAATTGGAAATTTTCTACCCTGAACAACTACAGCCACACTTTTATCAAGTAAAAACTTTTATTTTCCTTTTCCTTTTTCAAAAATGAGCAACAAGCAACATTTCAATGGCTGTAAAAACAATCCACATAAAGAATTATTTCAATATCCCAACAAGCAAGTCAGAGAGTTGATCTAAAGTTCTTGAATATTCGTGGCTCTCAAAGTAGACCCAGTTTCAGAAAACCCAATTGACCCAGTTTTTTTTTTGGCTAGGAGCTGTCAGCAAATTTCAAGTTGATACACAAAGTTACTGCCAAAAATCAACTGGGTCAACCAGGTTTTGTTGGAACTGGGTCTATTCCGAGAGCCTCTATTGTAGTTGACATGCATGATTCTTTTCTCTCCAAGATACACCCTAAAAGCAAGAGAGAAATGAGATGATTGATTTCCTGAGCCAACAGAGTGAGGGTGTATCTTGGAGAGAAAAGGGGATTTGGTACAGTGAGAAAAAGGAGGAAAACTGAAGGAACAGGATTTTCACAACATCACATTTTCTCCATGTCTGTGTGAGACAAAGAGTATTGAACATGATCTCAGGTCTTAGTTCCTACTACTCACATCATTGTGATCATCTTAGGGTGCCTATTTTCTCTTGATCACTGATACATGATTTCAGGTCTTGATAAATACTGTAATCATTGGCAGGGTTCAAGCTGGAAAAGTTGCCTCAGGAAATCAATCATCTCATTTCTCTCTCACTTTTATCAGTTTTTAACTCACCCTACACCCAGGTACAGATAGTAGTCAGACATTACAGTAAATGTTTATTGGAATGTTCTTTACTAGTCCCTGTTTCTACTGGTTTGTTTGGAACCAATGGAAATGGATTTAACGGGACAGTTGTGTATTTATGTGTATGTACAGTCAAACCCATGCAATTGCATACCTGTGCAGCTGCATAACCCATGATAATGCATAACCCGTGATAATGCATACAAAAAATTCTTAATCTTCATAATTTTTACTGCCAAATTTGACAACGGAATTGCATAACCCATGAAAATGCATAGCAAAAGTCTTCCACCCAAATTATGTGAGCGCACAGGCTTGACTGTAGATGTTGTAGTGCAGATTGGGGATTGCCTAGCCCATCATTCAGAGATCCCCATTCACAGTTGCAGGTGGTCCTACCCCCCTCTACTCTTTTTGAGTAGCCCTCTTCAAGAAACCTAGCCTCTCCTTACACAGGAAGTGATGGTTTGCCTCAGGCACACCAGCTTAGTTAGTATAGTCTATCTATGACATTTTCAATATAAAGAAATCAATCTATATGTTGAAATCTAGAGATTTTGAAAGTAGAGAATAGAGATAAAACGCTGTGTTCAATTTTTTTGTGAGGTGACACAATGTCTTGAGCCTTCACAATGGGATTTAAAGCCAAAGCACTTGAGAATCCTGCTGTGCTCAGACCAAACCTGAGCCTGGTGTTTTAGTCAGACTCATAAGCCCCTCTTTGAGAGCAGACATGGCCATGTTGAAAGAGGGGTTTAGTCAAGGTTAATGATGTATGCACATTGTAAAGGATTGATTAAAACAGCTCATTTGAAGAAACACTTGATTCAATAATTGTGTCTCTGTGGTAATTCAAACACTACACAGACGTGGTGGATAAGTGATACTTTCTTGAATGAAGCTTGTTCACATTTGACTTCTCCCTTGTATATATAAAGAAGTTTGAAATATTTGGTAATGAATCAAGGAAGGGAAAAAGTGATCAAGTCCAAGATCTTCCAAAGGGTATTGAAACTCATGGATTTTAGCATGAGATATATGATTTTTTGGAGGTTAGAAGATCTCATGTATTTATCTAGTGATATTTTGATTGTCATGCAAGGCAATGATAGTACACAATGGTGAAAGAATCCATTTGGCCTGCTACATCTTTGTACTCAAACATCTCTGCCAAACAACTCATCTCTCCTAACTGTTGTTCTGCCAAACTTTCCAGATTCCAAAATTTACATTCCGTGTTGTGTTCCAAGCATATACACATGATCATTCTTGAAAACTTCCTACTTCATTTCTTGGAGCTAGGTAGAAGTGAAGTAGAGATATATGCGTGTTTTAAATTCCTTCAGAGGACAGAAGTGTTATTTACACGGGTCATCTCAAGTTGGCTAGCAATCAATTTACAGCTACCTACTCCAGAATACAAAGAGCGTGGTTTGACCAAAAGCTGAATAAAGAAGTTTTGAACGCTGGCTTGCATATCAATGCTACAATTATATGCATCTGGACATCAAACATATCTATATAGTTTCCTGCTTGAATGTTCTTTTGAAAAACCTATGTACTGAGAAAAAATCAAGTTCATAATCTTTCATGATCCATGGTAATTGATTGCATATGAAATCAGGTTGAGTCGTTCGAGATACGAAAAGTTTCCCTTTGATCCCTTCATGATGTTAACAACAAGAAAAATTCCCCGTTGATGACAATCTGATGAAATATGATGATCCCTTTGATACAGGCTGTAATTTGATGATGATGAGTCAAGAGATGAAGATGAAGATGAAGTGAAAGTGATTCTGGGGAACTGTTTCTATTGAAAGTGGGGAATGAAGTATCTGAAACTGCCACCAGCAGTTACCGTTCTATAAAAGACACCGCGGGAATCAATGAGTGTGAAACTTGATTGAGGAAAGTTGCGGTGACAGAGTCCACAACTTTCTCCAATTGCAAATTGGGTTCGCAATACATTCACAATGCGTTTGCTGGATACCCTTGAGACAGCCATGTACAGCCATGTCAACTCACCACAACCGCCACATTCACCTACACCACAAATCCAATCCTAACATGTCATGAATCTAAAGTATAGAGGAAAATTTTCTAGTATGTACGTTATGCTCAAAGAGCACAGATATTCATAATGTCACACTCACAGTCACAAACGGAGTGAGGCTGAAAGCGTCCAGCATTCCTGACAAAAGTAGAAGGGTTCAGGAGGGAAGCACTTGATTGAGAATTCTTTTGGTGAATCAAGGAGTAAAATATTCTGTGAAACCATTCAATGGAGGGTTTATGAGAATTGGAGGATTTGTAGCGTAGGTGAAGGTGAAAGTTGTGGTGAGTTGAAACAGCTGTACATCTCAAGGGTATCCAGCAAACGTATTGTGAACATAATGCAAACCCAATTCGTGATTGGAGAAAGTTGCGGACTCTGTCACGGCAACTTTCCTCAATAAAGTTTCACACTCATTGATTCCCGCGGTGTGAGTTCTAAGCAAACGTTTTCAAAACTTTTGTAAGCTGAACAGTATTTCCTGGTGGTGACAACTTTCCTTTTGGATATGATATCATTTTGGATTTGAGCGTTGACCAACAAAAAATCATAAGGCACAATGGTAGTGGTAGTCATTGCAGGGAGGGATACTTTGTTGTTCACAATGAGTGGGGAAAGGAAGAATAAAGAATTGAGAGTTTGGGAAAGCTTTTGTCACCAAGTGTGTCCTTCCACAAGAGAGGTAGTTGACAATTTTGTTTTGAAGACCTTCCAGATGACAAAATTTGATGAGAGGTTTATGATTCAGGATAGGCCATGGTATTGTGCAGAGAAATGTTAGCTCTACAAGATTTTGTATGTTCAATGATGATATTGAAATAATCTAGAATAGAGTCAACAGCTGAAAAGAAGACTACCATATAGGCAAGTTTAAGAGGTCCAATGAGATCCTGGAAGGAGGCAATGGTATGGATTGGAATTGGAGTCTGTTGCTGGAAGGAAGTGAATTATCAGTTTTTATGGGAGTAGGAGTTGTCAATAGATTGAGTCCTGGATATACCACACTGCCAACATTTTTACCTCGGATCTCTCAATCCAAGGTATTCTTGGGTGTAAACCCTCGGACAGTCCTTGTCCGAGGATTTGATCCAAGCCATTTCATGGCGGATAAGATTTCCTTGGATTGAAACTTTGAACAGGATTTGTCCGAGGATTTGCATCCGATGATGCCTCGGATTTCTCAACCTGAGGCAAATATGTTGGCAGTGCCACATAAAGCTTGTTCAGCATTGAGCTGAGCCAAGTCATCCAACAAGTATTCCAACAAGGTGCTGACAAGTGTAGGAGGGGAGTTGACGGGTTTATTTTTCAAACCTTTGTAGTGCAAACAGGAATATCTAATGCAAGATTGATGAAAAAATGCAATTTCTTTAGCTGTGATAGCAATAGGTAATAAATCAGCATTGGTGACTTCAGGGAGATTGACTTCAAACAGGTAGATATGGGAGGCTGCGGGAGCTGAGGCATCAAAATTAACCGTGGTGTTTGGCTAAAAGGCCTTCAAGGGAGGTATGAAATCTTGTGAAGGAGCAGGAAGATTTTCAAACAAGTGAGGAATAGCAACAGGAACTGCTGGCAGTTCAAGACCTTGACCGTCCAAAAGATGAGCTGAAGAGTCTCAAGAGGACAGCATTCTGAAACTAGGTGTGCCAGTACTAGTAAGACCACGGGTTTCCAATAAGGTGCTCCCCATGTCTGGGGTCTCCCCTTAGTACCCATTGCAAGAGCAGGATAGGGTTCAGGTTGAGGAGCTGGACCTTTAACCTTATTGTGGGTAGAAAAAGATGGTCCAGCATCTGGACCAGGATGTGGTAAGTTTTGTCTGGCGGCTGAACAGGGACGTGGTTGAGCTTGAACTTACTGCTGAGGCAAGGGAGGAGGAGTTGGTGGTGGCCTGATGGGGTAAACAGTGGTAATCCAGGGATCAGCAGTGATGGAGGGAGACCGGGTATACCTGTGGAAACAGGATGTGGATCAGCATGGGCAGTTCCTGGAGAGGCAGACTGTAATTCAAGGAAAGTGTTGGTGGGGGCAGCTTTTGAATTGAAATGGGAACAAGAAGGCAATGTACTCCTGAGAGCAGGACATTCCTTGCTAACATAGTGCCAAGGGATTTGATGTGGTGGTCAGAGCTTGTGGGCAAGATGGACACCGGAAGGCTTCAATTGTTTTTAATGTTGCCTTTGCCAGTGCTGTGAAATGCACGACTGGCGTATCCCACCGAATTGCAAAACAGGCCATTGTAGACATAAAGACAAAAAATTGCCTTGGGGACAACCTCAGCAAAGAGGTTGCTGGGGTTATTACTGCCATCTGCGGCTTGATAGTTTATAGGAATGGCATTGGTTTGAGTGAATAATTGAGGAATGTCATGTGACATAGTAATAAAAACTAGTCATCAAAAACTATCACATAAATGGTGATAAAGAGGTAACAAGTTTACCCGACCAAAGAAATTATATGTGAGATCAGTGAGATAGACCTCATATCAGGAAGATCTTCAAAAAGTAATGAGCACTTTCTAGGAAGACAATTTTAAATCTCTTTGATAATATAAAGCTGGGAAGAACTGATTTTGTGACCGTCCACAATCATATATAGGATTGTCATGCGAGTAAAGAGCTTCCTCAAGATCATGGTCATGAGCAGACTGATGAGGGATTGTCTTTTTGGAGAAGGTAGTGAGCACAGCGTGCAGATCATACACGACATGATTGCTTACATATTGCTTGTCCGAGCTGTGTCACGTTTTCAGTACATGTAACCTATTCTCCTTTCGAGAAGTTTGCTCCAAGGAACCGTAAACAAAGTGATATGCTGAATTGAAAGTTGAAATATATGTGGCTTGCTGAAACCCATGACTTGCGATTTTGTGAACCCATGAAATTGAACCTTACCTTCTGAATCTCCTCTAAGATTTCTCTGCCCGGTGGACTCGGTTAAGTTAGGGATTCACTTTAATCTAATCTCCCAAAGCGGTGTCGATACATTGATTCCCATTACATACAAGAATATCTGTATAACAAACTTACCCCAACCAGCCCGCGGCCATGAAAAATCATTTGACCACCACCTGTATTCTTTTTCCCATCATTGAAAAGAAGACGGTGAGGTATATCCATTTGTCCGATTTTCGTCCGTTCGCCTGACCAGTTGGACCTTCCTATATTATTTCCAGTTCTTGTCATCAAAACTTAGATCTAAGTCAGCAACTTGGGTTCAGCTTCTGTGTCTCTTGAACAGTTTAAAAATCAAACCCGTTTCCGGTCATGATACTTCCACAAATGCTACCTTCAAATAACCATAATATTACCGGTTTATCATCTATGTCAATCGAGGTTATAGAGATGATTCTTTACTGGGTTCATCATCTTCCTTCAACCCGGCACACTGATCAGTACCAAGAGACCGAAAGCAGTCTTAATGAAAATGATTATCCACGTCTCCGAAAATTCCGAGAAACAAATGATAGTCAGTACATTTGCTTAACAATCTCACCATTCTAGCCATCTTGATTCACGGCCCATCTGCCAATCATTGGATTGTGTGCTTCAGTGTCAAATATCGCGATTTTGTGATTATCTACTGTGCTGACATCATGATACATCCTTGTACTTTCAAAGGTCTTCCTTTGTGCGATTTACGATCACTTGCTTCAGTCAATCGTTCATTACATAAAATGTTATCTCCTTATCTTTTCCAGGTAATGTGTGCTCCGTATTACCATGTTATTCTTACGATTCATCAACCGATGTGATGATCTCGATTCCGCTCCAGTGTTTCGATTTCGAAGGTTTCGCGGCGAATAGACTAAAGCTCACGTTTGAAGACATCATCGATAGACATTCAGATCAATTCAGAGAAATCCGGGCGAGATTCTCATATAGTCATGAGCCAGATGGGAATTCTAAATCACGATCCGAACTTTTACTTAAAATCTTGAAATCTTGTGCTCATCTTACCGATATCGATATCGATCTCGACCCAGAACGTCTCGTACCTGCCACAAGGCCGAACATATTCGACTCAGGAGCCTTGCAAGACTCTTCAGTGTCGAATCGAATTCCAAACTTATTTTTTAGACCTATCTGTCAACTTACTTCGCTTACTCATCTTTCACTATCATCTCCTCACCCACGACCACCTTACACGGAGCACTTCTTAGTAGAGATTCTCTCCAACTTTCCTCAACTCCAAAGTTTTGGTTGTTCGCGTATTGATGCTGCTCATCCGAAGCCTTTGAATGGCCGACAAGCTTGCCTATCTCCACTGGGAATTCATCTCGCATCGCTTACTGATCTTGTTGAATTGGATTTAGAAGACGCAGGATGTTTGGATATCAGCTGGGTTAAACTTGACTGGAATAGCTCGTTGAAGGCATTATCATTGGACCGCTGTGATCGAGTCTCAATATCAGTCTTAAAAGGCTTTGTTGAACTTTTTAAAGCTACCTTGAAGACACTTGCATTTGTTGAGGTTTCCCGTTATAATCCAGACCCTTTGAACCTATGCACTTTGGATCCAGACTATATTCAAGATGTTACATTTCGATTTGAATTACCTAAACTGACCAATTTAGAAATCATAAGTCACTCGGCCATTCGATTCTCAAGAGCCTTTCAAAATTCAAAGCGCCTTTCATGGCTCTCGTTGGGTAACTATCCGCTGGAGCCACGTCAAGATTTGGAAGATTTAATCAATGAACGACTTTGGCCTAATCTGAAAAAGTTGGAGATCAATAGTCATACTTCTTCCTTTCGTAGAGCGGTTGAAGGTTTAAATGCCTTGTGTCAGAGATTTTCAATTGAGACAATTTTCAATGTGGATTTCTATAGTCATGAAGATGAGGTATATGATGGTGCTGGCGCGGATCATAGCATCGGCATAGATGAACTCCAGGGATATATGCATGGATCTCATGGTGAAGATTGGATATTTTATGGTGGCTGGCCCTGAGATTATGAAGCGGAAGGGTATTTTTATCGTCTATATTGTTTTAGTTTGAGGGATCCATAACACTTGTAGTTCAGGTTTTGAAGTCTTTTCTTGTTTAAAGCAATTTCTCATCCTGGTAAGAGAGAAAGTGCAGCATTGTTGATTTTAACTTGTTCAAAGAAAACTAGAACCTCTCACAGTCTTGCCATGTATTGCTCAATGTTAATGCCGTTAATGTTTAAATAACCAAATACGCAAAAGCAGACCTTACTTGAGCCCAAGCTGAGTGGCAATGTCTGCTGTATCACCATGCATGTCGCAGCGCAGTAAAACATACAAAGAATGTGATATATCAGGATACGGCGGTCATTCAGTCGGTGTCAGCTTTGCAATCCAGATCAAACGTGTTGTGTCAAACCTTCTCGGCCTCTTCAAGCGGGCAAAACGCTGGGAAGCCTAGACGCGTTTTTTTCTTGATTTGTCTTGCTACAAAGCAGTGGACAAGATGGGTCCTCCGACGGTCATCTGAGAGAGCGTGACCTTCTCAAGAGTCATTCATTGACGCGTCTTGGGCGTACATACTTACATAGTTGTTGTATAAGGTAACATCCTCAAACCCTGCTCCCTAGGGAAAGTGATGGGATAGTGTGAAAAAGGAGTCGCGAGTTGAGTTGGAGCTTGCGCAGTCACGGAACGGAGGACGCAACTTGACGCGACGGAATCTGAAATTATGGTTCCACCGCCAACATAAATCGAGATCCCTCCGAAGTTTCAAAAGTGATTCAGAACCCAACCACGAGGAAACAGAAATATGGCTGGCAAAACGAAACGAGCGATAAAACCGTCCAAAGCTTCAAAGTTACGAGCTACAGCAACTACAACTCCACCTTCACCAAATGCGAACTTGTCATGTATGCCAAACGAAGTCATAGAAATGATCGTTTACTGGATCAATCATCTTCCTTCAACTCAGCCAATACCTCAAAATCAACAAACCAATCCGGTCTACAAGGAAGTTGACCATGAAGATAAGGACCTTCGAGGCCTTCGAAAATTTCAGAAACAAAGCAACGGTCAGTAAAGTTGCTCAACAATTTTACTATTCTATCCACTTTGATCGACAATCAAGCTGATAATACATCAAATAACCTTTTTGTGCGTGATTATATACTTTGCTGCAATGGTGCACATCTTTGAACTTCCAAAGGTAACCCATTGAACGATATTCGATCGCTGGCTTCAGTAAATCGTTCTTTCTATCAAATATGCACACCTTATCTTTTCGAGGTAATTTACTTCCCTCGTTATTATCGCATTTTCACGAGTCAGTATGTAATGATTTCGATCTCCATTCCAGAGCTTAAATTTCACGGGTCTTACGGTGGATAGATTAACATCTACACTTGAAGAAACTATCAAAAAATATGCATATCATGTTCAGAAACTCCAGTGGAGAGTCTCAAACTCGAAATCCGCTTCAGAGGAGCGAGAGGAACTAGTGCGCTCAAATAAAAGTCGCTACGATCGATCTTGGAAGTCACAGTGGGGTCCTAAGGCACGATCGGGACTTTTACTTAAAATCTTAAAAGCTTGTCCAAATCTTGTCCATCTCGATGTAGATCTGGATCCAGAACCTTCAATGCCTACCAAAACTTCAGAGACGCGCGCAAGAAGCTTTCAAGACCTTTCATCTTCATCATCTTACGATCAAATGCCAAACATATTTATCAAACCCATCTCTCAACTTACCTCACTTACTCATCTCTCACTGACATGTCCAGACACACGACCATCTTACACAGAAACCTTTCTTGTAGACATTCTGTCAAACCTTCATCAACTCCAAAGTTTCGGTTGTTCAAGTATTGCTGCTGATCGTCTGGGCGGCGAAAAAGCGCCTCAATCACCACTTGGATTACACCTCGCTTCGCTTACTTGCCTTACTGAACTACATTTGCAAGGAGCAAGATGTTTGGATGCCAGGTGGAATCAATATAAATGGAAAAGCTCATTGAAGGCGTTATCATTGAAATATTGTTATTCAGTCTCAGACTCATTCTCAGATTTACACGGTTTTGTCCAACTTTTTAAATCGACCTTAACGACACTTATATTGGTTAGCGTTCCTGAGCCCCTGGAATCTGGTCCAGATGCTACAATTCAATTCAAGTTACCTAGACTCACCAATTTAGAAATTTCTACATGGACTCTAGGTCGATTCCCACGAGCATTTGAACATTCAAAGAAGCTCTCCTGGCTCTCGTTAGGCGACGAAGCGCTTTCCCGACCTCGTAAATTACAACGTCTGATTCAAGACCGACTTTGGCCTAAGCTTAAAACATTCGAGATCTCCAGTGTAGAGTCTTGCACACGTGAAGAGGTTTCAGGTTTAGAAGACTTGTGCAGGAAATATGGAATTGAGATAATGTTTCATACGGAATCTTATTCTTCAGAGGAGGAGGAGGAGGAGGAGGAGGATGATGACGATGATCATTCGGGATGCGATCTTAGTTTTTTTTACAAGTCCAAAAAGAAAGATCGATATGAGGACTATTTTGGAAAACGACCAGGATGTGCTTATGCTGATTCATATGACAGCAGCGACTCCAATTTTTGACTGAACTAATTCTAACACTCTGATTCAATATTAAGATTCTGGTTCAGGTTATGGGGTCTCTTTTCGATGGTCAGACGTGATGTTGACCTCATTCCAAAGTTGACGTTTATGTCACTGCAATTATGCACTAGGTGATGCGTTTTGAATTACACTGGGTACTATATCAAGATGACGTTGCATGAAACTTGATTACTTATGTGTCAATAATGAACCCCTGCTATAGTAAACTGCAATTCCAGGTTTATAATTCCATCCACTTTCCTTTATCATGTTCCTTTATCATGTTGTGCAATCTTTGTTCTTGCTGTTTCCATCTATGTCCGTGAATTGTCATCTTGTTATATTCATCTCATCCTATATTTTCATCCCATCTTATATTTTTATTCCATAAATATTTCAATCATACTACTAAAGAAGCCACACAAACTGATAGATCACCACGATACCTGTCTTGTAGATAGTAATCAACTCCACAAGGAGATGGTGACTTTATTGTTTAGAGGTGTTTAGAGAATGACTGATTGATGGTTCTGGAACGGAGGTTACATCAATAAAAACACAGAAGGTAGAAGTTGTACGAGATCCTGTAAGTTAGGTTTTCGACCTATTTTGGGAGCGGAGCGCAGTGCTGCGCTCAATCTCACTACGCACAATATCGCTCTTTTTTATTTTTTTTCTTACTTTGGTGTGCGTAGTGCAACACCAGTGTGCGGCGCTCATCACTACAAAAGACCTGAAAAGTCTAAAAAAACCATAAAAAAGAGACTCGAGCCCTGGCTCTGAGCGGAGCGATATGCTTCGCTCAGGACTTTCCTCTCCTCGGAGCGCGGTGCGCAGCCTCCGCTCTGGGTAGCGGAGGTTTGAGCGGATGCCAAAACCGCTCCGCTCACGCTCCGCTCGCGCTCATTCGAGCGGAGCGGTTGCGGTATTGCTGTAACCAATAGGCCGGGACTTCGAATCAGCGCAGCAATCAGTCAAAGCACAGTCCAAGGTGGACCCGGCCATCTTCAAAACCTTGCTGCACTTGGAGGTGGGCCTAATATGGCAATTCCTACCCACGCCATTGATAACCAAAAACATCTGCTTAAAGGAGCTGGCCGGACACCTTTGCCTTGGAATGGTCCATCATCTACATCAAACTACTTACCAAGCACAAATCCAAGTTTTGGTGCTGGCAATAAGTTTGTGCCAACTCAAAAGAGACCCATGGAACAGAATTTTCAGCCAAACTGGGGTTCCAATCCTAATGTTCCTGGGAGTAAACAAAAGGCATATCTTGAAGAGATTGAAGACAATTATCCTCAAGAATTTCAAAAGACCACAGTTCCAACGGCTAGAACCTCAAAACAGAACCTGGATTCAAGCACTGCTTCAGGTCCTAAGAAAGAAAGTTCCAGTAGGATGTTTGACCCACCACCACCAATTATTACAGACATTACAGATGATCCTCTACAATAAGAGGTCTTCAAAATTCCTTACCTTTCAACACTAAGAAAAGACAGAAAAATATCTCCAAGCAACAACCTGCAGCTCCCTCTTCTAACAAATCAAACAATCCACAATTGGTGACACCAACCAATGATTTTTAACAGATGAATTGCTTCCTTTTGAAAACATCATTCATACCAGACTGAAAATATAAAGAGATATTTCAGATTGATCCAAAACTAATCCAAAAAAAACCTTGAAGACATTCACAACCAGTTTCAATTAAGATACATTACAAAAATCCACTTTCATCAAAGAACAAAATTGGAGGAGGTTTCAAACTAAACTTGAAGCTATGAGAATTCCTCATTAAATTCCATCAAAACAAATCAAAGTAAAGTGTGTCCAATCAAGTTTATCTTACACATGGTAACCTGTCACAAACCTTCCTCATACAAAAAAATCTCATTATTTTATCTTTTTTTTAATTTTTCTGATGTAGACCATGATATATGCAAAACCAGTTCTTTACTAACCATTTCTACCAGTCAGATCAATATATATATATATAGCATTCAAGTGATCAATTCTCAAATTATTGATCTCTATGCTTAAAAATGATCTATGTGTGATGTATATACATGATCTATATATCTTTGAATGTTCCAGATCTTTGTTGATAGTTGACATAATTGAAGATTTTCTACCCTGAACAACTACAGGCATTCCAACATGACTTGATTTCTTGATTTCATGAAGAAGAAAAAGTTTGTGAGCTTGAAACTCAAGTTTTTACTGGATAAAACCTAAAAGTTGACTGCCTTGGCTTGAATCAAAGGTAAATTCAAATTTTCATCAAGTAAAAACTTAGGTTTCACTTTTCCTTTTTCAAAAATGAGCAACCAGAAACATTGGAACAGCTGTAAAAACAATCCACATAAGGAGTTTTTTCATTTGTTTTTCACATATCCCAAAAAGAATGTCACAGAGTTGATCTAAAGTTATTAGATATTGTAGTTGGCATGCATTATTTAGAGCCTTAGAAGATCTGGTCTGTGATATTTGATGAAGTAAGAATCTGATCAGAATATGGTGAAGTTCATCACAATAGCAGGGTTCAAGTTTGGCCAAAAATTGTCTGAAATTTTATGCACTTTGACCTTCTTGCCCTTTATTTTTTTTTCAAAAAATAAATTGGTGGGAATGTGCTTCTTTGGTGGGGCTTTTTGATAGTGTATTCAAAATCTGGAAATTGTAAGTAGCATCTTGGTGTAGGGACAGTGGTATTTTAGGCATTTTTACAGCTTGAACCCTGCTAATGATTTGTGCATTAAGAATTATAAAGACCTGATTTAATGTATCAGTGATCAAGAGAATATCCCCACTTGAATATGATCACAGTTATGGCAGTGTTATGAACTAAAGAATTGAGATCATATCTAAGTGACCAAGAAAAATGAGGGAGTTGTTTTCAGTCAGGTGACACAGATGATAAATAAGGGGGGTTTGAGTAATGATAGGTGGTACCCAGAGGCACACTGGTACCACTGCTTTCCATGACACAGTAAAGGTATTGTCTTGGGGTAATTCCAAGAAAGTATCCTGCTACCAAGGATACTCTTTCTTTGATGCAGACATGGAGAAAAAGTGAAGTTGTGGAAATTTTGCTTCAGTTTTCCTCCTTTTTCTCAATGCACCAAATACTCTTACTCACCCTCCACCCAGGTACAGATAGTAGTCAGACTTTACGGTAAGGCTTTATTGGAATGTTCCTTACTAATCCTCATTTCTACTGGGTTGTTTGGTACCAAGGGCAATGGATCCAATGGGATGGTTGTGTATTTATATGTATGTAGATGTTGTAGTGTAGATTGGGGATTTCCTAGCCCACCATTTAGAGCTCCCCCATCCACAGTTGCAGGTGGTCCTACCCCCCTCTACTCTTTTTGAGTAGCCCTCTTCAAGAAACCTAGCCTCTCCTTACACAGGAAGTGATGGTTTGCCTCAGGCACACCAGCTTAGTTAGTATAGTCTACCTATGACATTTTCATTATAGTAAAATGAATATATATGTCCACATCTAGATATTGTGACAATAGATAATAGACAAGACAATTAAAAACACACAAATCAAGGTCTTCTGTGTATCCTTGTACCACTTTTATTATTTCAACAGTTTTGTATTGTGAGGACATTTGACTCCAAGATGAAGTAATTTTGAATGGGTCAAGCACACATGTAGGCCATGTATCTAATAAGATCCAGATTTACAAGACCTCAACAACTTGACTGTGTTACTTTGCTTGAGTAAAAGTTGTGCTAATACTGGCACAAGTGCGTGTACAAGGTGTATAAGAAACTGTGTTCAATTTTTGTGAGGTTACATAATGTCTTGAGACCTCACAATGAGATTTCAAGCCAAAGTACTGGAAAATCCTGCTGTGCTCAGACCAAACCTGGGCCCGGGGTTTTAGTCATAAGCACCTCTTTGAGAGCAGACATGGCCATGTTAGAAGAGGGGCTTAGTTAAGGTTGATGATGTGTAAAGGGTTATAATATTCATTAAAACAGCTCATTCAAACAAACACTTGGATTTGATAATATACTGTGTATGTGTGGTAATTCAAACACTACACAGACGTGGTGGATAAGTGATACTTTCTTGAATGAAGCTTGTTCACATTTGACTTCTCCCTTGTATATATAAATAAGTTTGAAATATTTTAGGTTGATGAATCAAGGAAGGGAAAAAGTGATCAGAATCAAGGAAAGGAAATAGTGATCAAGTCCAAGATCTTCCAAAGGGTGTTGAAACTTGTGGATTTTAGCCTGAGATATATGATTTTTTTAGGTTAGAAGATCTCATATATCTATCTAGTGATGTTTTGATTGTCATGCAAGGCAATGATAGTACAATGGTGAAAGAATCCATTTGGCCTGCTACATCTCCATACCCAATCATCTCTGCCAAACAACTCATCTCTCCTAACTGTTGTTCTGAACTTTCCAGATTCCAAGATTTATATTCCGTGTTGTGTTCCAAGCATATACATATGAACATTCATCAAAAATCACTACTTCCTTTCTTGGAGCTAGGTAGAAGTGAAGTAGAGATAGATGCGTGTTTTAAATTCCTTCAGAGGACAGAAATGTTATTTACACGGATCATCTCAAGTTGGCTAGCAATCAATTTACAGCTACCTACTCCAGAATACAAAGAGCGTGGTTTGACCAAAAGCTGACTAAAGAAGTTTTGAACGCTGGCTTGCATATCGATGCTACAATTATATGCATCTGGACATCGAACATATCTATATAGTTTCCTGCTTGAATGTTCTTTTGAAAAACCTATGTACTTGAAAAAAATCAAGTTCATAATCTTTCATGATCCATGGTAATTGATTGCATATGAAATCAGGTTGAGTCGTTCGAGATACGAAAAGTTTCCCTTTGATCCCTTGATGATGATAACAACAAGATAAATTCCCCATTGATGAAGATCTGATGAAATATGATGATCCCTTTGATACAAGCTGTAATTTGATGATGATGAGTCAAGAGATGAAGATGAAGATGAAGTGAAAGTGATTCTGGGGAACTGTTTCTATTGAAAGTGGGGAATGAAGTATCTGAAACTGTTACCAGCAGTTACCGTGCTATAAAAGAAGGAACGATCTTGACGCAATTTGAAAAGTAGCTTGAATTAGTGTAACACTACATACGCGTACCTTAAGCTATGTATGTATGTACATAAGCTAGTAGATATCTTAAGTGGTCGAGAGTCTCAGTTTCAGTGAAGATCAATCCATCAAAGCAGACCAAGCACTATCAACCATCCAACATCCAACATCCACCTCATCACAAGCAACAAGCAACATTCTCATCAAACACAGAAAAAGAAAACCAAAGCACAAAAACTTATACCTAAGCAGACTCGATCAAAACAATATCACCCAAGACGATAGAGTCAACATGTATCATCCTCCAAACGGTCATTTACCACCACCTGGTGGAGCTCATAGTCGATGGCAATCAACTCAACTCATCAAACAACTAGCTCATTATCCACCTCATCATCATCCACAACAAGCACAAGCACAGCAATCACAGCAACCACCACCTCCGTCTCATCATCAGCACCCACAACAAACTCAATCACAGCAACAACAGCAGCAGCACCAGCATCATCCGCATCCTCAACATCATCCACATCATTCTCATCAACATTCAACCTCTTTTACTTATCCCAATCATCATCCTTCGGCTCTAACGACTCCAAACAATACCACTCCAACTCCTTATTCAACTCATTCAAATCAAAACCCTCATCCAGCTTATCATCCTTCACCCGGTCCTGGTCATCCTACCACATCAAATTCGATTGGAATTCTATCTTCTGGTATCTTACGACCTTTATCACAACAATCACAACAAACTTCTATAGCCGCATCAGGATCGATTACATCATCATGGGCAAAACAAGTAGAACACGCTCAAATCTCACGTGCCAGTGGTGCGGCTCATCATCATGCTAGAGCAGCTCAATTACAGATCAGAGGTCAAGGTAGTTCGGCTTTAACGATCACAGATCCCAATCGACCTTCAAAACCTATCACATCCTTTGCAACTTCTACAGCTGTTCCTCATTCTAGACATCGCGACTCGAACATGGATTCAATGCATACGACTGAAACCTTTAGATCTCAAAGTGTTAATTCGATGAGTAGTGGAACGATTTCGAATAAAGATCCAGATGGAATTGAACCAAGTAGTAGTCCAGAAGGAGGTTTAACAAGACCTAATCTGGTCAGTAAGAATGGAGGCTCACTCATACCGACAGAGAGAGGTAGTCAAAAACATAGTAACGGTCAAGTGACTCAATCATGGACAACGGTCGATATGGGAGGACTTAAATTGAAATCACTTTCAGATGCATTATTTAATTATGATTTCCTTACAACACTTTATATCCCACATAACTCACTTACTTCCTTACCACCTATGATTTCAAGATTAACTTCACTGACTGTACTGGATGTTTCATCTAATAAACTAACGGCTTTACCTGCTGAATTAGGCATGATCACCACACTTCAACAACTGTTTGTGTTTGATAATCATTTAACTTCATTACCACCTGAACTAGGATCATTACATCAACTTGAAGAATTAGGTGTCGAAGGAAATCCATTAGCCGAGGCACTTTTAAGTACGATACAAAAAGAAGGTACTTCGTCACTTGTAGCTTATCTTCGAGATTCGTGTCCAGTTCCATTACCACCATCTGAAAGAGATTGGATATCGATCGAACCTGAATGTTCACTTTTATCAGAATTACCATCCAACTTAAACACTCATGAGATCCCCAACGAAACCTTTACAATGATGTGTTATAATATCTTATGTGAAAGATATGCATCAGATCGAATGTATGGTTATACACCATCTTGGGCCTTGAATTGGGAATATCGAAAAGATTTGATTTTACAAGAATTAATGCAGTATGGAGCCGATTTGATTTGTTTACAAGAAGTAGATGTAGAACAATATGAAGATTTCTTTGTACAAAACTTAAAAGATCAAGGTTATGAAGGTGTCTTTTTTCCTAAGTCTAGGGCTAGAACCATGGGATCTGAAGAACGTAGACATGTGGATGGTTGTGCTACTTTTTTTAAAACTTCAATGTAAGTTTCTTTCTACTTCTTTTTGATTTTTTTGGATTTGATGGATGGGTTGAATTGACGTTCTTTTCCCTTTCTCCTTTGTTTGAATCGAAATTAGATTTCAATTGATTGAACGTGAATGTGTAGAATTTAATCAAATCCCAATGAGATCCGAATCACACAAAACATCCGATATGTTTAACCGAGTGATGACCAAGGACAATATAGCAGTCATAGCCATGTTAGAACATCGAAGAAGTGGAACACGACAATTAGTAGCTAATGTTCATATTCATTGGGATCCCGAATTCAGAGATGTGAAATTGATTCAAACCGCAATGTTAATCGAACAAGTTGAAAACTTAGCAGATCGATTCGCAAAACTCCCACCAAGACATTCACATTCACCTAAGTATCAAAGAGGAACTGAGATTCCCATCATAGTCTGTGGTGATTTCAATTCAGTACCGACCTCAGGAGTCTATGATTATTTATCACATGGAAATATCGAAGCTACACATGACGATTTCAATTCGTTTAATTATGGTCCTTATACTCAACAAGGAGTTCAACATCCATTAAAACTCAAATCAGCTTATTCTCATCTGGGTGAATTACCTTTTACAAATTATACACCTGGTTTCAAAGGTGTCATTGATTATATCTTTTATAATGAAGAGGTTTTGGATGTCACTGGCGTCTTGGGTAAGATTGATGAAACTTATTTGGAGAAGGTCGTGGGATTTCCTAATGCTCATTTCGCTAGTGATCATGTTCCTGTACTGGCTGAGTTTAAGGTTTGTATCCTTTTTTCTGTTTGAGATTTTTGAATTTAGAGTTAGTTTTGATCATTTTTTTGGGTTTTTTGATTTTGGTTTTCTAGGTTAAACAAAATGGGAATAGATAAAGAAGACATTGAGATTCACTTCTTTGATTAATTGAAATTTTATTTAAGTTGTGACTTTGATATATATGTAAAGAATTCTTTTTTTTTGCTTCTCTAGGTCTTGTTTTTTTTACTTCCAAAAACGAACAGACTTTACTTTCTTTCTTTTTTTCAAGCTTTTTCTTTCTTTTTTTTCTTTCCTTTTTTTTATAACACTATGTTGTTGTTGTTTTGTTCTGGTTGTTTTGTTATCCTTTCTTTTATGGAAGATAAGAAGTTTATGTCTCTGTGTGTGTGTGTGTGTTTTCTTTTTTTCACTTTTTATTTTTCTCCAATATCTTTAATTCTCTGAAGAAAAATTGGATGTTTTTTCTTTTTTTTAAGTGGTGATATCAATTAAACTGTGGATGTGTGTTCAACCTGAGTGTTTCTTTTTTGATTGTTTATTGGTTTTTTTTTTGTGTGTGTGTGTTTTTCTGTTGGATCTTATGGTATGTGTGACTTTGAGTGAAAACAAAGTCAATCATCCAAAGAGAAATCATTTTGTTTTTTTGGTCTCTATTTTGTTTATATAAGTAAAAGCCTTTGTTATATTCCTTTTTGTTTTCTCTTGTCTCTTCTATCTCTCTCTATCTCTCTATGTGTGTGTGTGTGTGTTTATGAAAAGATCTTTACTCCTTTTTAGTTTTTGAGATCTTTGGATCTTTACAGTAGTCAGCATGATCAGATGAAGTTCATCTTGATCGTGTTGAACAAACCAAAATATGTAGTAAACATGAGAAGAACAAAAGAAGCCTTTAATTAAGTAAGTTGCTCCTTCACTTTTTGCCTTGATAGGTTTGGTGATGATGAAATTGCTCAAGGTGTGTAAAATATTTTAGATTGTATGCTTGTTTTTGGGTCATTCCACCATCTCTCTGGTTGTATGTTTCAGCTTGATAGTTCTTGAAGTTGAAAGCCCTGTCCGATCAACGCGGCAAGAAGCAGTAGAGCGAGTTGGCACGTCGAGCGTTGTCAGTGCACAGAAAGCCATGCCTGTACTGCTTGGGTCTCTTGGAGGTATCAAAGACAAGATTAGTGATGATTCTGGTATAAGATGTCTTTCATTTGACCACTTAAACATCCACTCATCTTCCCATCCCCACAAAACTTATTCCACCTTCCATTTATACCAGTATATAGATTTTGATTCAAGATCAGTACCTAAACTTGTATAAAATTATCTTTCAATTTCTTCACTTTTGATCTTTCAATCAACAAAAACATGACATTCATCACACCTCATTTCATGACTCTTGCACTCATCATCACCATGTTGTTTGGAACAAATATTGGAATCCCATGTGACACTGAATTAGAGAACAACTCAGGAAGACAAGGTATAGATGAAAAACCTTTGATGGCTTTGCGTCATTCTGATAATCCTGTAAGTTTTCTGGGTTTTATGAATATCAAAAATCATTATTTACATTTTTCCACGGCATCAATTAGCTTCGAAACTACAAACCAGTACAACTTGATCGTCGACAGTCTGGGTGGGGTCCATCGCCGGGATCAGGTGGATCTGGAGGAGTGCCAAAGAAATCTGGAACAGGCTGGCACGAGCAATGGTAGAGTTCATTGATCATAAGATTGAACGCAAAAAGATGTTGTATATATGGTAATTTACATTGAACTTACGTACAACCACTGTGATATATGAAAACAAAAACACTGTCAAAAAAACAATCAAAAAAGCAATGAAATAAGAAATGATTACCAACAGCACTCATAGGGAGGGCTGGTGAAGAAGAAGCTGAAGACCTTTGATTTTTTGTTAAGGACTAGACCTGTTTACCTGTGTCTTTTTAAATGACAAATAAGAGATGCAAACATGATTTCCTTAAAGAAAGAGTGTAGGGAAACCCAGTGAGATGAAGGACCTTCTCCATAACAACTTTCTTCTTTTTCTATCCCACCTACAAAAAGCAAAGAAATTATCAAGTTCTAATCAACGCTCAACAAATATGATCATAGGTTTCAAATTATTGTATTCAATATATGTTCACTTGACTTTGAATTGCTTATGAATTCTTGCTCAAACGGAGGGTACGTTTGTAGCACCATTGGGCGAGAGCGCAGCGGTATGACCAAAGTGGCCAAAACAATAATTAATGTCCCGAGTTCTAGAATTCAAGAACAGATCACAGAGTCGAGGATAGGGTGATGTAAGATGTTTGCCAGTCAGTTTGAGAAATGAGAGCACTGAGCTTGGCCACTTGAACGCTCATCTCTGTGCGCTTGATGTCCCATTATTGTGAGATAATCATGTTCATATGTTGAATCACGTTTGTTGTCTGTTGCTGTTGATTTAAAATGCATCATTCATTTCACAAAGCCTTCTCACAAGAAAAGAATTTTACTCCTAATCTGAAGCATCGTTGACTTGAAGTGAAAACGTGATAGGTTGTGATCTAACCTACACCATATTTAGACTGAAAATTCATCCCCTTGAGGCTACACCTGGAGTCTTGGCTCTAAGTGTATTGGATTACAAGTCATATATCGACCGACAGGCGCTGGCCATAGTATTGCTCAAGGATTTGGGCGACTCTATATGTTAAGCTTGGATCCTCTGATGCTGTTTCTGCCAAACAATCATAACAAAGGCAGAGGGCATTCCTTTCACGGCGCAAAATTCTATGAGTATATGGAGAGGCGTAGAATGCTTTATTGCTGCAAATCTCAACGCTATCACTAGCAATCATAAAACAAACCAAAAAATATCAGCACTCAGGATAAAATCACAAAGAGAAACTTGGTCGTGTCGATGAAGAAGAATGAGTACTTACAATACATTTTGATCATTATTATTGTGTTATGTATAAATGCTAATGGTACATTTTTCAGTAATGTCACGTGCGGATCAGCTTCTCAGTTGTATTTTCGAGTACAAAAGGCTCGCGGTTCTTGAAATTCTCCTTTTCCCCTTCCCACTCTCTACCACCACTCGATTCAACTGTCCCATAATTTCATTTTGTACATCTTTTTGAATCTTTTATAACTTCCCTTCAAATTCTTCACCATCATGAATCTGTCTACTATCTTCGGTCCATGTTTTTAAAAAAACCCTCTTAGTTTACTTCCCTTTAAACTTCTTCTGTGTTATCTTTTTAATCTGGGCCATTCAAAAAATCTCTTCTCCTCACAAAGTCCCCGAGTTGTTTGTTTTAAAGTTGATTTCTAAGAAATTGTTTATCATTCTCTCTTCGGCTCTTCTTTCTTCTCATTCCTTCTACTCATACTTTGACGCCGCTCCAAAAACCCCTTCTACCGACGCCGACAAAGATATTGAACTTGGCCCTGTTGCTCCTGCTCCAACTCCTCAAAACCAAACTCCTCAAAACACTCTTCCAGACGAATTTGTTGAGATTGATCTAGGTATGTCCTTTTCTCTAGTTTTCTTCATTTTGATAATTTGATAAACGACTCTAACCATTTCTTTATTATGCGATCTTTGTTTTAGGTGAAGGTCCCTCAAATAACGGTCTTCCTGGTCCTCCCCGCCCTTTCCTCACTTGTGATGTTTAAAGAACTCGGTTTGAATCTTTCATGGTATGTCATCTCAATCTTCATTCATCTTTTCTTTCTGATCTATTCGACTCTTCCTTCATATACTGACATTTTGGTTCACATTTGTATGTAGATGTTGATCTTCTTTTTTGTTTAAAGTTCTTTGATTTCTGATTTTCATGATTATTCCGATACTCTCATTTGAAATCTTGATATCTGTTTAGAGATTTTGGATCGATTAATTGTTTTAAGTCTTCATTCAAAGTCGTGATCTTCTGCTGGAAAAATATTAAATTTATTTTGGCTACCCTCATTCAAAGTTCGCTTACCTTTATTGAACGGAATAAGAATTAATCTTTGAGTTGTCTGTTATGTGCAATGTTTGTTTTTCGCGGGATTTCAATCAAATGACGAAATGTGCATATATTTCAATGACAAATCGATTTTTGCATCATAAGACTACAACAGTAAGACTCTATAGGATACAATATGCGAAATCATAATGGTTATTGCTAAGTTACAATATTGAGACGGTCGTGATAACAAACACTTTACATTTCAAAGAGGGACAAGAAAGTCATGCCCATTGTCTGCATACATTTCTCCCAAAAACTCATCTCTTTCTCTCTTGTCGTCTTTCCCATTCTATCCTATCGGGATGGGGCTTTTCATGACCTCACTTCGTGCTCAGCTTCGCATCGAGTTTGAAGCTGGGAGTTCCTTCTGGGTGGGGTTGCAATAGAAGCACAAATATTTGCAAAGCACGATCAACGCAAGCGGTGGTTAAGAAAGACAGATCAAGCTTACTTATAACCAGTGACACAAAGATGGATGTGGAGCAAATCTTTTTCATCACAATGTCCCCCTTTTTTCGTAGCAGATTTTGACGATCGAAGTTCTCTACCATCTTACTACCCTGTTTACCGTGGTCTTATTCAGGTAGTTCACGTAGAGCTCAAGCCAGATGAATCCGACAAGACGACCAAGAATCAAAACTGTTGGCTAAGAGTCCGTCCTCACACAGTTATCGAGTTATAACCTGAGCTTGACAGCTTGAGGCCGCACATCCTCTGGCCAAGCGGGCTCTATCAAGTGTCGTTTCCTGGCTAGGGTTCGTATCTGGATCGAGGAAGATGTTCGAGAGGTGAGTTGTACGATGACTTTCAGAGATCTTCATTTGTCGATTTTTGCATAGACCCTTCAAGTTTGCTAATCTAAAGGAAATACACTACTGGTCAGTTTATATATTCGAAATGAACCCAGCATTGAGTCAAACTCACAATTTCATAGGATTTGAAAGACCCACAACCAACGTTCAATATAAATGTCCTACACGATCGCACAATCCGAGGTTCAAAGGGATCCGAGTTGAAGAATAAAAAGTATGAATGACAATGAATGCTGTTGAGGTTCGAATTATTTGACCAAGTTCGTTTCAATAGTTCAATACTGAGATATATGCGCTAGTATTCAGCTATGAAATGTCACTTGTGCGAAAGGTCGGGATCCGTGTAAAAGGCTCGCCAGGTTTACCGTTTGATGAAATCGACATTTCATCGTGAACATCGATTGGATGTATTTCTTTGATTTCAAGAAATTATATCAGTCTTTGAGCAACCCTATTGGTATCATGAGCAGCTCTATCTTACACTCCTAGACAAATAAACCCACCGGTGCAGACGAGACGTCTTATTGTACCTCGTTAAGCTTGAAATCTTTCAAGAATGCATATTACGCAACACGATTCGATAGCCGACATATGCCTGATAGGCCTCAACTCTGAACTGCTCCTTATGGATGTTGAAAATTGGTCGCCAGAGGAACCTTTTCAGCCCGGAAGATGCATATTCGAACCTCGCTCAGGTGTTGAGTTATGGCATCAAGACCATTACCATTCATACTCGACTGTCCATGGACGGGCCGTCGTATCTCACAAGTCGGCTTGAGCTCATGCGTTTGCTTACCATGAGGTGCCGCATATACCAGACTCTTTGCTGCACTCTTACCTGGCTCGATACCGGATGCCTCACCTGAAGTCTCTTCCAAGACTTTCTCAAATCAAGAATAGCGGCTTCAACAGAAAGCCGAATTATGCAATCCGGATATCCAGGATCTCAAGCCAAGAATTGGCGCCCAGATCCAGCTATACCACTGGGATCTTGAGACTAGAATCTAACAATTATAAGCTATTGTGTGAATTAATCTTTCGTGAAAAATTTGGTTTCTGCTTTACAAGATTCTCAATACCTCATTCCTTTGACCTATACAGCCCGATGCCCATCTCATGGATCAACTCACAACCCCTCAAGCTTAAGTGCCGGACTCAGCTGTAAACCTTGGGCCTCACTCTAAGAATTTCTTCCAGCTCTTTCGACCAAATCGTAAGTTATGCTATCTTGACGGCAAGTCTTTTCTACATCTGAACTTTCCCCTTTTGTGTAAAATGGAATGACAGGCAGGCTATTACTTGAACAAACGCTGTTCAATCAAGTCGCATACCGGCGATCAACATTCACAGCGATAGGGCCGTCTTTGAAAACCGTGAATGCCACTGCTGGACCCAGCAGGTATCTCAGAGCTCTTGAGCCATCTAAAAACGTGGAGTAATTTGTGGGACCTATCCGAGCCCAAATACGAGAACAAGGGAGCACGATCCTGAACCGAATGGAAAATAGAGCGCGTGAATTGCCCAAAATGCGACAAGTTTGATCCAAACAAATCCAACTTCAGAACACCTGTGGACCAGAAACATAGCTAAGTGAGTATCTTTTGTTTCCTTATTTCATCAATCTTTCATAAACATTGGACAGACTGATTGGATAATGTATTTAGATGATGGCTCTATACAAGGATGCGGGACAAAATACGAGCATATTCATGATCTAATTACTTGACATCTTACAAACCGCGCACCACGTGCAAAGGGCTTAACTCCAACCCCAGTGTCAGTCAATTTTCCTAATACTTTTATGTTATCGATCAAGTGGTCTGAACTATCCTTGATTGGATATTCTTATTTTTCTATATTAGCCCAGCCCTTCGAGTCCATTCGGGTCTCAATTTGATTTTCTTTTTATAAAAGAACTCAAATCCATAATTCGGGTTTCTATAAGGTTATGTGGGACCTCTTCGACTCCAATGATGTTTGTTATTTTTTTAAATCCCACTCCTTGAAGATCCATTTGTCCCGGGAAATCATTCAGGTATCTATATTTGCTTTGATCTCTTTCTTTCTGGAAACAAAAAAACGAGTCTGCATGAACTCGTCAATAGTACGTTTGTCATTCTTGTGGCCCCTAATCATTTCTTGCATCTACCTACTTGCTTCTCTAGTGTAAAGTGTGTCTAACGTCAAGTTGCTGTGACCTTTATGTTTTGTTTGTAAGAACTCCGATACGGTGATTGCTGACTGGAATTTCTTGTTTCCTCTGCAAGGTAACACATACAAGAGAAATCGCAACATATATCCTGAACCTCTCTCAAACTCATATTAGGGTAGCAGTACTCTTTGTTCATCGCAAAAGAAATTTTCGTTGATGAAAATTTCCAATCTTTACCAACCCATAACAAAAAATGTGCATTGTCATATTTCACAAAAAGAGATGATCAAAAAATATCCACATCCTATATATAATCAAAGACTCCCAAAGATTCAAAGTAAGAGATGAAGAGATACAATTTATGGACCGTTGTAACCCGCATTGTCCATCAACTTGGCGTTAACTGTATATAAAAAATACATTATTGAGAACGACATTCAAAGTAAGCAAAGAGGTCGGTTTGATTAGATGACTTGGAAAAGACGCGAAAAGGGAACTTACGTGGTTTAGCTACGCTACGAATTTGAGCAATCCTGGCGATCTTTTGATGAGCATCATCAATGGTTACACCTTTTTTCAACATCTCTTTGAAGATGGTACTTTGGAAAATACGAAATGTAAAAAGCATTTCATGTCAGTTTGATTCGATTTGATAGAAAACAAATCAGTCAAGGAACTAAAGACAGAAGCTTTGACATACATAATAGCATTGATTTTATGAAGGATATCATTATAAACATCCATAGATTTACTAATCCTTGCATTTTTAATTTGATGTTGAGCTAACCAAAGTCGATCGGCATTTTGAACGTGTTCTGAATTGATCCCATCTTGTGCTAAACCGGCTATTTGGTCTTTACGAAGGTCGTTGGAAGCTAAAGTTTGACTGATTTGATTTACTTTGGCTACTTCTGCTTTTAGCCTCATGATCGCTTCTTGGTTTGAGTTAACTGGAACAACACATGATACTAACATACATCCAGCCACTAGGAATGTAAAGAGAGTGATAAGAAATCGATTTGATGACATCTTTGAGTATTTCAAAAAGAAATTTCGGAAAAAAAAAGTTATATATAAGAATATGAAAGAAAGACTTGATAGTTCAAGGATTGATTTCTCAAAGCTTTATTGATAGAAGATAAACAAGAATAGTATAAGAGATTTTAATTGATGAGAACCAGTCTATCGTCTTAAAAAACTTATTTATTTAATGGAAATATTTATTGGAAATTGTTCTTGTGAAAATGATTGAAGTTAGAGAGATGGTTGGTCAATCGAGTTGTGGGTCAATTGGAAGGCTCTTAAATAGATGGAAAAGATATGATGCGAAGTCCGGTTATACCAATTACTTCGTCACGATCATTTTTCCAAGTGAACGCCACCATGAAGGTTGCTTTGCAACAATCGCGTCTCGTGATCAATTGAAAGTACAATGGACAGCAATGGATGCGCGGGTTTGAATTCAAACATGCATACATACACGCGTTGCTAGTTATTCATCTCCACCATAGACTACGATCAACCGTTAGAAGGTATGAGATGCGACTGTAGTCGGATGAAACCATTCACCTTTGTCTTTTACAACAAAGCTTAAGTATGCGCCAAAGTGTTCGTGATCTAAGAAAAGACCCGTTTGTCTGGCTAACAGTGGCAACCAAACTTGTGAACCACAAATTCCTTCCACATGGAAGGAATTAGGGACTGGGCGAGGTTTTGACCGACAGAGGATTTAGCCACCTCAATAAGCGCATGAATCCCCTGGAAGTCGACCGAAGCGATTTATGCAAACAGGAGGTGTCAGGATTACTCCTACAAGCCCAAGAGACCCGACTGTCAGATGATTTCACCAAAACCAGAGCGAGAGCAACCTGTGAAAGGTATATCAGGCTATCCAGAAGCGTTCTGCCATAGGCTTTTGGCTGAGGTGGGGGGGAAATTTTGAATAGACAGCTTGTCTTAGGGAGGGTCATGCCTGTGCGCCACCCTATTTTTTTTAGTGCCATAAAGCTTACTAAAAAAAATAAGGAAATTTCATATTGATTGAACAGTGGCTTAGCTGTTTGCAACTCGCTTTCAATTACGGTTGAATTGCAATTTTGCAGAGCTTCGCCCAGTCCCTATTATGATTTATCCAACTCGGGCGAGAGGCTTCATGATAAGGTCCAGAATGGAAAAGTCGTGCCAAGCTTTCCAGTGAAGCCTAGTTAGCCACAAAGAAGATGCCAACAACCGCTGAGATGACAAAAGAAAGCAAAAGAAGAAGAACTTTGATCATGTACTCACTTACCGCAATACATCATGTACGATTACGATAGAGAAAGTTGGATTCATGCGTGTTCCATATGTTAATCCTGGCAACTTCCCACTCATCATGTTTTAACCAGAGTCGATGCCACACATCTTTATCTTCTTTGGTTCAAGACTCTTCTATCCATAATGAAATTCTTGCATTGGAAGTTTGAAATAAACTTTTAGATTTGATAATAAAAGAGTCCAATACGTTTTGATAAACCTGAAGAAAAAACGCTCGATCTGCTTGTGTGGAGAACTGATTATAAACTGTGACATAGATCAAGAAGGAGAATTCTGAACTCGAACCACTACAGTTAACTTTTCCGCAGTGACTGCGGATTCGTGTTCCAATCTCTTTTTCGTCTTACAGTCGATCCAGAATAGCTTGATAAAATGAAATTTATTTTTTTTAAATTTCACAGCAATACAGCCCAATACAGGCATTCCTATAAGCATATGTAGCCTACAGTCGAGAAACCCTCGATTGAATTTGGGCTGCTTACCGTTTCACCTCTTTACCCTTGATCCCACCACTTCTTTCCCATCGATACCTTCCAATACCACCTCTTTCCCATCGATACCTTCCAATACCCATTCCAAACCACCAGTATACCATCATGCCCACCAGAAAAACGAAGAAACAAATCGCTGAGGAAGAAGAGGCCAGAAAGAAAGATTTGTGAGTATTTTAAATTGTTTCCTTCTTTTGATACTTGTTACTGACCATCTTATTTGTAGTGCGCGACGCCGAGCCCGTCAGGCTGGGCCAGAAGGCCTTAGTCCTGATCCCGGCAGGACTGGGACTCCTTGTTATTTTGACAAGTGAGTTCCTTTTCTTTTTTTCTCTTTCGTTGTCTTCAAGAGTCTCTGATCAGCTTCTGTTTGGTTTTCAGACCCGGTCATCACTGGGAGGACCGTCGATACGGCAGACGCCAATACCTCAACACCGATTCAGTCCACATCGATCCCTTCGCCGAGCCAGGCTTCCAGGAATTTTCTTGCCCTTTCCAATTTTGTCCCGGTGAGTTCTTTTTTTAAAATCTCACTTCCTTCTCATTTCAATATCAACTGACCTTCGATTGATTTGTAGAAATCAATGTTGATGCTGGTATCACACCGATAGTTCTTCCAATAGCCCACCAAGGCTTTGGAATGCCTATGGTGGCTGTTGGAGAACATCAACACGATTTAGATGTCCATCGGGACCCTCTCTTTGGTGTTCAAGAGGCCAGAAACCGAGTTGATGAAAGTAAGTTTTCATCTTATCTTTCAGAAGCCACCAAAAAGCAAGCAACTGATCTCTTGATCAGTAGATCCACATCGATATGTGGATCTAACTCAATCACCAAGCCCAGGCCCTGGCGACGCTGATCACCATGTCGAACCCGTGGAGCGCAAACCGATCCCGGCCAAGTTCTACTTCAACCTTTTCCTAGCCAATCCCCTCACTGACGCCGACAAACGATCCGGTGTGCCCATCTCGTACATCGAATACGGCATCCCAGTCAAGACTCCTTTGGACATCATGATCCAAGTCGATGGACAATCACTCGGGCAGGTCAAGTCGTCCCTTTTCAATGCGTGTGACAGCCACAAGAAGGGATGTGGCAAGATGTTGAGGGTAGCTGACAGCAAAGGAAGAGTTATACTTAAGGGTTACGTGACTACTGGTGGCATCTTTGGTAAGACTGCAATGCCAAAAATTTCATCCGAGGATACTTTGAAGGATTTCCAAGCCATGATCATCTTGAAGAAGGGGAAGGAGGTCGGCTTCAGTCTCTTCATGGACAACCCAAAGAAAACCGCCAAAAACAATTCCAAAGTAAGCCCTTTTTGTCTTTCTTATTCTTCTCATTCTCAATTTGGTATTGATTTTGTTTAAATCAATTGAACAGACAGTGGATTTTAATCGGGCGTTGCAACACCAACCTCCAAATGTGTTGAACGATGATCAAGTCGATGAGATGGAGATGGCGGTAAGTTTTTATATAATCTTTTCGAATTTTCAATTGATAAGAATCAATCTTTCAAACAGACTATACATGTTGAACCGGATGTTCAGGCCCATAGAGTGACTCTAATGAAGATGTATGGCTGTGTTTCAATCGGAGGTAAAGAGTGTATGGGTATTATCAACCCAGCCAACACCAACGAGGCAATGCATCTCTCGCATTTGGCAATGGACATATGGGCAGAACTCCTTGTAAGTCACTTTCTACCCCTAAAAATTGTTCTTTCAAGATACTGACACTGATTAATGTGCGTTGATCATTTAAATTTAGGCCATTCATAAGCCTGGAGTCACCTTAATGAGACCACCTACCGGACCCGAGTTTCAATGGTTGCCGATCAGCAAGTTACATTCCCGAAAGGCTACTAGTACGGCTTCCAGCTCTGTTCAGTCAACCTCTCAACTCCCAATGGTCTCACGCTACGAGTCCACACCCCGATCAGATTCCCCGGCCCCAAGGCCACTCCCTCACTTTGAATGTTACCTTGACTATTGTTCGATTGAGAAGGACGATCAAGAAACTCGCGATTTGCTCAACAAATACAACATCGTCAATTTTGAGATGTTTTTATCCTCCGAGCTTAGCTGCGCAGTGATGGCAGGTTTTGGGTTTGGGTTTGGACAACGTGTCCGACTCCATGAAAATGCCATATCATATCGATAGCATCTCAAGGATGAAGCTAATCCTACTTTCTAAACCTCACATCCCACCTCCAATCAAAAAAAACATGTACTGGCCTCCTTGTGTTAAAGAGTAACATTCTTATGTTGTAGCCACAGTATACTATAGCAAAATGACTCGCTATCTATTATTGTTTGTTTGTTGTGAAAGAAATATGCTGTAATCAAACTGTTGTTTAGTAAAAAAACAAAGCTCCAAGTGTGATTGAGATTCCAAATGAGAGTAAATTTTAAAAAAAAGCTCCAAGTGTGATCGAGATTCCAAATGAGAGTGAATTTCTGCAAAGGTAATCCTTATGCCTCTCACTCAAATCAAGATCAAACCAATCATAGGATTTTTCTTGTTTTACGTTTCTCAAAATATCTTATAATCTATCTCATGTTTTGAGAAACATGAGATAGAAGAATCTCATTTCCTTGAGTGTTCCATCAATTCGATTCACCTCCTCAATGTTGCAGTGTATTTCACTGGAGATCTCAATAAGACAATATCTTTCTTTGCATATTTTCAATATCTCGATTTAAGCAGTACAACAACATTTTTTTAAAACTCATCTTCATCATCTTTAGGTCTGTAACCACCAGTCTTGTAAAGATTGACAAGGAACAAGCTAGTACAAATCTGGCTCATTACCCTTGTCAGACATTTCAACTTATCAACAGCCTCAGCCAGCGTACCATTCCTGCGGAGAGCATCTTTGAATACCTTGAATGTGCGCTCGATTGGGTTGAAGTCGGGCGAGCAAGGTGAAAGATAGACCAATAGAACTCCAACTGCCTCGCACAACGCTAGAATTCCACCACAGCGATGGATAGTTGCGTTATCCATCACCAGAACCGAGTTTCGATTCGGGAAGAGACCCATGACAGGGAGCTTGAAACAGATCGAGAGCATCAGCTCATTATGCACAGTTAAATAAGCGAGAGAGACAGTCACTTACCAAGATGTGTTTCAAAAAGGCCTGCAATTCGTCTCGACAATAGCCATTGACCTTGGCGTTGACTGCGAGTAAGCCCAATTCACAGATGGCAGCCAGCACAGTATAGTGATTCCCCGCCCTCGTACGCTTCAAAGACTTCGGTCTTTTGCCTTTCTTGGACCTAACGTGGTTTCGTTCGACATCTTGTGGTCGAAGCCCGGTCTCATCTTCATGATGGATGAAATGATAGAGTCAGATTGGATATAAAGAAGAAGATAGAAGGCTTAGAAGGAGATGGATGCTTACCTAAGAAGACCAGACACTCTGGTGGAAGATGGGCAACTTGACCCAAATACGCTGCTCAAAGCTCGGGTGATTGGTTGCTATCGACCTTTGCAACCTTGTGAACGGTGAGGTAAAGCCGTTCCTTGAGGTCATTGGCGATAGTTTGTCGACAAGCGAGTAGATCAGTATGATCATACATCGCCTCCTGGACCTCGTCCAGGAACATGCACGGATCGGCTTCGATAAGTTCAAGCATGAACTGTCGGTCTTGGTCGGAATACAGAGTCGGACGTCCTCGTTTATCATATGAATCCGGATCTCTGATGACCGCATGAGTAAGGTCGTAGAGTTCTTTCCAACGTGTGAAGGTTTGCGCTGAGATCGAAGTGAGGAGATCATTGTTGATGGAGGCAACTGGTTGACCTGATATGAACTTATTGAGAGCGATAACCTTCAACTGAGGGGAGTATTTGACATATGGCATAACGGATATGAGAAAGATAGTGGACTAATTGATGGACGAATGATTCAACCATAAGGAATGGTTGTTATCGAGGAAGTTGAGATAAGGGTGAACCCGAGGTTGAACCTCGAATCACCTATCTCAACTGTAGGCTATGCTTATAGGAATGCCTGTATTGGGCTGTATTGCTGTGAATTAAAAAAAAATAAATTTCATTTTATCAAGCTATTCTGGATCGACTGTACCTTCAATCCATCTTCACATCATCAAAACACCTCAAAACCCTCTTATTGATCTCAGAATCCTCCTATGCCACCCGATCCCCCTTCCTTAACCAGCAAACAACGTTTTACCCCGATGTCAGGCCGCCCAAACGTGTCGAACGCGTGTGAAAACGCGATGTTCGTGGAACCAAATCAAGAGTGGAGTAATCACGTAAAGTATTTTATCCATGAACTCAAACGTAAACATTGGAGGTCTTTCCTAGCTAAAACACAGAGCGGACTCACCTTCAAGGCGTTCAAATACACCCAAACCCAGGGCTCGCACGCGGTGGTACCCCTATACCGAGAGGACAGAACATTGGCAACAGACAAAAGCGAACAAGCTAAGTTACTATTTGCTGGCACATCAGTAGTAAACAATGTATGTGACACATTGGACATTGCAGATATCCTCGGCGAGAACAGGGATATGGACCATCAACATATTACGGAACAAGAGGTGGCTGAAGTGATCAGGAAACTCCCAACTAAAAAGGCAAAAGGAGGCGATGGGGTACCAAATGAATTAATTAAATTAGCTGAGTCAAGTCTCATACCTGTCCTAACAAGAATCTTTGAAATGTGCCTGACACAATGCTACTTCCCCAGGGCATGGAGGACAGCGACGACAGCAATACTAAGAAAGAATGATAAGGACGATTACTCAGAAGCAGGGGCCTATAGGCCTATAGCACTCCTAAGTTGTTTGGGAAAAGTGTTGGAAACAATACTGGCCCGACGACTAACTTACTGGGCGGAAACTCATGCAGCCCTGGCACAAGGCCATATGGGAGGCAGACGCCAACATAGTACGGACGACGCTTTTGTGATACTAACATCGTGGATCCACCACAAATGGAGAGAAGGGAAAATCGTCTCAGGACTGTTCTTAGATGTAAAGTCTGCCTATCCATCAGTTCACAAACGAAGATTAGCTGACACACTCAGGAAGAAAGATTGTCCTGAATACCTGGTACGACAGGTGGAGGATTACCTTGCTGACCGAACGACAGACTTGAGGCTACAGGACTTTGTTTCTGAGAAATTCGAGGTTGAGGATGGATTGCCTCAGGGATCTCCTCTATCAGTCATCCTGTATATTATCTACAATTCCGCATTGCTGATTAACCTGAATGTTGATGTGACTTCTGATAGGATCTCGCTAGGTTTTATTGACGATATCACTCATCTAGTTGCAAATAAGGACATCGATATGAACATCATGGATCTAGAGGATGAAGGAGACCGAGCGCTAGCCTGGGGCCGTCTCCATGGAGCCATCTTTGATCAGAAGAAGGCCCAAGTGATGCATTTCACGAATAGGAAGCACAACAATCCTAACGTGAATTTTGGTAATCAATTGTTGATGCCTAAGAAGGAACTGCGGTGGTTGGGATTGTGGCTGGATCCAAAACTCAATTTTGGAGTACATATACAGAAAATGAATCAATGAGGAAAGACGACCGTAGCACAATTAGTCAGGATCAACAAGTGTTACTGGGGAACAAATCCCAAAGAAACAAAGAACTTAATCATGGCAATCCTCAAACCTAGGATCCTCTTTGGCTGTGTTGTATGGTTTAACACTCGGACTGAAGGTAAAGTAACAAAAAATTTTAATTTATTGCAAAACATGGCTAACAGATTAGTGTTGGGAGCCTTTAGGAGCTCGCCGACGGACCACATGAACCATGATGCTAACTTGTCTTCTTTCAAGAGTCTAGCTATCATTTATAACCACAAATTTGTTTACAAACGATTAACGGCACCTATATCACATCCCACGAAACGAATATTGATTAACGAGTTTTCCAAAACACCACGTAACCTGTTAAGTCCAATACACCAAATACTACGAAAAGCTGACCTGTCCTTATCCAATGTGTGGAAGCTAGAAACAATACATCCATTCCCCGAACCCCCGTGGAAGGAGGCAAGATGGGAGGTGAACAATATGGACGAGAAACGAGACACCGTCAAAGAACAAATTCCAACGCAAATCAGAGAAGAGAAAGAAAAGGGGGCTTGCATCATATTTACGGATGGATCGTATATCCCAGAAGTGGGATGTGGGGCGGCAGCCGCGACGGACGACGGGGTGGCAAGCCATGCCTACGGACCACTGGAGGGTATCTCAAACTACGAAATGGAAGCCATGGCACTGATCATTGGTTTGGTTAAATTTAGGACCATAATAGCGGAACAGCCAACCAAGTACACATCACTGGCGATCTTCAGTGACAGTCAAGCGGCATTGGAACTCTTAGCCAAACCGATTCAACCCAAGACGCTCCAGTACTTAGCAAAACTCCTTGCCAAGGCGCAAAACCAAATCCCGTCGAACTACACAATCTCCCTATATTGGACACCCGGACACGAAGGAATCGAGTTGAATGAGAAAGCAGACGAGGTGGCGAAAAACGTGGCAGAAGGTGACACTGAGGTGGTCTTACTGCCAGTGAGCCTAGGAGGACTAATGCGACACACGAGGGAAAAATTCAAAAGGGGAGATATTCCAATTAAACAATTTAAAACCAATAGTAAATACATAGCTGACGCACTTGATGGGCTGGAAAAGGGGCAAGCGGCTGCCATTTTCCAGCTCCGTTGTGGACATAGTCCATTACAAAAATTCTTACACCGAATAGGAGCGGAAGATGATGATAAATGTGAATCATGCAAAGTGAAAGAAACACCAAATCATTTCCTGATTTTCTGCAAGAGATATAACCAGCAACGTCAAGCATTCAGAAAGAAGATCAAGAAAGAAAAGATCAAAGTTGATATTAATTCTGCGATTAAGTTATTGGATACCCCAGCAGTTTTTCCGTACCTGGCGAATTATATTGTAGACACAGGCAGATTTATTCATCTTAAAACCTATTTAGACAAGTGAAAATGTACTCAGTTGAATGATTATCTTATGCTATACTTCCTTTTTTTATGATTTATTTTTTTTCTCTTACTTTTATTTTCATTGTTTCATAATTATGGGTGCGAAAATTTGTACGAAGAGATGATTAGGAAGGCTTGGGAGTCCGACTTAAACTTAAACAACAAAGAGGAAGCTTGTATTATTTAATTTTACTTTTAGCTCAATATGTTAGTTAGTGCGGAATGTGAAATCGAAAGCACTTTAAAAAAAAAAAAAAAAAAAAAAAAATAGATCAAGAAAAAAATCATCTAACAGAGAACTTGGATTGTAAATACCAATTTCAAGTTTTTGATTAAATAGAAAAGATAAACATGTATAAGAAAGATGGTTTCTTCAAATATAGAGATTATTCAATTTTCTGAGAGCAATTGTAACATGTGAGAAATAGATGGTATCATTCCATTCCACGGCTTTTGGTAGCATTGCTTAACGATCTATGTATCACTACAGTGTTTATTTCATGAAGATGAGATGATCATTTCAATCATCATCAGATATAAGGTAGATCACAACAATTCATTGCCAATGTTGCCTTGAGGATAAACAAGACTGATCTCACATGGGGCATATTTTTCATCACGACCAGCTCTCTGTCTGTCAGACTCAGAATGGGGGGGTTGAGCGCGCTACAGCCTACCTGGCAGGGGATGATCAAAACACATTTATCAATCGAGTAAGAAAGTTGTATATCAAACAGGCTGTATAAGCAGTTACATTCCATCCATGTTCCTTTTCAAATGATAATCTTTCTTTGCTACACAGACAAAAATGATCAAGACTGAGCAGACTTGTTTTATTCCACATCAAATATCAATCGAGTTTAGTATCTAATCATAAATATTAAATCAATGAAGTCCATCCGCATAAACTTTCTTAAAACTTTCACGTTTACTCCATGAGTTCCAATACTTTTCTAAACCAACACAAGTCTTTCCTAATTGATTTTGATCAATCTCATAAGCTGGAATTAATTTTAAAACCTTTTCAAGTCTTTGTTGAAGTTCAATTGAAGTGAGTGAAGAAGGTGGTGGTGTTGTATAACCAAGGATTAATAAAAACCTTGCTAACCATGGTGCAAGTTGGATATCTACTAATGTAACTTTTTGACCCAAGATGAATTCACCTTGATATCAAGAATAAAACTTTAGTATCAAATCTGTTTTGAAATCATTCAGTTTTCAAGAATAGAGTGTGATCAAACTAACCTTTGTTGGTGGTGATAGTATTAACAAATTGTCCTAATAAAGATACACAACTTTTCCAGCTTACTCTAGTTCGATTGAAGAAAGCTTCCACATCTGATTGAGGAGCCTTCATCAATAAGATATCTAAAGTCTTTTGTTCAGTCTGTAGTTTTGCTATGTACTCGAACAAAATTCACACAAGAAACACATGAGTACCCTAAACCTCAAGAAGTAAAAGTTACATGATAAAAGGGAAGCTTACATTGCCAAAAGTCTTTGATAGTTTTATCAGCTGTTGGATAAGTGACCAAATTATTTTTAAGAGCATTAACTCTATTCTCTACATACTGTCTCATCATTGAACCTTCAGCACCTCTTTCTTTAAGTTGATCATCATTTATACAACCAAGTAAGAGGAAATTCGGATCGTGGACATCTTCATGAAGTAGACTGATAAGTTGATCAGATTCAGATTTAAGACTAGCGGTCTCAGGCGAGAGTGACGGAAGTGGTTTCTCGTTGGTGGCTCGGTTCAGTGGTTTCCATGTTGTGTCTACGTACTCCAGTATATCTGTTGATTGAGTCAAGATTTTGTATTCTTGTTTTTGATTTCCCTCTGGAATGTTTCTACGAGGAACTCGAAGAAGGATTAGTGGACTATGTATGTCACTTCTAGTTGAGACTGGCTCAAAGTTGAGTGACTTACATTGGTGCAACAAAAACTGGAATCGTTCCCGTCGGATTCAATTTCAAGAACTCTGGGCTAAAAAGAACATTTTATTAGGAATCCTTTATTCAGGAACATCATAATCCGAAGAAACCAACAACTTACTTAAAGTTCTCTCCCTTCACTACGCAATAAGATTCGTAAGATCTTAGTTAAATTTGACGTCTAGCAAAAAAGATATCTATAAAGGAACTCACTTAAATCAACCACTTTATGATCATAATCTTGACTCGTATAACCTTTTTCAATTAAACCAAGTTCAGGTACTGAAACCCAAATAGATTTATCAAAGAAATATAAGATTGCCTTTGGAATTGATTGAAAAGCCTTCATGATTTCGATAATATGATCTGCTTCTCAAAGATTTGATTCAATCAAGTGCATATACTCAAACGAGAGTTGAAGGAATGAGTAACAAATCGAGACTCGAGTCTACCTTTTATAAACCTTGAACCACAATCGAATACAACGGAAGAATCAGTTCACGTTGCACACTTTTAGATTTCTGACTCTTCAAAAGGTCTTTGAGTGAGGCTGTGTTTTCATGTAAACCTGCCAAGGCTTTTTTTTGACAGATTGGATTTGATTCAGGATACTCACTTCCGCCGGCCAGCTTTGGATACCATACAACATATATCGTTTGATACTTTCATCCGACCCTGAATCACCTAAATAGGGAAGTTAAGTTCAAGCGGGCTGTTGGTTTCCCAAGATCCATCCAATCGAGATTTTGGCGCACCAAAACAAAAGAAGTCATTTCATACATATATCAAGCACAAACAAAGCACGCCAGAGCACGCCCTTTCCGCAGTTTCAACTTTTAGCATCGGAGCGATAAGACCGCGAGCGGCGAGAGTGAGTTTATCAATTCTCTGCAAACAAAGTCGTGGGGACAGCTTGGTTTTGCGACCCATATGGAGGGAATCGTGGTAAGTTCCACTATTCCACCCACAGTGCACACTCATCATCCGTTGTATTATTGGCTCCTTCGCAAAGAATTTGTTACCGGACGGTGATTACACCAAATGCGAATCAAATTCTCAAGTCACACATTTTTTTTGAACCTTCGAACCACAATTCTACGACTTACAAGAACCTACACAGATGAAGTTAGAGCTCAATTGCCTTAAATTTTCTTGCTTTTTTCATATAGATGAGTCTTTTATCTATGAGATCCAGAACATGTTAAACAATCGTAAAAAGGAGAGACCATTCTTTTGATGTATGAAAATTCACTGGACCATTGTAGACCATTGTGTTCCTGACGAATATATATCTATTATAGACCCAGGTCCCCATTTTTCCTTTCATATATGCAAAGAAACCTACCCTATGGAAGGGAAGTGATCATGTTACATTTGATGCCTTCACATAAATGAAAGAATATCCAATCATTTTGAAATAAAACAAAGCATAATAATTGTGGTAGAGAACAAGATAAACTGAAACAAATTTCTTCATTAGAATCTCAAGTAATCTCATATAGACGTTTATATACAAGACTATAAATTTCAAATCATCAAGCTTAAATGTTGTAACCCAAGGTACGTTCAGCTACTTTGATCATATCACCCACCACACCCATTGCAGTCACATCTGCACCTGCACCTGCTCCTTGAATGATCAAAGGGTTTGGTGAATACCGTTTAGTAGAAAACGAGATGATATTATCAGATCCACTTAGAGTAGCAAACGGATGAGAAAATGGGTATCTGTCGTAAGATTTAACAAAACATGTCACAATCAGTTCATAAAGCTCATGATGTGATTTTTTTAAACAAGATTTACTCACTTTTCTAATCCAGCTTTAAGTTCACCATTCGGATTAGAAGTCAAGTCGATGATTCCAACAAATCTTAAAACACATCCTTCTTGAAAGGCTTGATCTTTAAGTCTTTCAAACTCATCATCAAAGTTTGGTAATCGATTCATAAACTCAAAAGGATCTTGAACTGTAGATAATTGATTAGGTACTAAAGATTGAGTAGGTACAGATTGATATCCTTCAGGTAAAGAGACTGGAGTCGATAGGTTTCGAGCCAAGATACATAACTTTCGGGCTACATCTGATCCATTTAAATCGTCAGCTGGATGAGGTTCAGTATACCCCTTCGATTTAGCTTCAGCTACGACTTCTGAAAACTTGGTTCCTGTACGTATGTTAGGTTGACTGAACTGATTAAACAAATAACTCATCGTTCCACTAAAAACACCTTCGATCTTCAAAACCTCATCCCCTGTGACCACCAATTCTCGTAAAGTACTCATGATCGGAAGTCCAGCACCTACAGTCGATTCCTTGAATACTAAATTATGGGTTTTATTTGAGACTTGATCGATGGCTTGGTTAAGTGATTCGAGTCCAGAGAAAGCTTTCTTGTTTGGTGTGACTAGATGGATTGGTGAACTAGAAGCCAAGATTTCGGGATAAAGATTGGCTAGATCTTGGTTTGATGTACAATCTATCACAATTGCAGGTCTTGGTAAACAAATTGGATCTAAAATGTATTCTAGAATTCCTTTTAAACCATCTTGATTTGTTGAAGCTGAAGTTGATTTTAGTTCATTGATTAAACTTGTGGATGTATAATTGGTATCATCTTTAGAAACTTTGATGCATTTTTTGGATGTGTAAAGTGAGTTGATTTGGAAGATCTTGCGTAAGTTTTGGGTATCAAGTTGATGTACTACTCTTTCTCCAACTAATCCTACTCCGACTAATCTCCATTTTTTCGGTTTCGTGTATCATGAGTCATATACATTTTAGTTAGGAATATTTACCAAAGTTCAGGTTAGTTCCTATTCTCTTTTCAAATGTTTTGAATGAAGAGACTTACCGATGACTACGTTGATTGGTTTTGGTTGAGCCATTTTGGTTTCTTTTGCAGAATTCTGATCCTGAAAGACTTGAGTTTTATAATTTTCCTCAGCCGACCCGGGCTCGGACCTGGACAGAGGTGGACGCGAAACGTGACATGTGTGCTTACAGATGACAGGCGCACCCGTACCTTTCACAGACTTTGCCAAAAATCAAGCTCTCAACTTCAAGACTCAACTTGAGCATTTATGAACGAGGGCATTGTACTGATTCTAGATGACTATAACTTGAAGGGAACAATCGCTTTGAACAAGTCTAGACACGAAAGCTGATGAGGCGAAACAAAACAGCTAGCTACGTCCTCAGGATCTTTCAAGAGCCGACATCGAATCAAAAAAAGACATGACAATAAGGAATGCACAAAGTGTGTTCGGATGATAGACTGTGACACACGAGGCTTCACTTAAGCGCCTCTAGCGAAAGGCGTGGTACCTGAGAAGAGATCAAAGTTTCTCGATTCGTGGACGTCCACCAGCTAGTAGTCGGTACAAGGTATTGAAGAATGGGAATGGGTCGGGGAAAAGGAGTTTCGGATAATGGAGTACCGGGTCACGCGTCTCTTCGTTATCCATTTCTTCTCAGATGATGTGCAACATTTTCTCACTCTTATAGCTAGATCAAATATGTTGTCATCAAAGAAATGGATGATTAGGAAGTGGAATTCCCTAATGATTCCCACTTCATTCGTAACAAAAATCATTATTATTGTTAGAAGTCATTATCGTCATTATCCTGAAATCCTTCCTTCCTCTGCGAAACATTTCTTAAAAAGATATTTTTATTTCTATAATAAATACAATCTTTTGCTCGTTTGTTTTATTATGACGACTGATTTGGATACTATTAATCATGTCAATGAAACAACTGCCATTTTTGACAATATCGACAAAATCCTTGCCAATTACGATGATACCGGTGGCAGTAAGAACAACTCGATGGCGCAACTTCGTACCCAAGTTGCTTCAATCTACCCTTATGAGGACCCAAATTTCCTTTATCACTGGTCTTCCGTGGCTCGCGCCGCCATCAATCTGGACGCTCGAGCAAACCGATCGTGTTTCCCTCTCACTTATGAGTGGCCAGAGAATCCTGACCCTCAAAGCATTCCGCCTATTGTCCTCAGCGGTAGACTTTCACCTCCTCCCACCATTGATGTCTACGGTGTCATTGAAGGGTTCTTCGATAGACCGATCCAACCCTCACCTTCCAGGTTTGAGGATTTATCGATGTTTCCCTCTAATCCTATCACAAACTCTGGCGAAGCCCCTCCACCACCTCCTCTTTTACCCCAGGCTTTTTCAGTCGGTGCTCGTATGCCAAGCCCCCCTGCAGTTGACCCCCCTCCAACTCAAGGACCATCACTCCTTCATCGTATCACTTTTTCTAAAAGTCCTTGGTTCCCTCAAAACCCCCCAGTTACAGCTCGATCTGATCATCCAACCATCTCTCGCCGTACTGTGGTTAAACAACAGCCTATTCCTTCTCGTCCCATCTTTGAAAGGATCGACAAGGGAAAGAGAAAGAGAGATTCATCTTTCTCATCATCCCGTTCTTCAATCCCCCCCTTTATTACAGCACCAGCTGTCTCTGGCATCCCAGGTCACCCTGGTCTTTCTTCTTTTGTCCCAGCACCAGCTGTATCTGGAGCACCAGCTACCTCTGGAATCCCAGCTTTCGCTGGTCCCTTTACAGGTGCTATTACTTCTGCGCCGTATTTGGATGACAACGAGCACCTCGTTCCCGAAGAGTTCTCCCCCGTCTCTTTCCAGGTTAATCAAATTGCGCTATTGTATAAATCCGACATTAAACACCACATCAGTGCTTTCAACTCCTGTAGAAATAGACCTGCGAACTGGCAGAATTCTCTCACGAAAGATCTCCTCGAATACAGCTTCGTGGATCTTTGAAAGTTTTATGGAGCAGTTGCATCATCTGATCCCCCTCAAAGTCGTCTCCGCATCAACGCTGATGGAGATCTTAAAAACGTTGAAGGATCAGCTCCCAAAGAAATTACTGATAATAATCACTGGCAGAACTTACTCACGGTCCTCAAACACGCCTACATTGCAGCATTTCCTCCTGCAGCTGTTTCAATTAAAAGCTATTTTGACTACATCCTCAGCCTCCCAGGTCTCTTTCAAGCTAGAGTTCACTGGGAAGATGTACGTGATTTTGATGCTGAACTCCGGAAAGAATTTGCCTCACGTCCCAGTCTTGTTTGGGGAGACTACGAGCACAAATCCCTTAAGGGCATCGACAACCAAATTCTTTACAGCTCAACCAGAAAATTGGGCCGTGCAGCTATTCCTTCCTCCAAATATCCTACAACTCAATCCACTCCTTGAACCCCTAGGCTCGCCATTGAAGCAGCTCCTGCTCCCTGCCAGTCTTCCTCTCGCTCCGCTATTAAGAAGCCGCGAGGTCGACGAGTCAAGCCCAAGTATAAAATTCGCGACTCCGAAACTCTTCCTGTGGCTGATCAGCCTTGTAATAACTGGAATGCTTGCGTGTGTCCCTACAGCAACAATGACTGCGACCGAGTACACGGGGTATGCAACAAAGATGGATGCTTTGAGAATCATCAGGGAAGCGTCGCTCACAAATGAGCCTAACGCCCGAACCTTTCTGAGAGGTCTTGAAATCGATGTTCTCAGTAAAGGTTACTCTGCAGCAGTGGAATCATCTATCCATGCAGCCCCTCTTCCTTCAGCCCCACCTCTTTCTTCTGATCCTTTAGCAGCTTACGCTATTAAAAGAAGACCCGACCTTTTTCAAATCAACTGCTCAATCAATGTAAAAAACTTACAATCCCTTCTCAAAAATCACCCGAACAAACCATTTGTAGATTCTATTATCCTCGGCCTTACAGATGGATTTTGGCCAATTTCATCTTTACCTTCAGACGACACAGTTTTCAACAAAAACCACGCTACAGGTCCAGAGGCGGAAGAGGTCCTTACGAAAACTCGAGACAAAGAAGTCAAGCTCAATAGGTTCTCTCCACCTTTTTATACCCTCCTTCCAGGTATGAAAGTGTCACCCTTATGTCTGGCAACAAGTCCTTTGGCAATCCCTCTCCAAACGATCTCATCGAAAAGGAAGACATCCAGATAGATTTAGATGGCATCCCTTATTTCATCCCATTTATGCTTTATCATTATTTCGGTAAACATAAATTTATCCTTTGGAAATCCGACGTTGACGCCGCCTTTCAAAATCTTCCTGTCTCTCGCCAGTGGCAAGTTCGCCAAATCATCAGAGTGAAAGATGCTTTTCACGCGGATAGGAACATTAACTTTGGTTGTTCCAGCTCCCCAAAGTTATGGTGTGCATTCTTTTCACTGATCCTTTGGATCACATATTATGAGTTTAATATTACAGAACTCAATGCATATATGGACGACTCATGGGGTATAAGTCTAGCTACAGACATGGTTTCTTTCAAAGGCAAACAGATCCCTTTGAATCAAGCTAAATTCCTATCCATTTTCGACTTCATTAACCTTCCGTGGGCTTGGGAAAAACAAATTTTCGGCAGCACCTTAGATATTATTGGATATTCAGTCAATTGTGAAGAAGTTTCCATTTCCCTTCCTGAAGGAAAACGTATCTCCCTCATTGTGGCTCTTCGTGCTTTCACTTCTATTCTCTCACACCCCCTGATTGACTGGCAGCGCATCACGGGTTGGGCCAACTGGGGCCTCAACATTTTTCCTTTGGGAAGATGGGCTTTACAGTCCTCATGGGATAAAATGGCAGGAAAATCACTTAGAAATGCGCATATTCCCCTCAACCGTCTGAACGTTGAAGATTTAAACTGGCTAGCGGATGCACTCGAAGCTTGGCCAGGCCGACACGTACTGAAACACCTGCATTGGGCTATCTCTGACGCTGACTGTATGTTTTTCACAGACGCGTGTCCTACAGGTTTTGGTTTCTGGCAACCATCAAATGGCTGTGCCTGGAGCTGCTCACTACCACCACCATCCCGTAACAGCTTCTGGGCAGAGCTTTTAGCCGTTGTCTCAGCCATTAGGATGGCGGTTGACTTCAAAGCCTCAAAAACAGTTATCTTTACGGACTCCGAATCAGTCTTGTACCTGTTCTCCTCTCACCGTCCAACCTCAACCGCTAGGTCACTTTTCAAATATGCTATCAACTTAATGCTCTATCACCCAATAGACGTCAAGGTTTGATTTGTTCCACGACAAAACAATCGAGTCGCGGACGCTCTCTCAAAAGGCCAATTCGACTTAGCCCGCTCTTTGGTTCCACGTCTTCACCTTAGAACGTTTTCTCCCGATCCTTCTACCCTTGTAGGAGGCCACCAAGACCGTTCTCTCCCATCTCTATCATAGTCGAAGATGACGAGAAGCAAAAAGATCCTGCAAGTTCCCCTCTCCTTCAAAGAGCGAGAATCATTGAACAAATTCGACATAAACAATCGTCTGGAGAAATCTACAGTCGCAAAGTACACCTCCGGCTATAGAAGATTCATGAAATTCTGCAAGGAGCACCACATTCGACCATACCCTAGCGAGACCAACTTATGTCATTTCATTTCCGTCATCTCCAGAGAGGTGCTACCTGACACAGTGGGAAAATACCTCACTGGCATCTCCCACTCCATGCGTGATCAGTATCCTATAGTCCTAATCACCCGCAATTCCCTTAAGGTTAAAGAATCGCTACGAGGTTGTCAGAAACTCTTTTCAAAACCTGTTGTACGAGCCAACGCCTTTACCATCTACGACATCACCATCTCAGCAAATTACTTCAACTCCTCGTTTGACGATGCTCTGTTTAACACCATCTTAGCACTAGGTTTCTCAGGCCTACATCGCCTAGGGGAACTCACCATACCGGATACCTTAAATCTCCAAAACGAAAGAAAATCAATTAGAAGATCTTCTCTTGTCATTTCCCTATGTGGATCCGTCGCATGCTACAATCTTCCTTACCACAAAGGCGACCCAAATTTTAAAGGTACTCCAGTCACCATAGTCAATAGACCAGGAGACCGAACATGTCCAGTAAGAACACTTCTCAACTATACTCAAGCTCGCGACAAAAGATTCCCAATTCAACCATTCTGGCTGATTCGAGAAAATGGTCGCCAACCCACGCGAAGCTGGTTTATGAAGCGCATTCAAGAAATATTTGGAAATTCAAGATCCGGCCATTCACTTCGCGCAGGAGGAGCAACGGCCTATGCACAAAACGGAATGGACATGGATACCATCCAATGCATAGGACAATGGTCATCAGAAGCGTTTCGCACCTACATTTGCACGCACCCGCTCCTGAACTTGAACAAAACCCAACGCGTCACTCAAGCCTCTGGTTTCACCACGGGAAAACACATTCAATTTCCTGGAGCTGTTCTCGTAAGCCTCCACATCATTCATAAGCCCAGCTTATTCAAAAAATCTTCCAGATTTTTCTCAAACACCACAGGAAAACGATCCGCTGATGTTTCATTACTTTTTTCTTCCTACAGCCGTGGGCCAGAAATAAGTGATCAACCCATTTGACACGTATAGTCATGGGCAGCATTGAGTAAGTCTTCATTCAAGACTGTAATCCTCTGTCGAATACACGCTAACATTCAAGGAATCACACAGGGTTCCTTCATAGGGTGCAGCCTCTGCAATTCCTACCTCCTTCCAATGTGGAAATACCACTTCATGGAAGATTGTCAGTCATTCTCGTTGAATGTTTTCAGAAAAATTAACAGCTTCAATCCCATAGACGGCTGATACGTGGTTACACCGTTTGGCAAACAGTTTATTCACATTTAGATTAAGCACATAGAGTCCTACACCTTCATTCAGATTTGACTAAATCATCATTCTACATCACTACTCAAAAACCTACCATCACTACTCTATATACTACGAGGGTGGTAGAACACGTGCTTATCTCATTTCTCTGTTTCATTTGTGTGTATACGTAGTTCAGGCTTCCTCTCTCATGATTCAATTCAAGCCTGCCCTCTGCGGCCGTTTAGCGTGAACCAGATACTTCAAAGTATCCAAAACGCAAAAGAGACCCATTCCTAGTAGTCGGTACAAGGTATTGAAGAATGGGAATGGGTCGGGGAAAAGGAGTTTCGGATAATGGAGTACCGGGTCACGCGTCTCTTCGTTATCCATTTCTTCTCAGATGATGTGCAACATTTTCTCACTCTTATAGCTAGATCAAATATGTCGTCAGCAAAGAAATGGATGATTAGGAAGTGGAATTCCCTAATGATTCCCACTTCATTCGTAACAAAAATCATTATTATTGTTAGAACTCATTATCGTCATTATCCTGAAATCCTTCCTTCCTCTGCGAAACATTTCTTAAAAAGATATTTTTATTTACCTCCCACCCACCCAACTTATTATTACAGTATTCAGTTTTAAAAATCTTATAAAAAATATGACACTTCCTTTTTTTTCAATTTAACTTAGCTAGAAAACAAAAAATTATTTAGAAAAAATAGTTCCAATATATTATCCTAGATGTTATATCTCTATATTGTAATTAGGAGTGTGTGACACACAAACCGCCCACAGAACACGTGCTTATCTCATTTCTCTGTTTCATTTGTGTGTATACGTAGTTCAGGCTTCCTCTCTCATGATTCAATTCAAGCCTGCCCTCTGCGGCCGTTTAGCGTGAACCAGATACTTCAAAGTATCCAAAACGCAAAAGAGACCCATTCCCTGAGAGATGTTTGCTTGGTCTCCTTGGAATTTTTTTGATAAATCTGTGTGTCTCCAAGAGGTGAACAGAAAGTTTCTTAGGTCGACAAAAATCCCTAGAAGGAGAAAAAGGTTTCATAAGGTACTCATTGTGAGTTTGTCATAAGTCCCTTGCTGTGCTCAAAATGTGCAAGAATCAGCAAGGGACTTAGCTGAGTTTAAGTGTTGGGGAATCTTCAGACCAGCATCATCAAGTGATTAGGAGAGTGTTGTAGAGGTGTGAGTGTGTACATGGCTGTGCCCCAGGAAGTTGCATGATTAGTGTACAGCTAGTTGTAGCATATATAGTCTCTGCTTCTTGGCCGGGAGCTTCCACTTCATCATCTGTGTGGAAGCCTACCCCTTGGAGAAGAGGACTGACAAGCTGTTGTCCTATCTGTTATATGTAATACATTGGAGATCAATACCTTGAAGATGAGAACTCATGGGGCCATTGTCCTATTCATCATAGCTTATGAGCACTAGTGTCACCTTTTAATCAAATTGACCTCATCTTGCTGGAGCTTGTAGTGTAAGACCAACCACCTTCAGCATCCAAACATATGTCAATTCCTCAAACTCCACCAAAGAAGTTGCAATCCATGTCACAGATTAGACCACAAACTCTAATGCAGTCCCTAAATTTTAAGATCAGAGTTGATTCATCCTGGTGAACAACAAACAATTACTCATGATAACACCCCAGATCTCAATTCATATCAATTTCCCTAAAATATATTTGTACAAGCCCTTTGTTCCCATTTCCTTTTAAACCCACCCCCTCCATACCCACATTTTACCCAACTACTCACTCCACTGACAGTAACAATATCTAGGAGTTGGTAACTTGTTATTAACCAATGGGAATGTGGATAGATTCAGTCTTTTGTACATGTGTGAAATACTGACGGGTCGGGTTCTTTTCATTACATATATTACCACAACTATGAGGTCATCAGCTGTTTACCTTCTTTACCAACTTTATCTTTCCTATTGAGTTTCACAACCGTTTCTCTTCATTCTTATCTTATACGGTTGCTTTTTTGCGTCCCACCCACCCTTGTTTTGCTAGTCACATTCCCTTTGCAGTATCAAGTTTTTTCTGCCTTGGTCTTATTTTTACACTGGTTTTCTGTATGGTTTAGATTAATTTCTTCTACTTGTTATCCTGTTTTTTAATTTTGTATTCTTTATTTAATTTCTTATGTTTTACATTTTTTAAGTTTCTTTTTGATATGTTATGTTTCTTTTTTAAGTTAATTGTTATTGTGGTCTGAATTCTTTTTTATTCTCACGTTTTTTTGTAGTTGTTTATGTACACCACAGGGGGATCCTGGGTTGGAAATTGGTCCTAACTGGTCTGAAAAACGTCAGGTTGCAATCCAACCCAAAGCTTGTCCCTGGGTAGACCAAAGGCCACCTTGTGGTGGCCGCCCCCAGCTGCCCCTGTGTGAGCTCAAAACAGCCTACAGCGCGACTTATGGGCGCACCCTGTGAGCCCATAGGCGGCCTTTTTGGTCAGCAGTCAGTATCCCGGGACCCGTGGTACCTTCACAAAACTGACCGCTGAGCCAAATAACCGCGTGGGCAAGAGAGACTTTGCTGACCCCTGCGTACAATCTTTTCGTGTGTTGTGTCCTCCCCTGTCCTCCCCCAGGGGTCAGGTCTTTCTTGCGTGGTGACATGAGATAAAATGCCCACTTGTTTGGTTTCCCCCCCAAGTTTGAGTTGTCATTTTTCAAAAAAAAAATCAATGTCTTCAGTCACCTTCACAGTTTTGAAGTTCTCTCAATTACCTTCACCTCAGTCAACTCCATTTGTAATGTTGTCTCAACGATCACACACGGTGGGACCTCATAGGTTGTCAACTCCGTTCATGAGTTAGCACTCCCCTTTTAAACATTTTTTTCTCTCAAATCCTTTCTCTCTCAATCTTTCAGGATGATAATTTATCAACCTATCCATTCAGATTGAATCAACACTATGTCTGCCACGCTCTCGGAGAACCATGTGTTATCTTTGGTAAACCGGTCCTTCCGTGGTAGCGCAACTCACCAAAGTGTCGGAGTCTCATCAGGCAAGTGATCTTTCTCTTTCACGCATCCAGGTTGTTTTACTGACATCCTTATCACAGTTTATAATGGAGGCGGCCCGAATGCGGGTCCCATGAGTTCTGATAACACCAGTGCTTGTGTTCAGGGGTCAGCCTCGTTCTTCTTCTCTCTTTAGTTTATCTCCCATTGACTATCATTTACTGATTACTTGTTTGTGTTGGCTATTCAGAACAATGACGCGAGTGCGACTGCTCGCAAGAGCATTTCAGTTTCAACTGAAAAGATTTTGGATGTGATTGCAAGGTTGTCAGAAAACATTGACTTGGATATTGCCAATCTCTCTGACAAACTCAATGAAGAAAATGCAGCCATGTCTAACAACAGTGTTGAACAGCACAATACCTTGTCTAA